GGATGGATGGATGGATGGATGGATGGATGGATGGATGGATGGATGGATGGATGGATGGATGGATGGATGGATACTTTTCCAAAATTAATTTTACTTTTCATATTTATTACCTGTAGCGAATAGCTAAATCAATTTTCCTAATTCTGATTCATCTTTTTTTCCAGTTTAAAAGAAATTTGAAATATTATTCGATTTACAGTAAAACTATGAATTGCAAATGGGTAAGTTTAACTGAATTTTGTTATATTCTTTTTTTCTCCACATTCTCATACATATGTGCTGTGAATAAAATTCAGTGTGCAATTAAAAGAGTAATCTTACGGCAGTAATCTGGCCTCCTCCACTCAATGCAGATATTGAACTTATGGCATGAGGCCACATAAGCAGCAAGAGCCACACAATGGTTGTTCATATACTCTGAGTCTCTCACCCAAACCTCGCAAAATGTGCTGGGTGGCACCTGGAGAACAAGAAATAATAGTTTAACTGAAATAATTTTGCAAAGATAAATCATTTTGTTCAAATATCTTTATGACAGTTTCAAGAAGACCTATTAATTTACATTCTAAATCAACTTAGCAAGAACAGGGGCATTAAAAGGCGTTAAGAGTAAACATACAAATTCATGACAACGGGTAAAGGTGTTATCCTCCAGCATGGCTAGACAGCGTGAGCAATCGCTGGTGGAGCAGTTGTGCTCACGTCGACGGCTATAGCTGACGTAGCTTGTGGTGTTGGGAACTTGCCAGCTGTCGATAAACAGAGTTGGGTCTTTGCTTACGCCCAAAACTGTACCATTAGGCAGTGTAAGGTCATTGGTCAGGTCTCCATCACAAAATCCTGAGGGAGTTAGAAAAAAAAAAAAGAAATGCAATTCAAAATATATCTAAATGAGACACATGTGACCTTAAAAAGGACTACGGTAGCAAACTTTCTGTCTTGCTGTGATCGTCCCATAGAAAATGTTAACGTTATATCTACTATTCTTAATTAGAAATGGTACAGGCTAATGTTTTAAAAGCTGGGTGTCATAAAACAGAGGGCTTTGTTTTCTCTTGTTGCTGTTTAATTAAAGTGGGACCCATGCTAAAGACACAACCTTCTGCTACAGGCTATATATCAAAGTAAATTTGATTTAGCCGTTTTACTTCTTTTCTATCTCGCACTTTCATCAGCTTTCAATATGCAATGCACAGTTTTGCAATCTTTAAATGACCTTCAGGAAACTGTGGAAATCCACTGATCCAAGAGGATTACAAGAAACTGCAGAGTAATAAAGGATTTTAGAATTGATGAAAAATCGTTCTTACCGCAGAGGCCCATGGTGGGAAGTTTCCTGCCCAAGCCATCAGTGTCAATCACCATCATGCCAGTGCTGTGGTACCATTGTACTTTAAGACCAGTTGGGCTGCGGATCAGGTACATGTTGCCTGTGTCATAGATCTCAAAGCCATACTTTTTAAAACGGGGCTTGGCGTATCGTGAGTTTACATAGAGCTAATTGAAAAAAAAAAAAAGATAAAGGTTTTAAAATTCATGGTGCAGGATATTGTAGTTTAAGTTATCAATAATATTTGGGTCTTACTCTTCTCTGTAGTCTGTTGATGACGACATGGTTAGATTTGTGCGTGATGTTGAGTGAGACTAGACACAAGTTGGTGAAATTCCAGAAAACCTTCAAAAAGAAACAGAAAATGTTTATTAGTGACCCTGACTGTCTTAAAAAAATTTAACTAGATGATTAAGAGGTTGACTCCCACCGGTAACTCAGAATCCGCTGGACATTCCTGAATCAGGACACTGAGGGTCTCATTGGGCAACTGGGTAACAATGTAAGAAGCAGCTTTAAAAACAGCAAAGCTGTCCCCATCAAAAGTGATGACATTTAGATCAGGAAATATAGAGCAGCGACCTAAGACATACAGAAAAGAAAAAAATAGCTCAGCCTCTTTTTGCAGCCTTCTAAAGAAGATATCTTTAAAGAAGCAAGAAAAGCATAATTCTCCTTACATGGGCAATCCCATTTTGGACAGCATTTGTCTCCATTGATCAGAACAGAAAAACCAAGCAGACCACAGTTTGGAGGCTCAGCTGTAAAAGGGCAGCTCTGGGATTTGTTGAAGAGGATGAGCTGGTTGTTGACACAGATGTACTTTGTGCATTCATCAACAATCTCTGCATATGGAGGCTAAAGAGATGACAAAATCAAATCTGGAGCAAATAGATGATTCTATTCAGGAATGACAAATACACAGTTTTATTTTTTTATTTTTAGTGGCTGAGAATCAAAAGAAGATGGACAGGAAGATGGACAGAAAGAGAGGGACATCTAGTAAATAAACTGGGAACAAGAATTAAACAGGGGACAACTCTGTTGAGGACTGTAGCCTCCGCATATGGTGTGTCCCTAAGGTATGTGGTACCTGAAAAGAGCTTTTAAAAGAGCAAATTATGATCTAGTTGTAATTTTTTTTTTTTTCAAATAAAAGCTGTAGTCTTAAAATAAAGCTAGTAATAAACTTCAATTAAGAAAGTAATGCATCTGTAAAAAGAATCTAATTGGACTTACAGTGCACGTCCTTACAGGAGTTTCTGTCATCAATGTTGATCGCTGTCCAAAGGAGCTGGTTGTTTCCATTGCTAAATGAGGAGAGATCGAAGAGAGTGTTGAACCTGAAGTTGTATGAATCTTTTCCATGGTGGTGGTTGCTCCATAGGGAGTTGTAGTTGAAAATGGAATACCAGGCTCCTTGGTTGCCACAAAGACATCAGGGCTCTGAGATTGAGTTTGCTGTATTTTAGCTTCTTTGGTTGTTGTTGACTCAGCAGCAAACGCAGTTGTAAATGGCACAGCTGGTTTTGGTGAAGGGGCCAGGACTGTAGTTGTTATGGTAGGAGGACTCGCCGCTGATGTGCTAACATGATCAGTCTTGCTTGCTGATGTTGCAATGACAGGAGAAGTAGTAGCAGGAGAAACAGTTGGTGAGCCAATCATTGTTGATCTGGTGGTGATAGCTGAGGGTCTCATTCCAATAGTGACCCTTGAGGTGACTGGTCTTTTTGAGGTTGGTGTGGCTCTGGGAGAAACTCTTGTTGTTACAGGAACTCTGGATGCTGCTGTGAGGATAGATGTCCTCGCAATAGTTGGTGTAGCTCCTGGTATTGACACCAATCTGGTGGTGACCTTTTCCAGAATGGTAGATTCAGCTGGAGCCGTTTGAGAACTTGTGTGGAGTGAATACAAAGTTGGAGGGGACATGTTCGTTGTTCCAGTTGACACTCTGGCGGTAACTGGTTTTGCAGTTTCTGTAATCGATGCAACAATGACAGGTTTAACAGTAGTATAAAGACTAGACAGTACAGCTCCTGTAGGGTTTGTGGTTAGGAGGGTCTCAAGAGAGCCAGATACATGTGGAGCCGGGGGAGTAATAAGCTTCCTGATGGTTGTGACTCCGCCTTCTTCAGGTGTTGTTTTTCCTGTGGTGGTTGTAGTTGTGGAAGATGTCCTAGATGTCTCTGGAAACTGTGAAACTTCAGGTGATTTAGAAGACATGGTAGGAGATTCAGAGGGCAACACAGATGTTGTCCCCATTGGGGGTTGGTAGGTAGCTGTGGAAGCTGAGGTGGTCTCCCAGTGGAAGTGCGGCCCAGATTCAGAGCTCTGTTCAGTATAGGAAGGATGGGTAGAGCTCTCTGTTGCTGGAGATTGTGGTAGAGTACTAATGTGACTAGAGGTTTCAGGTTTAGTGGCAAAAATAACATCTGTGGATGTTTCTGGAACCACAAGAGGTCTTGAAGTTAGCTTGCTGGTGGTGGTTTTCCCTGTAACTGGGACAGCCGCTGACCAGGAAGTCCTCTCAGAATAGGCTGTTGATGAGTGCAAAGGAGTGGGGCTGCCTCTAACCTCTCCAGGTAAAGGGGAAGCTGTTGTTGTAGCGACTGTTGGGATTCTAGATGCTAAGGATTCCAGGATGGTAACTTTCTTTGTAGTTGATGTTTCCAACCATAAAGGAACAGAGGTGGGGGCAGATGCTGAAGTTGTAGAGGGAGTAACACCATACATATGGGTTGATAACACTGGGACAGTTGAAGAAGCTGCACGGTCACTTTCAATAATAGCTAAGGTTTTTCCTGTGGTTCCAGTTTGTGTTTCTTTACTGGTTGTCAAAGATGTAACTAGTCTAAATGGCTGTGTGGTCTTTGGTGAAATTAATGTTGTGGAAGATGCTGGTTCTGTTTCTAGAGGAGGTAAGGTTGGAACAGGAGAAGCTGATGTGGAGCTTGTGCTTGGTCTTTCTGGCAAGATAATAGGAACTGTTGCCATTCCCTCAAAAGGTGTACCTGTAGCTTTTTTACTGGTGTCTGTATAGAAAGTAGCAGTAGTACTGGAGACAGTGGTTCCATCTCGATGAACAGAGGTTTCTGAGACCAAAGGAGAATCTGGACTCAATGTCTTTGTTCCAGTAGTTTCTGAACTTGTGCTTTTTGCTGTGTCTTCGTGTGAATGCACAATTGTTGAAGTGCTGATTGTGGTGGGTTTCTCAGCAGTAGTAGTCTTTGCTGCAGAAGTTGTTACAGCTGTGTTGGTGAGGCGGGGGGGCGGTGTGACAGTCAGTTGGGTAGAGGAGCTGTCCAAAGTAGCTCTGGTTGTCGTGGACATGGTGGTGCTGAGTAAGCTGACTGTAGTGTTCACTGGCCTGGTTGTCCATCTTGCTGCAGCTGTTAAAGTTATTGGCAGAGTTTCAGTTATTCTGACTGTGGATGGTGGCTCCACCACCTCTGGCCTGACAGCAGGAGGCGTTATTGGCCCTGATGGAGTTTTTGAATGTTTAGGAGTTGGATATAGAGAGAAGGTTGGAGATGAAGTTAGCTCAAAAGGTGTGGGTGGTGCTTTGGATAAGGTAGTGTACTTGCTTGGTGAAGTACTACTAGAAATAGTGCTGCTGAGAGCTTTTCCTGTGTGACTTGTGCCTGGAGATGTGGATGATGTGGTGCTCTTAGAAATTTTTGCTGGAGTGGATGGTGAGGGAGGAGACACATAATCAGGAACCCTAATACCTGAAATGACACAAAATCTAATGTTACAAGGGTTACACTAGTGGCTTACAGTAATGTTTAATACAATACTAAAAACTCCTTTTTTGGCCAAGAAAATAAAACATTAGTAAAAAAAAAAAAAAATAAACATTAAAGCTGTATAACAAATGGTATAATAAATTTTTAATCATCAGTTTTTCATCCTAATTAAACAATATCACTTCTGAACCTAGAGACTATGTGTTAGCATTGTTAGCATATTTGGCTACCCAGATTCTTTTTTTATATATATTATTATTATCTGATTTGCTGATTGAACATGAAGATATATGCAGAAATTTACAATGTTTATACTCAAATAGAATATTTAATGACAAAAGAAAATCAGCTGCGATTACAGCTGCAAGTCACTTGGGGTAGATCTCTCTCAGTTTTGCACATTGAGAAACTGAAATTTTTGCCCATTCTTTCTTGCAAAAAATGCCCGAGCTCAGTAATGTGGGATAAAGAGCGTTTGTTAACATCAGTTTTCAGTTCTTCCCACAGATTCTCGATTGGATTCAGGTCTGGGCGTTGATCTAAGCATTCTGACACCGGGATATGTTTATTTGAGAAGCATTCCATTGTAGATTTTGCTTTACGTTTTCAATCATTGTCTTGTTGGAAGATAAATCTCTGTCCCAGTCTCAGGTCTTTTGCAGGCTCCAACAGGTTTTATACTAGAATGCTCCTGTATTTGACTTAATCCATTTGCCCAACAATTTTTTACAATCTTTCCTGCTAACATTAGACATTCCATCAAATTACTATTATTTGTCATCAAACTGAATGCAGTGATGCTGTTTCAAGCTACTTACAGTCTTCAACATGGACACATCGACTGGTGACTTCATCTAGGACCATGTCAGGGGGGCACACAGGAAGGCAGCCCTCCACTCTGCACAGGAGACAATTTGCAATGAGAAAACCTCAATACTGGAGAATTTTTTCTTTGGATAAACTTTACATGCACAAGTGCACTCTCACAAACAACTACAGGTGCTTGGTTCCAGGTACTTCGAGATTCCCTTCCATACAGAAAGCCCATATTCTTATCTTCAGCTACCACAGTATACATGTCAGATTAAATAATACTACTTCAGCAATAGTATCTAGGTGTTACTTTATTGTATGTCCCGTACCATGTCTGTTGGTTGTGCTGTCCTTTTTACATCTCTTTGCAGGTGATGAAGCAGACTTAAAATGTTTTATCATTATCTCCCTTTTATCTCCTCTTACTTTCATCTTTTCTTCTTTTTTTCCTGTTTTTCCTCTTCTGTTCTACTTACTTTGGAGTGTCCATATAATCTGTAAAACTCCCTGCATAATTATAGAAAAGCAATCTATATGCATGAAACAAGCAGAACACTATGGCAATAGCCCTACTGCTCCACTTGTGAAAGTAAAATCTGTTGGGCTCTTTTTGGCATCAAGACAATTATTCTTATTGCCACATTGCCAGACCAAACCCTCAATACATCTGCTCTAACAAGATACCACATTAAGTTGAGTCCCTGTCTATGTTGGGCATGGATAATTATCAACACTTTTCAGAACTGGAGCAAAAAGTTGTGTTTACACTCCAAAAAAGGATCCAACTTTACTGAATTGATCTACTGAATTACATCTCCAACTTTACTGAATTGATTCGATTGGTAACAAGTGATTGAAATGGAGGTGATAAATACAAGTTTAACTTCACCAGTAAGTAGGGAACTCTCACATTCCCTCTCATTGCCCCTTCTCATTTGCCAATCAATTGCCAGGCTAATATTTATGCAAATGCTCACCTTTCCATTAGCAAACATTTACTTTATTATTAAGATGAAAAGTGATGTTTGTCATTATTTTACTTCTTCTTTGTCATTTCCCACCTCAATAATGTCACTACTAGGATCTGGAAACTCTAACCCTCTCAGCTCCATCTCATGTGACTTCAACTTTCTATTCCTATTCTTTTGAGTTCATACTGGCATCTTTACCAGAAATAAATATTGAAGTATTTAAGGCAAATATTAAAAAGCTACTTATTTTTTCCATAAAGTAATACTTTTATTCTTCACCATTATAAAAATTCTGTGGATGTATTATTTTTGAAAAATCTATAATTTTTATGAAAAAGTTGTAGCTATGATCTTTAGGTTTACTACATTTTGTTGTCATATTTTTGTTTATAGCGTGTCAAGTTAAGGAATTGTAAATGAATTAAGTTCCCTAAACATGCTTTAATTACTTGTTACCAACTAAGGCAATTCATTAAATTTGGAGCTTCATTCTTCCCTTACAGTGTTTGGGAAATGGAAAGACATAACCAATTATCTCAATGAACCAACATCTTCTTCCCATTAATATGTGAAGGAATGTAATGCCATTTTTTAAATAATTAAGATTCATTATTCTGCTGAAAGAAATGTTATTCACGAGTGGAAACTTTATAGGAGGACCATGTCCTTTGGGCAGAGGAGACCAAATTAGCGATGTTTGAAAAAAAAACAGCACAAGACAGCATATCAGCACCATTACTTCATATAAACTGGGGGATGGCAGATGGCAGGATGCTGTCTTTTCTGCAAGACCCTGGAAATTGGTAATTTGCAGTAGTTGAGTTGACCTTATACTCTTCTGTATACCAAATAGGATATTTTTACATAATTTTTACGGTTCACTTAAAATCATTAACCGAAAGTTGAGGAAAAGGTTTACTGTGGGATGGTGACACATGACTCAGCCGACGGGTCGCTGCAGGTCTTGAAACAGGGGCTGATGCAGGAGTCGTAGCGCCACTGACATCGAGGACTTGGTCGGGTGTCTGATCTGGGACCTAAATGAAAAACACACAAAGCTTTCTGATTGGTGTATAATTAAGAATAATTAAGAACAAGGAGGTCTTCCATACAAGAATACAACAGTCTTGAACAATTAAGCCGGCTGCAAACACATTACCTTAAGCTACTATCCAAAATACGATGCAAGATCCAAGATATGATCTTAAGGATTTATATGATGGTGTAATTATTAGTTATTATGATACAGAAACAACTGATACATTTGAATTCAGCTTGAATTGCACAAATATTGTCTAGAATTCAGTGTAATTTACAAAAAGCTATTCAAATCTTGCATAACATTAGGAATTAATGAGGAAGCATTAAGGAATAAATCAAGAATACGCCAAATGCATGCAAGAATCAGGTTTGTTAAAATCTGAAATTGTTACTACTCTTGACATATCATAAGATTTTCCATCAGGATATTATAGAAGGACCCCTCAAGTGCATTTATTGTCCATGCTGGGAGCAGGTTGGCAAGTACAGTTAAAAACACAAATGTACAGCATACAAAACCCTTTTCAATAAGCTTTTATCTTTTTTCTTTTGCTTTCTAGTAAGTTGGCTTTGGAGGGTGGGCATTATAAGCTCCTTGCTTCTGCCAAAACACCCTTTTTCAGACTGTTTTAATTTATGTTATATGAACATATACTGTCTTTATTATATACTTGTATGTCTGAAATAAATAAATAATAAATAAATGGGACTTTTACATTCTCTGGGCAAAACTCACACACTTATTTAATAGATGAATAATTATCTTTTCTGTATGGAATACAGAATATAGTTATGATGCGGTCTAGACTTGTCCAAGACAACAATTTACTTACCAATTCATAGTGTTCACTAGCCTTTCCAGAAAAACTTTCAACGAACACCATATAATGTCACTGTCGACTGAAGGGATCATCTCACCATCAGTAAGGTGCATTATTTTTTTGCTAAAAGCTGAATAGCATGACAAATTAGAATATCCTCAGCTTATTGTCCTGGTTTCTGATTAATTAATGGCTGTGATTTATTTTTGGGTGGAACAAACCATATTAAGGATATGTATTGTGTCTGTTCCATTTGTATGACATTATTAGATAGTTTACAATCATTTACTGTTAATAGAAACATTCTTCTTTCTTACAACACTGCTTGCCAGGGTTCTGATTAACATTATTTTTTTTGTTTTTTCTAAAAACAAAAAAAAATAATGTCTTGATGTTTCTGCCTTTAATTACTGAGGGTTTGAACAATGAAGCTGAATAAGAAGATGACCAAAGGTTTGGCATTTATCGTACAAAGTTAAAGAATATATTACACTCTTACATTAATTGTTGCAAGCTTTTGTTTCGACTCGTTCATTCAGCACCACGGACAGTTCTGACATCAGCGGAAACACCTTTATGTGCTTTACCACTGCTGTTCAGTTCCACAATTTACACTGAATGTAGAGCAGCTGTTTCATTGGCCCTGGTACAGCAGCATGAACACCAGCTGCTAGTTAAAACAATACTGCTCTGAAGGAATAGGAGAAAAAGCCCTGCGTTTTAGGCTTGACCAAGGCTGATACCACTGCTGGAAGATGAGAATGCTCTTTACTGCTGTATGTGGAAAATACCACCACATGGTCAAAATGCAGCTTCATGAAATTATGAAACCCTGTCTGGTTAAGAGTAAATGATAATAACGCCTCCAATTCAACAGTAGATGGTTACCAAATCTAAGAATAACAAAGGTTTTAAGAATTAAAAGTGTTTGTTTTTTTTAGATCTAGGAGATTGGAACCAAAACGTTGAAGAGCTGAAAAGCTTTGCTCTGACTTACACAAAGCCAAATGTTTTTATTAATATTAAGTACTATCTAAGGTTAAATAAAGAAACAGCTATGAATACAGAGATATTTTTGCAATGAACTCCAATATGGTGTCTGCCCACCACAAAAACCGCTTATATTTTGCAACAATTTTTTGTCCATGAATTAAAAAAAGAATTATAAAAACAAGCGACCACTTCATTGCAGCTTTATGGATTGAAAGCCCTGATGTTATTATGCTGGACCCCCTCTGCAGTGTCCATGCAAATTAGAAATGCCTTAAGAACAGCTGAAACTCATTGTTTCACTGTCAGTAAAAGGTTGTCATTTATTTTGAATAAATGCAAGTTTGAATTATAGCAGCTTCTACTTTTTTAAGAGTTTTATAGACAATTTCATCTGTACAAAATGGCATCCAAATGTATTTGTTGGCAGCTGAAAGTGTAAATTACTGTAGTAGATTACCAAATTCAGAAGGTACCCTTGTATTTAAAGGACAAAAATCTGGATATTTTTTTTATAGCAAAACCTGATATAAAGGTGATGGGTGAACTTTTTCTTTTGTTGTTTTTATCTTATTTGTCTAGTTCAAAGGTCATTGAAAAGTGAAGTTTGATTAAAATATTATGTGTTTTAGTTACATTTAAATTATGCATAAAGCATGTAATACATTAGAATCTAATGATTAGATGGTGTTTATGCAGCAAAAACTGGTTAACTTTTGAAGATCAATGCTGGTTTTTATGTTTGGTTAAACAATAATCTTGTCGCACTCATACTGGTTGGCAGTTATATGGCTCTAAAGTGCTAATTTTGCTTAAAAAGAGGAGAGTGACATCAAAATATGGATTATAATCAGTGGTCTTTGGAAAAGATTTCTAAAATCATAAAATAATACCCCAAAGGAGCATATCTATTCTTCTCTCAGTGTGTCTTATATATGTTACATACCTGACTAGAAAATACTTCATCAGCTACTGCTTACTCTTCAGGGTGTAAAATGCGTTCTGTGTGACTGAGGAATGCTGACCTGACAGTCTGAAGAGCGAGGCCTGGCGGAAACTGTAAGTGTGTCTGAACTTGAGCAGGTGGAGGCGAGGCATAGTGGCGTGCAGGAAGAAGCCAGGTTTAGCGTGTGACTCAAGCGAGTCATAGCCTGAAATCCAGGTGTTCCTGTGGATAATGAAGGTAGCTCCATCCCAGAATGCCTCGTTGTCCTCCCACTTGGTCAGCCTAACCTGGCCGCTGGCACTGGCATGCAGGAAGTAGTTCGGTCTGTCGACTGCTTCAAAGGAAATCCGTGATGCATCTATGCAATAAAGATATAATTGTCAATCAGACAAGATCCTGGACAATGTCTACCTTCCCTTTAGTTTCTAGGAACAAACATAGAACAACACAGAACCAACTAAAACCTTGAAGTGGAATAATAACATACTGTATTTGTTTTAGTTCCTAGTTACCTCTTTGCTATGAGATTATTGTTATATTTTGGTAATAAAGCATCTTAAATAAAAAAAAAGGGGGCTTCACATATTCAAGTGATTTTATGAAAGTAAAAGAAAAGATGAGGACACCCCTTTTACACACTTCTAAGTACATTCCCCAAGAATGAAATTTTATAGATAATGTTAAGTTTGAGCTATATGTTCAGCTGTGAACTGCTATTTTAAGGTACTCAACATAGAACTGGTCTAAATCAGACAAAGAAAAAAAAAACAAAGAAATAAGACGAACGGTGCTTGAAAGAAACAGGCAGTACAAATCTGAAGGGTTTGCCAGTGAGAGCAGCTTGTTCGAGGATTGGCACTCTGTCAGGGCTGCAGCTTGAGTTGCTGTATGAGTGTTTGCCAATCTGATCTCTGACCCCTTTCACAATGAGTCCATCGCCTTTATTAGCGTTTTCACACGAGAGCTCTGATCCTTCCAAACCGTATCACCAGTAAAAGAAACTGAAGCAGTGAAGCCTGCGTGGCCTTTAGTCACAGAAGAAAAAAAAAAGTTTTACACAGAATCTAAATCAAGTTTAACTGAAATTAGCGATTTAACACTGGATTACGTATTTCTGAATGAAAATAGACTTTGCAATGTAGAGTTTTCTGTAAGATGTTTAGTCACACCACTGAGCTATTTTTCCAATGACAATAACAACAGTCATATTTCCCCTTGGAGAGCTGCGGGAAAAAGGAACAAACCATGCCTGATGGAAGTGAAGTTCTCTCAGGATGTCAGTTTGACAACTTTTTTTAACCTCAAAACAAAACAAAATAAAACTGCACCATCTTATTTTTTTTCAACTAATACAAGTTGTGACTGGGCTTAAGTCTTGATTAAAAAAAACAAAACAAAAACAATGATTGAATCAGATAAAACACATGTGACTAAGTAGCACAAACCTGGCAGCATCTCAATATAACACACATTCTCAAAAGGATTTTCTTAAGGTTCATATTGATTTTAAATCATTTTCAGTTTTTCAAGCTCAAATATTAGAATACAAAGCATTTACTGCCTACTTAGGATTTTATTATTTCTAAGTTCCCCAAATCATAATAAAACATATCACCTTATTAGGCAGATAAGATTGACCACCTTTTTTGGACCAACCAGAAACCTGATCTTAAGGTTTTTTAGTTAAATAAGTGTGGATTTATGTGGGTTATTTATTAGTATCTAAAGAAGCAAACCAATCAATGAGTTTGACCAAAAAACCTAAACTGAGATTTTGTTGATAAAATCCAAGTTAAAAATGTCCCTTACTTTCCAGGAATGTCTTATATTTTTAGAAATTGAACAATAAAAAAGTCATTAACCTTCAAATACTGTTCGACAATGAGTTGAGGTATGCACACAATCCTAGCTTACCTGTAATTAAAGCAATGGAAACAAAATAAACTGCTTATAAACTCGACATATTCTGATAAAAAGTGACAGTGGAGAGTAAGAGATTGATTGATAATGGCAAATTCACATTTTTTGTAAATAATAAATATGTGCTCACCATGGGGCCTGGTTCTGCTTAAGCCCGGTGTCATCATGAACTCTACCAGGACCCCGGCAGCGATATTGGTGCTGATGTTAACCCGCTGCAGGAAAACAAAGCCACTGGACCTGCTGGCTGCCAACAGAGTTGTCTGATCCCTATAAGTGAAGAGCCTAAACGGGCCTTTACCTAGAACTGCAGAAAGGAGGCACAGATTTTACAAACAATCTAACCAAGTTCAAATTCCATTGACATTTCTTTTTTGTTGTTTAAGCAGATTTCAGTTATTACTAGTTTTTCTGAGCCAATAAAGTCATTTAGCAAACTAAAAAAAACTTGCTTCAATGTGTTTATATATTTTTGAATTCTTTACAGTATCTTTTTTTCTTGTTTACAACCAATGAAAGCGTGGCACTAGGTCCTGGACTTAGCTTTAAGGGCTCAAAAGCAAGTTTCTCAAGTTAAAATCAACAAAACATAATTAGCAAAAATATTTATTAGTAACAAGGAAACTATTTAAAAACTATTCTTCAGAAAGCAGTATGTTTAAGCTGTGCAGATTAGTAAAAGTTGTAAATTACAAGAGAATGCAGGTCCAAGTCTGTCTTATCATAGGAAGTACATTTCTAGGCAAAAGTGTTTAGAAATTCCAATTGTTGTACATCCAAAAAATTAAGATAGTGGTTGTTTTGTTTTACCTTTGTTGTAGAATTCACAGTCAAAGGCTGCAGAAAAAGAAAGTAAACAGAGAAATTATCAAGGAGAGGACATAATTACAATATGTTCATTTTCTGAAGATCAAACAGGTATAGAAGTTTTTAAAGAAACACACTTCAATTTACCAAATGCTAAAAGACTATCATTCACTTTCTTTAATTTTTTGCCTTTATATATATTCAATACAAATATCAGTGTAAGGGGGCAAAAAATGTCTTAAAATGTGCTGGTTCACTTAACATAAGTGAAAAGCAGCTAAAGTTCAAAGAGTGCCTGCATATCTTTGCATGATAAAAGGTGATAACAAATAGCTCTGGCTGCTTGGAAGGAGAAGATAATGGGATAGTTCAAGACGTCAGAAATTATGTTAATCTTCAGACATCTATCACATAGAAACATAAAAAAATACTGTTGGGAAAGCGTTTCCGTACGGCAGAGAGATGGTGAGCGCCAGTCAACAGGGATGCCCTCATGGCAGCAGCGTTGAGCGTAAGCCGCCACACTGGTGCAGAAACACTCGCAGTCACCCCCGCGGCTGCAGGCGCATGTATCAGCAAGGCAGTTCATGTAGAACCAGGTAACATCCACCTGAACATAAACAGAATGCAAATTTTGCTGAACAAAAGTGTAGTTAAATATTGATTACTTTGTGTTTCCAAATAACAGGACTAGATTTGTAGCATTGATTATCTTTTGAAAACTCCTCCTAAGCAGCTTTCTGTCAAGCTCGACTGCAGTTCAAGGAGACAATAAAACACAAGAGGAACATAGAAGCACTGATCCATAAATACAGTACTTTCTTTAAACAACATTTTTTAAGCTCTGTTGATCTTTATTTTTGTCATCTTCTGAAAGTAGGTAGACAGGAAATGGGACTAGAGAGAGGTAGAAGAGATGCAGCAAAGTAAAACCAGCCCATGACTTGAACCTGTGATGGCCACATCCAGGACCAAAGACTCTGTACATGTGTTGCACACATATGCCCCTGCACTACCACCGCCATGCCCTCCATAAATACTTTCTATGTTAGAAAATGTAACAGTAAACTAGATCCATTTTGTAGGTGTTAAGCAGATAAGCTCTAAGCCAGTTTTCATGTCAAAAGGGATGAAAAAGGGCACATATAGTTATTCACAGTAAAAGGCTCATATTAACCATATGAACTAGTTCTTAGGCTTCTCCTCATAATTGTTTTATAATGCACTCTGATCTTGTTTGGGAATCATTGCAATTAAATTTCTACTGAGGTGTTAAGAGCAACCTGGTTGCTTTATTTAGCATCCCGAAGCTTATCTGCATAGTTCGGTCTGGTGTATCTCATCTTCCTCTCTAGAACATATGCCATAGGTTTATTATGGGTTTAAGGTCAGTCGGGTTTGTTGCAAACACAGTGCCTCTACAGTGTTTGAACAAGTTTTTGGTACTTTTGGTAGAAAAGGAGGGGGCCGAGTTTTGCTGCATAATAAATAAAGCAAAAGAGGGAAGCATCAAGTGCTCTAACATTTATTGACAGAAAGCTGTGCTGACTGTGGACTTCAGAAAACCCAGTAAGCCAACACCCACCAGCAGCAGACGTGGTAATCCAAATAATCCCATACTGGGGAAACTTCATACTTCACTTTAGAGAACATGGATTCTAAGCCTTTCCTATCTACCTTCAGACTCCGAGATTTTACAAAATGTAAGACAACAATTTATTTCATCTGAAGAGAGCTTTAGACCACTAAGAAACATTCAAATCAATTTAAAGGATCATTCTTATGATTGTGTAGGTTGAAAAAATTATTTCCATAAAAACAATCCTTTTTTATAGGTTTTAAGTAATATCCCAACTTTCTAAGAAACTGAATTTAGAGGCTTTAATAAATATAAGCAATAATGATCACATTTAAAATAAACTACCTGAAATATTTTTCTTATTGTTAGGTAAATCTACATATTAGTATAACTACACTAACTTAATTACTAAAATACTATGTTTATACTGGTTAATCTGATCAAATCAGGGCTGTTGTGGTCCCACTCCTCACCACTGGGTGGCAGGTCTGAAAGACCTCACTGAGCAGGATGGAACACTGGCGCTTTGCAAATGGTTCTCTGAGAGGACTGAGGCTGCAGGGGTGTCTGATGTCTGGACTGTTCACACACTAAAGACACAAACACACAGAGAAAGAGGTTATTTAATCTTTGAGTAAAATTCACAATAATAAAATATCAATGTTATTGTCTTGTAAATGTAAACAAAAATGCTCTGGAAATAGTGAGTTTTCATGTCTCCATAAGATGTACCCATTTAAAAAAAGGCGAATTTAAGCATTTAAAAAGCATTGGGGTTGATTGATAAAACTCTAGGTGTCCCATCTTTGAAATATAAATCATGTAGAGGATGCTCCCTTCACCTCTGTTGCTGTCCAGCTGTTTCCGAACTCCTGTGGTGTTGGAGAGTCAATGTTATCAGGCGTCCGCATCTCGTTCACCGTCTTCAGGTCAAAGTTCCCACACAGGCCACTCAGTTTCCCCTAAAAACATCATGTTGTCTTAATTATCTGTTTCCTTACATTTTTATAATGAGCTTAGCTCTCTGCACAGAATGCAGTGGTTTAGCACTTAGAAGTACGCAGCTCTTACTTTCTTTAACTATATCATGTATTACAGTGTCTCACCACCAATGGCAGAAGTGAGCTAATTGATGATCCAATTACAGTACAGTTCAAAGGCCTTTTAATGTTTTTCAAGTTGCACCCTAAAAAATATAATTTGTGTATTTTCAATTTCCATAGAGGTTTCATTAGATCAGTCAGAACACAGGAATCTGAGAAGGAAAGAGATTTTTTTGAGGATTAGCAAGTAAAAACAGTCAAAACTGAGGTCCTACCTGCCAGTGAGGTCCAACCTGGATGTGAACTGTGGTCTTGCGGTCCCATAAGACCGTCACATCTTCTTCTGGGAAGTGAATTATTGTAAAGTATCCAGCCGGCCAAATAAACATCTGCTGCTTCTTGTCAATCACACTTGATGGATTCTTCATGAGATGGAGAATCCTGTTAACTTTCTCATCTTACTATTCAAATATAAAACAATGTAAAAATGGCACTTACTGGCTTCCCAGAATCATCATCAAAAGATATGAAAGATCCTCCCATGTTGATAAGGAGTGTTTTCCTGCAGATCATTCCACTGTCAAAGCAGTCAACGTTCCCAGCCATCACATTCAGCACCACATCAGCGCTGCTCTGTGTATGAGAGGTTACAGCCTTAGTAGCAGCAGAGATCTAAACAACTAAGACATTCATCAAAAATAAGAAATTAAAACACAGGGAGGTTAGATTTCTTTAAGTTTGAAAAGATTCATTTTTTTTTCTATTTTTCTGCAGACCGTCCATTAAGGAAGTTCATGTCTTCGACCATCCATCAAGTCCCTCAGAGTCTGGCATTTCTGGTCTTAGATAATTAAGATGTGACCTGACTGCATTTATTTTCCATGTCACCTTAGTCCAAGTTCTTGTAGGAGCACTTTAAGGATCCATTATAAATTTGGTGTTTAAGGAGGGAAATATCTTAAATATGAAGGACATCACCTCTAAAGATCTGGACTTACCCACCTATGAACCAAAGCCAAAGAAAATCTTCTTCAAATATCTTGGCAGTTTGAATGCCTGGTTAAAACCCATCCTTATTGTCACCATCAGTTATCTCCCTCATCTCTTTAGCGAGAGGTCATCTCTTTCAAAGCTGGCAAGAAAAACATACCACGCCATCTTCCTGCAAAGCTATGATGAAGTGGGCATTCACCTAAATAGACAGGTTGTGGATAGGGATGGGTAAAAAAATCGATTTAATCGATTTTGGACTGATTCCTTTACATTTTTGCAAAATCGACGTGTAGGGAATGGGATCGATTAGTTTTATAGTGAAGCGGAATGCTGACCAAAGTAACACACCCCTCAGCAAGCTGTCCAAACTGAAGTCTGATGTCTGGAACCATTTTGGATTTAAAACAGCTAAATATAATTTGCTGGATATGTGACATAAGGGTGACTTCCCGCTAGATTCATAATGAGTGGCGCCTCACATCTCGTGCTACAGACCACTAAGATTACTTCAAACCAAACAGCTGCAAATATAGCCAATAGGCTGACTGAAGACATTGATAAATTGGGGTCGACTGACCAGCAAACACCCTGTAGTTGTTACAGACAATGTTGCAAATATGGTTTGTGCAGTCAAGATAATGCAGCTCATGCATCTCTGCTGTGTCCCCGCTGTGTCATGTCTGCTTTCTCGTGTGAGGCTTTGTTTTCTCACTTTTCACAAACAAGTTTGTAATTTTAAGACAGTGTTGTTCACATTGCAAGTTTAAACTGTCTGATTTACAAGATTGCACTTTTTGTTTAATATGACAGGAAAAAATAAAATACATGAGCATTTTGAAACACAGCTGAACCACTTTCTTTATTGTAAAAACAGATCGAATCAGTAGAAATTACCGTAATCGACTTAGAACTGTATGAATCAAAATCGAATTGAGGACCTTGGTGAAAATACCCAGCCCTAGTGGTGAAAGTAAAGCATTTCCACAGCAAATAAGCTAATGGATGTGCTCTGGTCAAATGATGCCAGTTTTCTTTATTCATTTTCTATTAGCCTACATGCAAAACACTGTGAAATGGAAAACTAGCAGCATGTCATACACACACAGTTCCCACAGAAAAGCATGCTGGTCCCACAGTTATACTGTGAGGAGGTCTTTGTTGTGCAGAGGAAGTTAACAGGTATAAGGATGAAGCTAAGTACAGAACTATCCTGAAGGTTAACCTGCTTGAAGCAGCTAAACAAGACTACAGTGAGGGTTAAGAACAATAACAATAACAATAATAACTTAATTTGTATTGAGATTTAATTTAAACATGAATTAAAATAGAAATAAATTGCTTTACTGAATGTACCTTAACCAAATAAACTTTGCAGGCACCGACATAGTCAAACAGCAGTCCGTCAAATGTCCTGTAGTGGCGATCACCATAAGACGTGCACATGGATGGACATGGGCGAAACAAACACTGGAACGTTCCATGTTGGCAAACACTACAAAGACAGAAAAAAGGTTTAATGGTTTAACAGCAAATTGTTGCCACTTTGTGCAGAAACTTTTTTATCTATCATTTGTGAGGACCCTGGTTTATTGAAGGCAGAAAAGTGCTTGTAAATTGGCCAAGGCCAGATTGCCACTCATGTGCCATTAAGCTGTCAGCTACATCATCTTTGCTGGCTGTAACTTAAAGGAGAAGGATGGAAGGATAACTGAGATCAGGGGGAGGTTTCTTTCACCACCCATGAACAGTTTGAAACAGATGCAATCAGAGACATGTACAAGGGCCCTCTCTGTTGTCAGCGCCTTTCAAGGCCTTTTTTCTGCTTCGTGATAACAGAGAATTACACATATCAGATGGCAACTTTTGCTACCCTGACAGCCTCAGGACTCTGTAGTTCCAGGCCAAGTCTGCTGTATAAAATGTTGGACATTTGACTTCATTTCTGAGATAATTCTTCAGCAGAGAAACACAAATTTATGATAAACTGGAAAATGACAATCTAGTCGATCTAGAAAAACAATGTAAGCCTCAATAATAATAATTAAACTTTATTGATCTCACATTAGAGAAATTTACCTCAGCATTTAACGCATCCCCTTGGGGAGCAGTGGGCTGCCATCATGGGGCGCCCGCGGAGCAATCAGGGTTTAAGGGTCTTGCACATACTCTGGCTCTTAGAGAGCCAGAGTAGCAGTCTGTGGGAGTGGGTATTGAACTCACAACCTCAGCATTTCAAGCTCTATGCCCTAACCACTAGGCCACCCCTCCCGTTGCCATAATTACACAGATAAAATGGGAATCATATTATTCATAATGACATCATATGTGTGAACCTACCATTGATAGCAAGGGGAGGAAACTCTGTCACCAGGGAAATATTCTTTTCCTTTCCACAGACAGGGGCAAGCATCAGGCTCAAAGCACTCATCCCCATGTTTTAGTAACCTGGATGAGAAAAAAAAACATGTGATCAGGAATTCTTGTTTTAGGATAAATCAAGGAAACATTTCCCTCACAGTGCATTACAAACAAATAACTTCCATATCTTGCGTAAAGTGAGGGGTGGGATTAAATGCTAACCTCGCTTATGTTAAAACATGGTAAAGAGCATGTTCCTGTTCTGTCTGTTCTTCCACCTACATGGAACTGGATCATAGGACCATCAGGTGCCTTTGGATTTCCTTTATCATAATTAGTACCTCCTGCAGCTCAATCAAGGGGAAAGTTTCCCCCAAAGAAAGTGACAAGCGAGGTCTCTTCACTGAAGACTCGAGCCACTCGTGGAATATCTCCAAAACTCTCCATTTCCAATTCTACTGTAAACTTTAAGGCCCACACCTAAGGATGAACCTGCCCTCTCTACAGAGGATGCTTATTCCCATTGTTAGTGTTTAATATCCCATTCTTTTCATTATTGCAGCTCAAAATCAGCCTATAAATCTCCCAGTTCCTCTACCCTCATTCTTGACCAGACCATGGGATACTTAAACTCCAGCAAGTGCCATTGCCTCATTTCCAACCTGCAGTTTTCCAATTCAGGACTTGCCTCAGTCCTTTCTAGAGATAGGAATTCAAAGACATAAAGAGAGATGGAAATACAATCTGAGACCTTCTGAAGAAGTGTGTCTGAGGAAATTCTATACATAATTAAATTCAAATAATTACACTGGCAAACTAAAAACTAGGTCAGGCAAGCTTATTTATATAGCACATTTAGTTGGCATGAAAATTCAAAGTGCTGTTCACGAAAAAAAAACAAAGAAAAAGAAAAGTATATGCATGTATCTAGAGACAAAAGTGACACACAAATACAGTAGGATAATATAAATGATATATGATAGAAAACACATTTTTGAAGAGATTACTATACCCAAATTTCGAGCTATAAGCTAACTTCTGAATTTTTCTTTTTTGGTCCAAAAATTATTATTTACAGTAGGTTTTCTCTTGATTCAGCTGACAATAATTTTGGCGCATCAATACATTGATTTTTATCAAGCGCCTTCATAGGTACATAGTCACCTGATGACATCTTAATGTTCAGCTATGTGTACTCTGCATATCTATGGTAAGTTTTGTTGTTATTTATTCATGGTCACTTTTGTTGTTTATTATTGTCTGAGTCAGGGGGGCTAAGATGGAGAACACTAAAAATCTGGTGATTTCTGTGGTCTCTTATTTAAACCTACTGTCCCTTTTGACAAGGAAAAAGAAAGCTTCTTTACTTCAACTAGAATTTAAACTTGTCCAGTGCTGTACCAGAAATGCAACCCAGTTTTTAAACCACACCAAGAAAATGGAGTGATAAACGGGATTGAATGTTCTTCCACAGTCTGTATTTATATGGATGTCAATGAACACCTTGACAAGGGCAGTTTTAAATCAGTAAAAAAGTTACCTAGAGTGTGTGGTGTTTATAGACCAAAGGGAACTATGGTGGCTGGTTTTGGATAATCAGGTCTCATCTTAGTTCTATGCAGATGATCTAGTTGTGTTGGCATTTTTGTGACATTTTCAGTTGTGTGCTGGATTGGTATAGTGGGTTAAGATTCAGGTGAATAGGGAGAGTCTTTCTCTTAAACAGAGAAGTTTAAATGTCTTGTCTCACTCTCAAAGATGATAGGGTAGAGTGCAAGATGGAAAGGGGTGATCAGGGCTTCGTCTGAGAACATATTAATGGGTACCAAACCGTTAAAAAAAGTTTGATTTTTTTTCCTCACCTGTGTTAATAGCATAGTGATTTGACTATAATAACTAGATTCTAAAAACAGGTGGGTGAAATGAGGACTTTGTATCAGTGCTCTAAAATGTTTATGACACGATGAACTCCATTAACCAACATAAGACTGGTGTGAGTTGATTTGCATCAAAAGAAAGATGAGGTGGTTCAGAGTATTAATCAGGATGACTCTCTTAGGTACATTCTACTTGGGGGAAATCATAAAGCAGATAGAGAGAATTGAGGCTGCTTTTGATCCTCCAAGTTTGCTGGAACATGTCACTAAAGAGAGGGGTCCATGTCTTTCCTTCTTGAAAAGGTTACCCCAGTGACCTTACATATATTAAGTAAGTGGAAGGCAATAAATGAGTATATAAATTCTATTTTTGATTTATTGGTCTATGATCTCCAAATCTGAAAAATAAAAAGCAGACAAAAACAAAACAAAAACAAATATAAAAAAAATAAATGAACCCAATGATTTAATCCTAAAGAAAAGTTAGTTATTTCTTTCCAGGATAGAAATGGGCAAAGAGAGCAAATTTTAAAGATGGGCAACTGTGAATTAAAGGAATTTACACTCCTGTACATGAAAAAAAAACAGAAAATTGGGATTCACAGAAATAGAAAAAGAAAAAGTCTGGATACCTGCATTTGCTTTACTACTCTCTGAACTACCAAACAGATAAGAATCTTGTTATATGCAGAGCTGAGCTACATCTACTGGCAGGGCAGCGGACAGTGAAGTCACATAGTGAATGGTGCCGCCATAAACCTCAGGTTCATCTGAGTAGAGTTACACGACAGATAAAACGCTGTTAACAGCTTCCTTTATCTGCACGCCAAGTGTCTGTATCGATTACTCTGATCAAAGATCCTGCAATCACTTATCCTTCTGACCTACAAACTTGTTGCAAATAACTGACAATGTGCATTGTTCTGTGATAGTTTCAAAGACAATGAGGATGATGGTACTGTTCAACTGAAAGAAAAGGAGCAAGCAAATTCCCAAAACAGTTCAGCTGAGTTATTCTGCTGCACGCCTGAACTCCAAAAGTTCAACACTAGGCTCAAAAACCTCACCCCTAATTCAGCTATCTGCGTTAATACAATATATGTATTGTTTTCTATTTTTTCTTTAACTTCATTATAAATAAGTGTCCATAAACTTGTATGTGCATCTTTATTCAGCACCCCCTGGAATAAATACCTAAATAAGTAATGCTAAGTCAGATTCATTGACGAACATCTGTAATCATCACTCATAAACCCTTGCCACACATTTTCAATTGGATTTAGATCTAGATTATCATTGTAATATTGTAGCACATTAAAATACTTTGATCTGAACAAATTAATTAATTCTGGCTTTATGTTAAAACATTTCAACGTATTCCTTTAGCCCACCATAAAGGACATTTTTGTGTGTAAAAGCAGTGGCAAAGTTTTCCAGAGAATCTTAATCTAATCATTGATGTTCATGTCTGTTTTATTATCTTTTTATTTCTGCAAATTTTCCAACAGTTGCCTTGGCTTAAAAAAAATCTAGATCCACCTTTAAAGGGTTGGGAAGTTGCATCTATTAGTTATTTTATTTTACAGATTTTTTTTTTTCCAGAAGACATTATTATCTGCTTGTAAACATATGTTTTGCATTTCCCACCTTTTGATTTCCTCAGTTTTAGGGAAACCCTGGACAGTCTGCTGTCATAGTCAGGTAGCCTGCATGCTACAAATCTTTAAAAATTTTCAGAAATAATAAATAAATCAAAAACTCTGCAATTTAAAAAGGTGGAAGAAACCGTTAAAGATGATCATGGAGTCTGGAGAATTACTGATCCAGTATGGTTAAAAATATCTGTAAAAAATCCAGTTGTTTGGACACAAAATGTGAAGCCTCTGGAGGGGCTGTTAAACCTTTGCAGAGCATCATGTGTACATATAAACTGTAATCTGAAACCATATTCCAGGAAAGTGCAGGCTTCAGTTTTGGACCTAAAAGTTCAGGTTTATATGAACTCAGCTGACACAGAACGGAGTAATGAATGGTCGACATTTTGATCATAAACAAAGTGCTCCTTGTGAAAGAAAAAATACAATGGAGTCCTCAGTCAACACCACAGCTAATTATTTCCCATTAGAGGTTTAAAAGTTCTGCTGCAGATAAATACCAAAAAGTTCAGTGTTTTTTTTGTTTGTTTGTTTTTTTTCGTTTTTTTTTTTTTGTGTGTGTGTTTTGTTTTTTAAATACTTTAGTCTGAAAAGAGATACACTGAACAGCTTTTCTGTGTGAATTTTCTATGCTCTCCCCAGTGGCTTTCTTTGGTTGCATTTTCATGTCTCTCACATAAGCTGATGAAGCCAGGCTCAGCACAGATCAGTTTTTGTTTTCTTATTTTATAATAAATAATTAGAGCTTCTAGGCAAACTGGTTACAGGTCAATTATAGTGTTTATTTGTTAGGATGCTCCATTAATTACCCAGCAGGTTTGCAACTAGTCCTCTTGGGGTCCATCACCAGAATGAAAACATAAAAGGGTTAAAGAAAAAAATAGTAATTAAGAAAAAGTGATTTGAAAAAAAGTTTTCAGAATGACTTTAAAACATCTGAAATAATGGGTCCTTTTTCTAAACTGAAGCCACTGACCAGCAGCTCTATAATGTATAACACTGTCCTCTGCATCGCACAGGCTTTCGCTGTTGGAACTATTTTGTGATCAGTTGCTTGTTGCCTTGTAGATTAACTGTGCCTTTCATAAACATAGATAATGTTACAATACAAAGACTTATGCTCCATCTTTTTACAAATATAATTACAAAAAGATGAGATGATTTATCAATTATATTTTCTTAACAGATAGCCAAGAGAGAGTTTGATGCATACAGTAAATGCAGGTCCATGGTGGACATCGAAAGGGACAGTCGCACAGCTTTGTTCAGCAACATTTGAAGCTATTTTTCTTTGGAACACAAGTCCATATGGCTGAACAATAACCAAGGGGAGATAATACTAATGATATTATAACTTGTTTTATTGAAAAGCTCTCATAAACTAGACAGTGCGCCTTTTCTAAGAGATAGCCCTACCCATTTTGCTTACTAACTTCTCAATATGACAAGACCAGTTCAATTGTTAAACCTAAAAGCTCAACCTTCTGCAACTGTTACAGAGGTTTGCTTTTCAAATTTAGTGAACATTACTTAATGAATAATTTAAACCAAGACTTAAACTTTTTGTGTGACTGATATTTAAAATAAGCCTATTATTGTCTACCCATCTAAAAACCCCGTCTATTTCTTTTTGCTAAAATTATCAAACTCTGAAAGACAAGAGGAAGATCATTTGTAAAAATAGAAAAAAGCAGAGGACCAAGGAAACTGCCTCATCGAACCATAATCTAGTCCCCTGATGGTAGAAAATTTGCAATCAAAATACACAGACTGATATCTGTTAGTGAAATAGCTCTTCTTCCTTCTACTGCACATTCTGTAAACTAGTGGTGGGCGGTCTGTGCCTTCAAAGCCTTCCCTGCTGGACTAAAATCTATCAGAAACACTAACCTACATTCTTAATCTAAACTTGAATTTTGTTCTACACAGCTGTTATAATGTATTCCAAACAATCAATTCTCTTTATTTCACAGCCTTACATTTATGTGGTTGCTATATTTTTCCAATCACATTTGGGAGTCAGTGTGCTGCTATGTCTATTTAATATCTTCAGACTCTGCAGTGCTGACTGTTGTTACCTTAGCAATATTAGTGAGGGACATTTTCCTCAACCAATTATATTTCAGATTTGCCCCACAGGGCCAAGTAACAGGACCGTCTCAGCCAAGACAACATATGCATTCCCCCAGTTCCAGTTATTAAAGATTCAGTGTGGATCTAGGAACCTTTGGCAAGCTCTTGTTTCTGATACAACAGGTACCTAATGGTGTATCTTATCATAATTAAGAGTAATTAATTAGAAACCCTTTAATGCATAAAAAATAATTAACGCAATTAATTACAATTATACTAACAGACCAGAATTGAAGACTGTTTTAATTCATTAAATCAATGTACGATTACAATAATTTATCTTTAGATTTTATTAAACTTAACAGTAGGCTATTGGAAAACTGCACCTGATAAACTGTTCCATTGCAGTTTGTATCTTGCAATATAATTTCTTTAATCAGTTCAATTGAGTTATTACTATTACTAGCAACATAGAGTTTGTCAAATATATCTTTTAGTATTTGATTTACTTTGTCAGTAAAAAAGGCATTGAAATTGTTGGTTATTTTCAAAGGCTTAGCTAGAAAAAACCATCAATTTCAATAATGGCTGAGACATCGTTATAAGATCAACCCAGTATGTTATCATTAAACACTGTGCAATGCTCTGTTTGGACTGACAGATCAAACATTTTTTAGTAGCAATCTTATTAGTTTCCTAGCACCACCCCAGCTTTTGAAAATATTTTATTGATTTTTCTCATGGTTGAGGTTAGGCCAAAATTCAAGCTTCGTGTTGTTCTACTTCATCCATTACAAAACCTGCTTTTATGGCCTGTAAATGGCCTGTACTTATGTATCACTTTTTCAGGAGACCTGACCAAAGCACTTTAAACTACATTCAGTCATTTACCCATTCACAACAACACTGAAAGCCAAAGCCAGGGCTTGGACCAGCAACCCTGCGGTTGAAAGGCAAACTCCTTCATCCAAGGCCACTGTCACCTTGTGTCAAACTATTTATGTAGGTTATTAAATAAAATCCACTTCAAGCCTCTTTTAAAACTTTACAGGAGCTCCTGCTTTCTTAGTTGCTGACATTCATCTCAGAGTGACAGGTTGGATATTGTACCTGAACTTGGCAGAGTGATGCAATATCTGAGCTTATTGTAGTTCAGTATAAACAATCATGAATATTTCAGATCTTTATACATTGTTCCATAAGACATCCCAAGTTGTATAAATCTGTAGGTTCCCCAAAATTAAAACCTATTAGTTTTACAATAAGTCACTAACTAGGTGTTAATTGGCATTTGCCTTGTCACGTTAAAGAATCTTGAGCTCCAAATATTGTAGATTTACCAAAGGGCATTTGTACATTTAACAAGTTATGCAAGCAGTTTTGAATAAATTTGCATAATAAATGTAACTGAAAGGCACGATTCTTGCTTTTGATAATTCCAGTCGTGTGTCATGTGATCATATTGCACAAGATAAAAAAATAATAGGTCAATGATGCTCATGATGTGTAGATTAAAACTTCTGCTAAATAAAAGTACAAAACCAAACTTTAAGTAGAGTTATAAATCTTAAAATTATCTTTGATCGGCTTTGCTTGCACAATTCAACACATGGCCATACTGGTCAGACTGATGATTCAGGTTGAGTTGACCTCCCAAACTTTAAAGAGTGCCTTCATTAGACCTACATCATCACTGTCCATCAATGAGATGCCTTTGTGTCCATATTTTCCCACTAAACCTGTTCCCTCTCAGGTTTCAGGGAGTTATTAACTGTTCTTATCAAGCACTCAACATCAGATCCAGAGTTTGATGTCATCATTAAGGTCATCCTGCTTTTCTGGCGAACAGAAACAAGTGAGTCACTCCAGTGGGGTTTCAGGTTCTGGATGACTTATGAAGCATCCCTGATGTTTTTACAGTGGTTTATTGTTTTTCCATGATTATCAGAAAATAGGTATCAAATGTCTGCTTTAAGTTCATGAAACACTAAATGCTCTACAGCCGAAGTACATTTCAGAGTTGCTTGTAGAGAGTGACCAAAGAAGAAGCACCAGGTGTTCAGATACATGCTAACACAGTGTTCTCCGGACCAGAACTAAACAAGATAGAACGAGGCAGAATTTGATCTTTAAGATCTTAAACTCTGGTAAAAAAAAAAAATTACTGAAAACGTGACATGTGCACAAATTTTAGATGCATTTTAATCAGTACTGAAAACCATTATGCTTAATGCCTTTGATTAAACAATCAGATTTATGATTTTATAAAATCCTTTATATAATGTTTTTATCCTAATGCTTTGATGTTGTCTTGCTGTTTGATATCCTACTGTATAAAGCATTTTGAATTGGCTTGTGTATGATTGAAACTTTATAAATATACCTGGAGTTATTGCATTTTTATATGATGTAGTGTTTAATGACAATCTTGCATTTTATTTTATTTAAGTTTGAATACAGAAATTTAAAGCCAGAACTTTATTCATTGTTTAGCTTTTGTGTTCATATTTTATGCAGCAATGGTCAAATGTCATTAAGCTTGATCCAAAATCAAGATGCCAAACCATCAAGATCTTCCTCCATTTCTGTCACAGATTTTTTTAAATGCTGCTGACCTTTAATTAATCATTAAAAGAAACCTATCTTGCGTGACATGTAACAAGGGATGAAGGGCCTAAATAAACAGTGAAACTATGCATTAAAAATTATTCTCCAGATTTTCACCTCACAGAGATCCTCTAAACAATTCTCTACTTTTTTATTTTGAAAATAGAGATAGAGAATCCTAGGCCTGGTTTGCAATCTGATACAACAAAATTGAAAATAAGAATAAATTGGTATTTCATCAGCTTCCATACACAAACACAATGAGCCACTACTCACCCAGGGGGGCAGGTACATCCAGAGACACAGGGCTCGTGTGCAGAGCAGGTGATGTTGAGCAGGAATGATTCACAGGTGCGCTCACAGGCTAAGCCCCTTCCTGGCATGAGGTTGTTCTGCTCATCTGTGCAGTTCAGATAGAGTTGACCCGGTGGGCACAGCCTGTCTGCAGGGAGTTAGGTGGAAAATAAAGAAAATGTGATCAAACAAATCCAAACACTTAAGTTAGGCACAAGAAAGCTTAATCTGGATAAGAATCATCTTACCAGATTCTGTAGTTTGGGACACCAGTTTACCATTAAGACAAAGCCTGTGGGGGATCATTAAGTTATATGATCAGCAAATATTATCATCATACATGTTGAGCTTTATTTCCTGCACACTATAATATTAGGCATTTCAAAAAATGAAACCCAGCACAATGCATTTGCCAGTTACAAAATACAAATGTGCTCAAATGCAATTATTTCCCCTATAGCATAGCATACATTTATGGTATTTATGGATTTAAATGACAACTTAATGCACAATTGTGATTGTCTTTTCAGATACTTAAGGAATCTAAAACTTCACAAAGATCTTCATCCATCAGGCTGCCAAGTCCTTTTAATAAAAATATCAGCAGTATAGAAAAACACATTAAAATCAGGGGCACATTGAGAGAAAGAAATTTTAAAGATCTTACTGAACACCTGCTGATGTCAAAATCACGTCTCCTGGCTCGTAGTCTACTCCAAGGACACTGCAGGGACACTCGCTCCTGATTAAAAAGTATTACAACAACACAACCTGTTGCTGAACTCAGATCATTGATATGAACAACTGCATTAAAAATTCATGTGTATATACATAAATATACAATAAAAACAACCTAATCTAAGTTCAGTTTAATTTAGTCAAGTTTCATTTGTTTTGTCATTTTATTCTGACTGTCCAAGAAAAACCTCAAGTTGAGAACAAAACATAAGCACTTATGCTTTGGCTAAACTGTCCTTACTGTTTGGTACAATTCTGAATAACCCTAGAGTTTGCATTGTCCCAGGCAAGATGCAGCGGATTCTGGATAAGTGGACCTTTCAGGCCATGAAAACAACAGAACCCTGGAGCTGAAGAGGAGAGCTTTGTCTGCTGTCTGGTAATCCTTTGATTTAAGGGAATGTTACTTTGTGCAGTTCATTGTATTATCATCACCACACACCACTGGCGGCCGCCAATAGAGGGCGCAAGGGCACCGCCCCATTCACCCAATGATCTCGATTAAGATATAAAAAAATAAAAATGAAATAAAATAATTTAGAAATATATCAATATATTTTTTAGATGTGAAAGATAGATATTTCATCTTTAATCACAAATAAAGCTGTTTCGTTGTTGGATTGGTAACAATCGATTGGTGGTGGTATTTCCACCCTAGGGTGCAAAAATCTTTGTCCATAGACTCTCATTAAAATTTGTACATGCGCAGTAGTAGGACAATCCTGGGCACAGCTCTCCTGCACCCAGAGCTGCCATAAATGTACTGGTGTGATACCTTCGTATACATTTGATTGGTTATTGGAGAAAACTCCACCAGCCGCCACCTCCACATACCCTTAGAAGTTTTATCATTGTATTAAGTTCCAGTAAAACTGTTTAATGCATAGACTTCTTGGCTGTACTCAGCATTTTATGTTCAACAAGGACTGATGTTCCCCCCACCAATTCAAATTTTCTTGGATAGAACTATTTGCATCAATAGACCTCATCTAGTATGGTGAGGTGAAGGTAAAGTAGGGGTTCCTCCAGTAATTGGTAGGTTTGAGGCCCTGCTCCGTCACTCTCTACCATTGTGTCCTTTGGAAAGCGCTTCAACCTAATTGCCTGCAGTTGGTGGACAGACGCTTGGTGGACCTGATTGTATGGCAACCTCAATTCTGTCAGTCTGCCTCAGGTAACTTTGGTTACAACACAGCTTACCACCATTACCATTTGATTTGATGAATGACTGAATTCAGTGTCAAGAACCAATACAAAAAGGGCTTCTACCAATTATAAACATGCATATCTACAGAGCACATTTGTTAATTGTGGTGCAAAGGAAAATACAAATAAAAACTGCAGTGGTCATTTTCATTTATGGTAGAATTGCAGAGCCCTTGGGTAAATGTGGCTCTATTCTAGACCATGAAGAATCTGAGGATATGCAAAGTTTATACATTTTGAATAACTATGTTAAATTGGGCTTTGTGTTACACCAAAGAGCAAATTAAATATAAGTCGGTATGGGGAAGATCGAAGAGATGAGAGCTGGAGGTTTTTGATACATCAAGGAAAAGTGCTTAGAAAAGAAACAAGGATTGATACAATTTTCAAAGGACAAAACAAATACTTATAGGTGCTGTATCCTGTGTTTAACTGTATCAAGCTAAAAGCAATATAGGCCAGCACCTCACATCAGCCTCTCCACTGCAAAGTCTTTCTCACTGGTTATCAAATATCTGTGTCGTCCACAGCCCGACTGGGAATGAAAAGGGGGTTTCAGGGTGAATTCCTAGATGTAACTCTATCACATGGTAAGTAAGGCACCGTGTTGCACGGGGATGTAAAAACCTGGGACATTTAAGAGGAATTAAGCTGTGAGTCTTCAAGGGTGGAGGCGGAGCACACTGAAAGGAAGAGGACAACTATGGGGTTCCTCAAGCTCTACAAGGATTTTCACTTAACGACTGACCCCAGATTCAGAGCAGATACAAATATCACTCTGAGAGGATTTGTGTGGTGGACTGTTTCCAGGTGAACATCTATCTGCACGAAAAAATAAAAAAACTAACTGCAAATAAGGCTAGAGCTGCTCAAATATGCAATGAAAAGGCAAAGACTCCAACTTACTGCTGAGTGAACATCAAAACGATAATGTCTTTTGAAAAGATGATCAAACAATAAAAGAGATCAGACAGAAACTTTGGTGTAAGGTCTTACTTGTGCACACAGGTGTGAGTTCGGTGGTTGTAAAAGGACCCCTGGGGGCAGACACAGCCCTCCTCACAGTACTCCCCACAGTGCTGCGGGACAGAGAGGGAGGAGCAACGCCGCTGGCAGGAGGACACACAGGTGCCGTACTGCATTGTGGTAGGACAAGTGACAGCTGGGAGAAAAAAAAGGTTTTTAATACACAATAATGTATTGCTGTAAAGTGAAAACATCAAAAAAGAGACATGATATCTTGGCTGGATTCTCACCGCAGTCCGATATGTGTGATCGAAAGTCGATAATAACAGAGAATCTCCGACAATGCCGGGCATAGTGAGCCAAAGCGGAGCATAGGCAGGGCGTCCCACACCGACAGGTGTCTGCTCGGCATTGCTGGTGGAAAGGTGTCGGGCTGAGGTATTCGTGACAGGCGGAGAATAGATCTTGATTAAGAATGTCACACATTTCTGAGGCGTAGGTCACTGGGCATTGGTGAAAACACAGGGACAATGTTAAGTTTTTCACTAATGCAAGTCTCTCAGGAACAAGGTTTAAGGTCAAACACATATGTACAGTTGAGTTATTACTGCATGTAACTGAGTGAATTAAAAGGGAAGAATGGAAGAAGAAGACACTGAACTAGTTAGAATCATGAAGCTGAAAGAAGTACTTTAGAAGCATTCAAGGTGGATGGGTTTATTTTTCTTTTGTGTCAATTATCCAAAGTAATACACAAGATGAGGTAGAGTATGAGAGGTGAGAATATCTGAGAAACAGCCAGGGTTGGATTGTGGCCAGGATTGCATGCTTTGGAAAATGCAGAAGACTCTGAGTGTTGTTGGGCTGTCGTTGCTGACTTCAGCATCGCGTGGAGGTCAGGAATAAGGCCCCTGTACTGAGATGGCTGTTACTCTGCATAAGAGGAGGAACAGGAGGGTGTGTTCCAACTATACGGGAATAGCTACAGATCACACCTCTCTGTCTTCCCAGGAAGGCACATGCCAGGGTGTTATAAAGGAGAGTCCAGCTGCAGCAAAGGGGCCACAAGGGTTCTGGTTTGGGAACCAGCAGATCTCATTCCTGCTATTTGCAGATGATGTGGTGTTGCTGGATCCCCCCTGCAAAGACCTTTAGAATGCACTGCCGGGGTTTGCCGCCTGGTTTGAAGCAGCCAGAATGAGAATCAGCTTCTCCAAGACCATGGTTCTGGACAGGAAAAATGTGGGTAATCCTCCTCAGGTTGGGGGAGAGTTCCTAATTCAAGGGGAGGAGTTCCAAGTATCTTGGGGTCCTGTCCACAAGTGAGGAGAGAATGGACCAGCAGATTGATAGACGGATCGGTGTGGCTACTACCATAATGTGGGGGCTGCACCGGTCTGTTGTGATGAAGAGAGAGCTGAGTGAAAAGGCAAAGCTCTCAAATTTTAGGTCAATCTACATTCCTACCCTCATCTATTGTGATGAAATCTGGATCATGACCTAAAGAACAAGATCCCTGATACTAATGCCAGAAATAAACTTTCTCCACAGGGTGGTTAGGCACTCCCTTAGAGATAGTGTGAGGAGCTCAGCTATTTAGGAGAGTCTTGGAGTAGAGCTCCTCCACATGGAGAGGAGTCAGCCTAGGTGGCTCAGACATATTTTTTGGATGCTCCCTGGATGCCTCCTTCATGCCCTGGGCCTTCTTCTCCGAAGAAGGCCCAGGGCATGAACCGGTCGCGGATAAAAAGGAAGACAGCAGGTAGGATTATGAGGAAAATGGAGAGGAAAAATAGAGGATATGATAATTAAAAGCCTTAAGTAAAGCAAAATTGCTTTACTTTTGAGTTTCTAAATTATCCACTCAAAGAAAATGGTAGCTCTAAAAAGTTGGCAGTCTATTGGATGTCAGAGTTAAGGTAAGACTTCTACTTGGAGCAAATAAACTCAAGTGTTGCATTTTCAGTAATGTTAACTGTTTTAACAACCTCTATCATTAAACTATTAAAAATAATCATGTGACTTTTTCATGGCAACAGATTAAGAGGATTTTCAAATGTTCATGCAAATTAACCTTTTCAAAAATAAAATACTCCAATGTACAGTAATTATTTGGAGAATGTCTATTATTGAAGACCATAACAAGTTGTGTATGGGGACATAAGCAAACATAAAAACTCAATAAAAAGAAGAGTTTAGAAAATCTGCTATGCCACTGACGAAAAAATATTGATCAAGCATCACATTCTCAATACTGTCTGCAGTCTATATTTTATTTGTCTTTATAACACAATGAAAGGGTCAAAATAGAAATATGGAATTCTATATTTAACAAAAAGCCCAGTTGCTCAAAAGAAACAATAAGAGAAAAAAAAAGAGAAAAAAACAAACCAGCCTGTTGGTGAGTGTCACAGGGGTCTATCTGAGGTGTACTCAGGCTCAGTGAACAGGCTGATGACACCTTCCAGGAATTTCCAAAAAGATGAGGCGAGCTTTCAATCATTCCTGATGGAGATCTACAGAGAAACCAGGAGGCATCATGAGATACTGTATGGTCAAACCTAAAAACAAAAGTCATGTGTTGGTGATCCAATGGTACCACAATCTTTCACTAACTAGTTTTTGTTGTTTTTGTTTTTTTTGGAAGACATACAACAATTTAAATGACCGTACTCATGAATCAATACTCAGAGCACTTAGAAGTCTTTTGGATAAATTTTCAAACCATCATACATTCTAAGAAAATCCTTAGCAAAATAAATAGAAAAATGTTTTCCTTAGGTGAATATAAATACAGTAGGTTATGACCTTCTAAAGCAAACCCAGGAACCAACAAGACTACAGCCTGCAATATATTGGAAGACCTCTAATAGTTCAGTGTATTCTCATTATGAGTTCGTATGAAATCGTACGAAAAGTTATGCACCATAATTTTGTACGTTTTGGACGGTTTTTTCATCGTATGCTCATGCGCATCAGTTGCACCATTCACGATTATAGAATATAAATTACAATTAGCCCTAACCCTGACCCTAACCCTAAGATATAAAACAGCAAGCAACGTAGTTAGAGACATGAATAACTGATGATTGCACTGTTTTTCCCAGTTTTACGTCCGTCCGCGTATCTGCTTTTTTTTTCTGTCTGCCAGCGCATGCGCACTGATGTGGTTTTTTGACGAAAAACGTCCAAAACGTACGAAATAGTGTGCATAACTTTTCGTACGATTTCATACGAACTGATAATGAGAATATGTTGAATAGTTTACTATGCGGTTAGTTTTGCATTAGAATTGAGAGATAGCGTAACAGTCGTAAAAAAAAAGAAGTTGTAATTAAAAACAATGTAATACAGCTCAGATTAACAGACAACTTCCTTTCAGGATAAAGTCAGGCTGAGCAGCATTTCGTTCACCACAACAACAATCTTTGTATCTTTGAATGTGAGGATTTACAGCGTGGGTCTCAAACACTAATTCACTACCTTCAAACTATATATTCTTGCTTTAACAGCTAGATAGTTGAAACTTCGCTGAAAACCAACACTGCCCCCAAAACACATCAATTCAAATCAAGTTTCTGATGGAAAACAGACACTAATATAAAGCTTCTACAAGGGCTATTCAAAAATATGATCTAAACTATTTGGAAAATATTTGGAATACCTTTAAAAGCCAAAGGCATTGCAGAACACAGCAATAAGAATCCATTCTACTAGTCAATCTAGAGCAGATAAGCTTGTTAATAGCTACAAAATGGGAAGCTGAGACACACCTTACTGATGTCAGCATCCTTGAAACAAAATGATTTCAGTATGATGCCTCTCGCCTATATTCAGAATCTGTTCATATACAAAATATAGTTTTGTCATCCTAACATATCCTCTTTTCATTCACCTCAAGATTATCCAAATGTCTAAAAAACAAACAACAACAACAACAGGTCTAATTCCCATCAGTAATAGATTTTAACATGAGGCATTTACTTAAACCCAACTCTGATGCCACCTGGGTGCCACCAGGGCCTTCACAACTGATTAACATATTAGTCCCATTTCTATATTTTATTTCTCTTTAAAATTAGATTAGTAGAAAGCACAGGTGTATTTTATTCAGACACCAGAGGTGTATATTTTTTTAACTAGGTATAAACAAGAGTTTGCTGAATGTGAGAAGATGGCAGAGGACCTTGGATGGGTAAAAAGTGTATAACAGACATCTGGTTTACTATAGCAGCAAGCAACCACCAGCTTCAGCTACCAGCAGTGATGTATATATCCATTTACAACATCCGGCCATTATGGCAGCACAGTGGAGCCCCTTTACCACTAACAGTAAATTCCTTGTTGAAGTGGCATGTCCAGTTGGGCGCTCATCTGGTTGGCCTAAAAAAACTGATCAGAGAGCGAGTCTTTTGATGCGGGGCCGCCCCAAGTCGTGTGCATTACAGAGGGGAAAAGCACTTCACCTGTCTCCCTTCACCTGTAACAGGAGTTGCTCTTAATCGTTAGAAAGGAGGAGGGAGGGGTTAAAGGAAGGCGCAAGAGGGGTCAGGACCACCAAACGCACACTTACAGAAAGTCATCTTGACTGTTGCCGTTGAAAGTGCCGCAAAGCCCCACCGTGTTGTCTTTCCACGTCTCGTCAGCCTGTAAGTAGAGACGAAACTCTGTCCAGCTGTACTGCAGATGCAGGCCAAACCCTGTCCGAACCTGGAGGAACATGGATGACAGCTCCTGGATGTGGAAGAAGTCTGTGAGAGAAGGTCGAGGAAGACTTTTAGACTTTTTTAAATCTCATGAACAAAACTCAGAAAAATCTCAACAACTTAGGATCATAAATTTTGAGACTGTTCTGTTGCTGAGATTCTGTATTTCTATTTGCCATTAAAAACTCATTAATCAGTACTTAGTTTTTCTTTTACCCTAACAAACCCACTGATATATTGATACCTTTAAGCTGTGATGTAATGTATCAATCATAAGTGAATCTAAAGTCAACTGTCCTATTACTGTATTTCTTAATTTAATCAGTTGCTTATTGTCACCAAGTCAACCATGCCAACAACTATTTGAAAAAAACTTGCTTATATGCAAATTTACAGAAAAAATTATTGTCCTAATTTTTTTTAAATATGCAATTATCATGAGCAAACTGAACCCAAGGTCCTTGCTCATGCAGCAACCTTGATTACAGCTGATTAATTTGTTCCCATTAAATTGACCCCCCATCTCTAGTTTTTTTTTCTCCCTTTAGTCTCAGTTCCCTTTGAATCATAAAAAATGGCAGTACAAGTCAGCGTGATTCTTCTGGATATTCCACCTTTACATTAAAATGTAAAGGGTTCTTTCCACTGTTGCAATGTGTTTGCTCACAATGAGAGATTGCTGCAAAGTCATGGATGAAATGTAACATCTGGACTTCGCTAGATAGATTATTCCCTTTCCTTACATACATTAAAGTGCAAATTTGGAGTTTTGTTTTGATCTAATGAACTGAATTTGTTTATGTTTACATTGAAATGTTTGAAAAAGATTAGATTTTTATTAAAGGCTTTGGGTAAAATAGGAATCTTTATGGATGAAATGGATCTGTTTGTTCTGGATAGGATCATGAGTTGATTCAAAAAAGTTAAAAAACAACTTTTTGGTGCTTTGTTGGGCTACTCTATATAAAACTTAGGATTCAATGCTAATTCAGACATTTTGAATGGATAAAGCTTCCTGAATGGGAAGTGAAACGTCTTCAAAATAGGGAAAAAAGACACCAGTGGTTTGTTTTTGAAATTTTTGAACTTTTTTGGTATGACTTTGACCTGGATGACTGAGAATCTTCACCAGCATTTTTAGTTGATATTTGGAGAAATGTTGAGAAATACAAATAAACAGTATTGAATTAGATTTCAGTATATGACATTTATTGTTGATCTTTATTAATAAAAATATAAAAAGAAAAATAATTCCCATCAAATGGATTTATAATTTTTGATACAAAGACGAAGCTTTGAACAAATTAGTGCAATAAGGTTATCATCAAGATCCTGCCCCAGAACATAAAGTATAAATGGTTATTTTATTCATTTGAGTACAAAGTATCAAATGATCCTCACACAGTTTCACATAAAAACACACAAAGGACCATTGATGTGGACATGAAGACGTTGACATGTAATAAGAGCAACACTCAGAGGGACACCACTTTCTGCCCCACAATGCTAATTCTAAGCAGCATCCTATTAGGTAAATATTAATTCAATACACAGCTGTCATTCAATCTGTGTCTAGCATGTCCCACAGAGCGCTGAAAGAAGAAGAGTCCAAGATGGGAACAATGCTGGTCAGCGATAAAGGATGAGAGACAGTACCGTCAGAATAGGGCAGTGAGATACGGTACTGCCCAGCCATGAAGACCTCGCCGATGTGACTCAGAGTGATCTCTGTCCTTGGATCCTCATTAATGACCAGGTTCACTGATTGGATGCAGGCCCCATCTAAATTCTGTAAACATGACAAAATTGACTATTTTCCCACACAGAAGCAATTCCAGAAACATAAAATGCAAAACTCAGGCTTAGAGTTTTTTGCTAATACAAGTGAAAATGTTTAGACAGAAATACGTAAGTAAAAGTAGGCCACATAATCATCATTAGGAATTAAAAGAGAAATACTAAGGCAGTTACAAACGATAAATATACCTTTAATTTTTTCTGCATTGCAAAAAATGTGTCAATCTAACCAAGTCTTACAGTCTTAGATCAAGTCGAAAAGTCATATTGATTGTGTTTTGAGACTGGTAGAACAAGCGAGAGCAGATACAGTTAGAATATTAATTCAACTCAAAATCAGTGCAATGATCTGCCAGTGCATTTACACAGTTGTATTCAAATACAACTTCAAGTTTTAAGAATATAAACCATAATTTCATCGAGTTTTTTAATCAAGATCCTATTCAACCTCTAGACAAGGCAACCACAACATGGCAACTTATTGCATTTGATATTTTTTTGTTTTTGCCCACACATTTTAAGGCTCCTTATTTGGATTCCATGGAGATCCGGCTGCACATGTTTTCATTTATATAACCAGCTATGAAAATCAGCACAATTCAAAATAAGTGTTGAACCGATACTGAAACCAGTATCGGGGAAGGGCCCGATCCAGCACTGAAATGGTGGTATAAGTAACGGCGAGTACCGACAAATAGGCCACCATTACCATTTATTTAACTATTGTCACCCATTTCAGGTAGGCAATAAAAAGTTCTGCTGGATTCACTTTGTATTAGGGGTATCGATATGGTATTGGTCAATACTTCACAGGTATCGAGTATCAGTATCGGGCCAAAAAAGTTGTATCAGCACAACACTGTTCAGAATCATAAGGTCGAACCCCAGTGAAAGCTGGAAACTAGTATCAGGCTGTAGTACAGCAGAAATAGATCCACCTTCTAGACACGTGCCTTGTGAAAGTATTGACACTTATTTAACTTACCTGTAATAGTTCACAACATGGCAACAAACTCTTTTTATTTTAGGATTTTATAAAAACATCATGAAAAATGTTTGCATAATTTCGAAAATATTATGTTAAAAAAGCTTTTTTCAAAACATTTGAAAACTTTGCCTTGCATTTATAGTTAGGACCATTTACCTTTATACGGTACCCCCAAATATAATCTATTGACAACATTCTTGACAGGTCAGGGATAAACTTGTGAATAAGTTTACAACATTTAGGTTCTAAGAATTACTCCAAACCTTAAACATCTAACAGAATCATCTAATAGTGAACAGTATGGCACAATAACAAATTCATCTTAAAATGACTTTCAGGCCAGCTAGGGATGCCATCAATTCGAGAAGCAGCGAAGCCAAAAAAACACCATGAGGATCAACAAACATCATTACATGTTGGTGACACAATCAGTGGGCAGGGATGTTTTAATTTGGTAGGAATTAGATTGCCACTGACTACATGTGTTCGTATCGAATGGGAAAACTGAAGAAGCTTGTTACAAGCAAAGAGTAAAATAGTCAAATTCCTGCCTTGAGTACAGGATTAATTAATTTAATTAAGGATTCATTTTACAGGAGTTAATTTTTATCAAGTGTATCAAACTAAAGCGCAGAAATGAAAGGGAAAGCTCTATGTTTACATTTTAAGATTTCTCTCTCAAATTCTTTCCTGGGAAGAGATCACTCGGAACACTTTAAATAACACTTCATAAGGTTTATGTATTAAATAACCATGAGAAAAGACAACATATTTTTTGACAGAAGTTGTAATCTTACTCAGACGAGAGAAATGGCTCGGGTTACAGATGGCGGCGCTTACAAACGGGCTCGCTTCTTCAGAAAGCCAGCCCATCATACCACTTAAAGAAGCATTTTATAAATTTCCAGTGTCACGCCCTGCCACATCATCAAAGCTCACATCATTACATCAACCACATGTTTTGTACCAGTGGCAGCACCTGCTCCCTGAAACAGGAGAGGCTTAATGTGTTAATGAAATCCAAACGTAATGTAATGTATTAAAAAAAACTTAAATCACATCACTGCAACGGTAAAAATTGTTCAACAAAATTCTTACTAAAGTATCACTTTTTCCTCTCTCATCTGAGTCTCATGAGAAAAACCTCCTTGCTCTCTGGCCACTGTGAGTCAAAAATCCTTTTTCCAATCAGCATCGAGCAGCTAGCTTCATGACCCGCCCCTGCTCCATAGACCTCCTAAGAGGCTAGCCTCACTGCAAGGGATGTATTTTTGCATGTTATCCAATAAGGGCCTTCCTTCTTGCTACTTGCCTCAATAGGCTCAATCCTTAATGGAGATTTCTCCAAGATACTAACAGGTAGTGTCCTGGTTCTTCAGAGCAGAAGGCAGATTGCATCCAGTAGCTGGCTCAACAGCTGATTAATGTGCAACATACTCGGGAAATCAAGCATCTTTTAGTGTATATCTATTGCAGTTAAATTACTCAATTTATGGAGTTCACAAATGTGTATTTCACCATTTACTTTATTTAATTTACAGCAGAGGTGTCCTGATCTTGGCACTGATGACTGGATTACTGGTTCATTCCACTCTGGCTTGGATTTCCCTATAGTACCTCTTCTGATCTCTGATCTTCTGGCCTGGACTTCTGCTACCTCATCGACTCCAGCTTTGGCTTCTCATTCTGTAAACTCCTGCTCTTCCTCATCTGCTGTCTTCTGCTCATCAGTTGGCTCTGCAGCCCTCTTGGTTTTGTCTCCTGGAACTTTCTGTGTAGCGTCCGCCACGTGCTGTGGAAAATCATACGGCTAGATTCCACCCCTTCCTCTGGGCTCAGACTGAACTTTATAATTAGGTTAGTGACTCACACGCTCGTTACTGTCCTCTGTCAGAGTTACGTGGTCACTAACCTGTGTTTTCCACTCTACAGAGGTTCCGGCTATTTAGTCCTAGATGCTGACCCGCTGACAGTCAATAAACACTTTTATAAATCATTTCAGTCTGCCTGCCGGAATTCTGGGTTCAACGTTCTGAGTCCTGACAAGAGGCTTAGTCTCCCTAGCATTCAATGAGAAACCGCCACTGTTTTGTTCATGAGGAGACTTCACTGGCTCCACCATATCAATATATTAATCAGTATTCTTAGATCCAGGACAACACAGTACAGTGACAGAGCTATCTGTTAAGAATAATGCACTCTGTCAGCATGCTCCCATTTGATTCCCAAATCTTTTTTTACATACATAAGGAAAATTATTACTTTTTATCCTGACAGAAGAACTATTTGAATTAAATAAAGTTCTTGGGAAAACATTAACCTTAACATGTAACAAGTAGATAATATTAGGGTTGAACAAGCACACACATGAATTATGAAAATACAGCTAACAGTACTTATGCTCCAAAAAAAGAAGTGCTAGACGGAAAAGGGTTAACAATTCTGCTTAAAGAGGAAGATGATTAACCTGTAGCATCTAAAAGGTTGCCACACCCGTCCATCCATTTACAAGCTTTCTCTCAGCTCAGGTCGGGATGGTTGCTGGTGCCTATCTCTAGCTGTCTACAGGTGACAAGCAGGTGTCCAGGGTGTACCCCAATCTATCGCAGAGGTTGCAGAATCCTCTCAAGTAAAAAAAATGTGTTCGATTTTTTTTTTAACTATCCTTAATATTTCATATCTAATCATATGTTGTAAGTTATAATCTTTCTGCATTACTGGCGTGAAGCAGAAAACAGATCAAGATAAACAGAATCTGTGACAGTTTGAGCAAATTATTATGTTTTCAGGAGTGAGGCAGCCTGTATCGCTGACAGCTAACAATCTGCCTCGATGAATCGTTTCTTTCATAAGTGGCACAGCTCCAAGAGCGAAGGTTTTCAGCACACACCTCCCTAATTTTTCCTTCTCTTCCCATCATTCAGATCCCATTTCTCCTGCATAATCTTCTCTCTGCCCCCTCACTCTCCCTCTTACTACAAAGCCATCCACAGCTCTGTCAGTCGGGCCAGATAAGGTAATCCAGCTCAGTTGGCTGTTAGAGGTCTGGGGCCTCTGCTCTGATGAGTGGGACATCTTATATCTCACCCCCCTCACCTCCATTCGCCCCCTCCGTCTCTCTCTGCTGGGAAACTGAGGGATGGCAGAAAAGGAGAAGAAGCCCTTCTCTTTTGTCACTTTTCTTGTTCATTGTCTGCTCCTGCAGTTGCAGCGCATTTCTCCAACAAAAAACCCTTCAACTCAGCAGGAATCACTGGCCACTTAAATTTTGATATGATCTACATGACAGACAAATTGGCTAAAACTGCAATCCGAGCCAACAGAACAGTTTGACTCCAGAAGCCACAATAAAAGACTGAAAGAAAAATAAACATGTTAGAAGCAACTCACGGCTCCACAGGGGGCGTTCTGGATGGTGACGGTAAATTTTCCTGAGTTACGACTTTTGGCGAGGACGTACTGACATGTCGCAGGGAAGCTGAAGATCCGGCCATCAAATGACTGAAAATACATATCGCCCGTCACCGAGCATTCGCCTGTAAAGCAACAAATTGTTTTTGTTTGGTTTTTTTCGACTAAATACTCAATTTTGCATCTGTACAGCTATGCAGGTATACCATGTAGGAGAGGATTGGATTATATTGCTAAATACAGTGTTGGTTTGAATTATTTTCTTTTATATATTTAATCATCAATAGAAAAAGCCTTATGCATTCATTCATGTTATCTTTGGCTGATAATTACCATTAATGATCAGAAACATTTAAACCAGAAAAACAGTAAAAATAGACAGAACTTTTTAAGGTGGAAAACTTCTTTTATTGGACTGTAATTGACTTTGCATTGATAACAGAGATTCAATATTTTGTGAACATCTGTTACTTATTTTTTAGCTTGAAGGCATTATTTGACATGAAGACAACTTTTCAACCTGTCTGTTTCATTCTTGTTCTCTGAATGTTTCAGGTTTGGTAACAGTTGGTATTAAGTTACTGATTGTTACTGACTTAAAACCTTCCGCAGGTGCATTGTTATTAAATACAATGTTTGACATCTGAATGAAAGATGAAGCAGTTAATTAAATGTTTTGCCTCTGATGCATTTTCCCAAATCTAGTACATGAATATCCACATCTCAAAGAAAAATTTTTTTATTGATTCACAATATAAAGTCCTACATTTGCAAGAGAAAGCAAAAATTTGACTCAATTAATTCATATTTAGATTTGCAGTGAAATTTCACTTTGAGACAAGTGATGATGTATCTGACTATAGATCTAAAAACTGTGTAATGTTTTGCTTGTGTTTTGGTTTAAACTTATTTCTGCTCCATAAGAATATTTCAAACATAATTTTTGTAAACTTTTAATCAGAATATCTTTTGGATTTCTCTGTCAAATTAGCCAGAATCCTATTATATTCAGCATTGTTGGAACACACAAACCTGACATATCTCACCTTTAGTCCAGTGGAAGGCTCTGTTACTCACAAGTTAAAACCTTTTTATATACTTTATTACTTTCTCTGTTTTCCTATCTGAAAAGAAATAGTGCGTTGGACCTCCTGTCCCTCTGTGCCTCATAAAAGCTGGGAATCACCATTGTAATCAATTTCATGCACTAAAGTGGCTCTAGTTTTGCTCTTTATGATCTTAGAAGAAGAAACAAAAAAAATTGAAACTGAAAATTATGGATGTAGTGATATTGACATTTTTGGCTGACATTAATATAGCTGTGAAGGCTGATGACCATTATTTACCAGTTTTATATATATTTCCTTACCTGTACGACATCATGAAGGAAAATTACCCTTTAGGGAAACACAGCTTAAGTGTCGCTGTCATAACCAAAATAAATAACACATGACCCAACCCCTTTCCTTTGCTGCACAAATAGCAAAAGATGGAAATAAACATCAGTTGTTGATATTAGCACAATATCACTTGCAGAACCCTTTCCAATATGTTCAAAATTGCAAATTTAAAGCATTGATACCTTTGGTAATAACACAAATATATTTTTAATCTCTAATGAGGATTTCAGGTTAGTTTAGTTCTGTCATTTCTCCTTAAAATTACTGAAGTTTTAGCTAGAGACCTAATTATAATCTATTATAATTTTTCTTAATATTTGTACACCTATTGGTATTTGTATTTTGTTTTTGTTTTTTTTTTTTTTTTTTTTTTTTTTTTACTCACTCTGAAAGATGTGTATTTCGACATACAGAAATTTACCTCTTAAAATAAATATCTTTTAGATTTTGGCGGCCTCTCACTAAGGGACTATTATTACATGTATGGACCAAGTACAATGCCTTTTAATGTGCTCTCCATTTGAGCCCTTTTTTCCAGGGTTTTGTGAAATTAAAACTAAAATGTGAGTTCCTATGTACCTGCTCCCTTGAGATATATTACCTTATCCTAAAACACTGGTTTAAGAGATTGTTTTTTTCTTTATCTTGCATTTTAAATATAAAAAAATGCTTGTATTCATCTGTCTGTACAACGCTCTACTCCCTATCAAAAATGTCCTCAATCAGGAGCAGCAGACCATTAAAAGAGATATATTTCTTTACAGACTATGAAAAAACAGTTTTTCTTGTCTAATCCCATACATTTGGATCCTAATCTATGTAATCACATGCAGTTAAAGTAAAATAAACCCACAGAGGAAAGGCACAGACCTGGGCAGCTGTTGTCAGTGCAGTTCCACACTCCACCCACACATGTGCTGAAACAGAAAGCAGAGAAATCCACAGGTGGTTCTGGGCTACATGAAAGGCTGAGCTAATAGCAGGATTACTGGGAGAAACTGGACACACCGAGCACAGGCGGTCAGATCTGAGGAGATTAAAGGAACTGAATGCAACCATTAAAAAAAAGATCAGATTTTGTATGCAGCAGTAAAATGTAAACTTAACAAGGTGTCCGTCTAGAAAAAGAAGGTGTTAAGGAGGGAAAAAACTGTAAAATAAAATAATGAAACATAAACATACCATTTCTTAAATTTTATTATTTCAAAGAGACTGTAAAAAAAGACTTTGCGGATTTAATGCAGTACTCAGCTAACATATGCTCACCAGTTGTTGCACTCCTCCTGCAGTGTTTGTCCAGACGGATAAAACATGCCGTGGTACTCACAGGGACAGTCAGCTGGTGCCACACAACTTCCATCCTCATAAATTAGACCTGTGACAGATAAGTGGCAGTTTTGTTTTTTTTTAACATTAGGAATTCAAATTATGAAATGGCACAAAAAGCAAACATTTTGGGGTGAGTAGCACCGCATTTAGGATGATGTTAAAGTCTAAAACCTGGGATTCATGTTTACATATTCTCTTCCAATAAACAATTTATAAGGGCTGTGTTTTAAACATAGACAGCTGAACTATTTCTTATTATTGTTATCAAATAATAGTGATGTAGTTTGTGATGTTGCAACAAAACTAGGATAGCCTACCATAACATTTAATTGGATCAGTGAACCTATAAAGTTATGCTCCCAGTCTTTTAATACAGATGGGTCAAGTAAGGACCTCCCAGAGACCTGAGTAAATAAAAAAGGTGTAATGTTTACCCTTTTTAGCAGAATTTAATGGCATTTAATATTTTTCTGGGCACTTTCATCACAGCAGTTAGTTGTGCATGAAACATCAGCCTTAGTCCTATTGGCTGAGTTGTCTTGCTATAGAGCTATATTTTAGTAGCAATGCTCCTGGGAGTTATGTTGCTTATTCAGAGATAATCTAAATCTAGGTTTACTTTTTTGACATTCTAATATGTATAAGACAGTAAAATCAAGGGTGATTGGAGAGAGGCCAAACCAAAATGCTTGAATGATGATTAAACCTGGGAGTTTTCTGCATGAAATAATATAAATGCTACTGTATGGTTCCAGAACCAAGGCAGCAGGTTCAAAAATGGGTATGAGAAAAAGCTTCAGTAAAGTCAAAAATTTATATTGTATTCTAAGCTCTACTTACGTCCAATCCCTCCTGGGATCAAATAATATTTTGCATTTTTTTTTCACACTTAATCCTGGACTTCTCTTCGTTTTTGCATCTCCATAAGCCGTTAGGTACTCGCTTAACTCCAAACAACATATGTTTATGGCCTCTACTTGTACTAATTGGTTCATTGCATGTATGTTTAAATACCGTTTTACACCTACAAGCGATCAGCTATGTTGATAAGGTGCAAACAGGTGACCTCTGTACACGTGGTCTTGTCATAGTAAATATCAGTGGTGAAAAGTAAAAAAAGTAGACTTACTTTATAACTGTACCTAAGTACATTTTTTGAGCATCTTTACCTTACTTGAGTCATTATGGGGGGGTGGTACTTATAATTTTCACTCCACTACATTTTAAAGTCAAGTATTGTACTTTTTTACCCCACTCCATTTCCAGGAGGCTGCTACATAGTTCCTTGTTCCATTTGGCTCAGCTTAGCTTTGAAATCTGCTGTTGCTTTTTGTCTTTCTTGAAATGCAATTTTAACATGGCAGATTATACTATTAATATTAATACTGAAAAATGTGCATAAACACTAGTGAAAAGCTCTCAAATAAACAAGTGAAAACATTTACCTCTTATATAACCCACTTTTTAGTAGTGTATATGAAAGGTAAAGCTTTTTACCAGTTTATATGAACAGTTCTCACCTCTTTGTATGAGTGCTTTTGAGTAGGTTATATAAGGGGTAATTGTTTTCACTAGTTTATGTGAAACCTTTTCACTAGTATTTATGCACGTTTTCAGTATATTATATAGAAGAGTTTAATTTAATATGTGTATATGGAAGTTAATTTTGATGTATGTCCATGGGGGCACCCCAGGATTGAATTTTGAAAACAACTGTTTTAGAGATTTACATCACATTCCAAAAATGTGATATTATTTGTAGTTTATCAATTTTATCAAGGTTATTTTTTTCCATGTGGCCAAGTTGTTGAGTAGGATGTGTTGCAGTTTCTTTGCAGTAATAGATTCAACCTTAAACAATATTAAATAAATAATGTTAGGGTTGGGTTTTTAACTCACAACCCCAGGGTTCCAAGCCCTATGCCGTAACCACTAGGCCGCCACTCCCCCTAAACCTCTTTTCCATAGTGATAACGTGACAAGAATCAAGACACTCCTGTTTTCTTTTTTGTTTCTTTTTAAATAAGAAATAATAATCAAAATATGTGTCCTTATTTTTTGTGGAAGATTTATGGTAAAGTTCTTTACAAGTGGTGTAGAATTTGTAGCAGGTGATTTTATGCATTAATATATCAGGTGGTTTCTGAAAGTTACAAGGTTCTTTGAAATCGCTCTGAAAATTACACAGAAATGTACTAATATTAGAACATTTTATTTGTGTTTTTGAATACTTAAGTACTTTTGAATGTATGTACTTTTGAATACTTAAATGTTTTTAAAAGTGAGTACTTCAATACTTTAACTTGAGTAGATGTATTACAGAGTAACTTGCAGTTCAGTAAGATTTCACTATGAGCATCAATACTTTTACTTAGTTACTACTGTTGGGTACTTTGTCCATCCCTGGTAAATATACACAAAGCACTTTCTTTCTTACTCTCATGTTTTTGCTGTAAAACAGGAACAATGACCAGCAGGAGCTGCTGAGGCACAAATCTGTAAACTCATGGTACAAGACTCCCTTTTACTTAAATGACCGCAACAACATTGCCCAAAACTATTTTTAAATGCTTGATAAAACATTAATTAAATCAGCTGCTGTTATCTAACCCTTGTGAGGGTCTAGCCTGCCAAATAAAAGCACTGATGCTTATTTTTGGCAGTATGAGACAGCAAATTTGGAGGCACCAAATGACAGTTAAAAGGTTAAAATGAAATTGAATAAAAGCAAGATTAGGTAGAATAGGTATAAATAAAGCAAGTATGTTCAAAAAATATCAAGGCACATGACACAAAAAATAATAGAAAAGCAAGCACTGCATGCATTTGTTCTGGAAAAAAAAGTTCAAAAACCCTAATAAAAAAGTGACCACTTTGAAAAATTCTGAGTCATTAGAAGGGAGGTATAGAGTTTTCAAATATGTATGCTTGCAGTGAGCCTTGTAACATTAGTACATTACTTTTGTTTTATAGTAAATTTTAAAAAAGGGGTTTTACTAAAAGATGGTGCTACATGTTTTTTGTTCCAGAGGATTAAATAAAGGATTTAAGGATTTACCTTCAGGACAGTAGCATCCATCTAAGCAGGCCAGTTTGCTATCTATGCATGTTCGCTCCAGGTTACAGGATTCGGGGCAGCAGCTGATGCATTCTCTGTACTGCAGCCCCAAAGGACACTGCTTCACTGGTCACAGAAAGTAAACACAAGAGATTATATACTTTTTAACCTGTCACATTGAAACAGTGAAATAAAATGAGCTGCTATTGATTTTTTTTCTAAATAAATCCAAAAGAACAAACCAGCTGGGCAATACAAACTTTTCAACCCACTACTTTATGTTAAAAAGGTTAGCAACCAACTACAAAACTACATTTTACACTGCAACAGCTTCACTTTTTTGCTTCTTGGTATAATGCAAAAACAGCGTACCACACTGAGGAATGTGCTGCCTCCAGTTGTGCAGTGGGTGGTCAGCATGGGCGCAGGCTCGAGCGTATTCGCTGAACACCTGGCATACCACATCTCCGCTGGGACCCGACCTTTATCGAAGGGAAAAGACAGAAAAGGACTGTTCGAGCGAAGCAAGGAAACGTGTGGTTACACAACCTGGTTCAGCGGGCTGATCCGACTGCAGCTGAAAATAACAACTCAAACAGCCTGCATTGCTGTAAACAAAAAGTTTTTACTGGGGAAGTTATTCTTGAGACAACAAATCACTGTGGTGGCTGTAGTTGTTGGAGCAGATGACTGGGACTAAATGTGTATTATTTTAGAAAATATCTAAAACAAATGTAATATTTCACAATGAAATGAAATTAAGCAATAAACTATAACTTAGACATTCTTAACAAGGTTCCGGATGCTAAATAGTAACATTATAATGTGATCTATTCTTGCACCAGTGTTTTTTGGTTTGAATCATGTATAGTTGAACACCCAATTGTGTATTGCTTACCAGCAAGCTCATTATACACATGGGAATATAGTGATAAATAAAAAGAGGATCATCTAGATTGCTCTGCTCAATTTAACATATGGGTTCAACGAGGACACTTTACAGTGTGAAACTGGAACGCGGATTATAAACAATCACATATCCACAACATGTTCTGGGATAGGTAAAACAAGCTAACTGGAAGCTTCTGGAAAGCTTATTAATCGCTCGGACCTCATACCGACTGAAAATTAAATAAAGTAAATACACTCCAGAACAAGGGTCAAATATCAAATGAGGAAAATGCTCAAAAAGGCTGTTTTGCTCAAAGGGATATTAAAAAAAAAACTTTAACTGGGGTGTATTTTTTGTTTTGATCACAAAAAATCAATTCTGAGTTCTAATTTGTGTTCATATGTATCGTCTCAGAAAACTTTTTCAGTTGTTGTAATTATTTGAATATTCATACTCATTGTGGTGCAGAAACACATTGTATTCTAAAACTAGATTTACAGACACTGATTGAACATTTCGGTTCTATGATTTTACAGTTATTATTGATGCCCTTAATTTGTATTATGGCTTCTAAAGCAGCACTGTAACACTTTTACCACTAAAAAAATGGCACCAATTGCATAGTCTGCCTCAGTGTTTTGTAATTTGACAGCAGACCACTGTGGGCCAGCAGACTGAGAACTTATTGGGTTATTTGGAAAAAGTAGAAAATGCCACATTCATCACATCCAAGATCAGAGAACCAAACAATAAGTCTGATCAGGTGTCATACCTTTTTGTTGCCTTACAATAACTTTTTAGTGTTCGCTTTCATGCTTAAAGGGGGCTCAGACTATCCCCAATCAGCACTCTTGTTCACATGACTCATTCAGTGACAGATTTGACCCTCTAAGGAAGGTATAGTACAGTATATACAATTCTCAAATTCAGCTAATTCTTGTGTTAAATGTTACGCAGTATTACTTTAAATTGTAGATAATGTGGATAATTACAGTTTGAAATATGAATTATATGGTCAAAGGCCTGAGTTGCCAGTTGGATATAGTAAAATTATTTAAACAGGATAGATTGGAATAGTTCTTCTTACTTGCAGAGGTCGTTGGAGCAGCTGGCCATGTAGGACAGAGGGCTCACAAAGTCGTGACAGCTTTGGAAAGGTGGCTCCAACAGCATTGCGCAAACCTCCTCCACTTTCTGGAGCCAAGCAGAATCAAACAAAGAAGTTTCTCCAGATGACACTTTTAAATGTATCTGGCTTTGTTCCAGTAGCTATAAGTATTACTATTATTATTGTCTCACCAGAAGGATTTGAGTATCAACAAGAGCACAAGGCGATAAGAAGTCAGTCGGAACCTGGGTACATCTGCCCTGGTGGGGCTCCATCTCCATCCAGCTGTTCCCAAACATCTCTACATTCTGGCTTAGCACACCTGAAAGGCAGGGGAACTCTTTAAGGGACTGGTGTTATCTTTGTTTTTAAGGGTAATAAAAGCATAAAAAAATACTCTCTTTGTATTAGGTCTATTAATTAACAGTTGATATAACTCCCATAACGAAACAAACTGTCTCACCGTAGCTCGTCTTCAGGTCATCCTGAACGTCTGCATTAAAGTTGCCACACAGGCCGCAAGTTCGGCCCACAAACTCTGGGCTGAGTTTAATGTAGACTGAGCCACTCTGTCCCTCCCAGGCCAAGGTGAAACCCAACTGCTGCGTCACCACCACATACTGGGAAATCTGCTCCAGCTGCAGGTCGTGGATGCGATGAGGCAGCTGCAGACTAAACAGACAGTGGGCTGATTTTAATACCTGAAGTATAAAAGTAAAGCACATGGATAGCAGGCATTGGGTATACTACTAACCTTTGGCCTTTGAATGTGGTGCTGGTGGCATACAATCGTATCTCGCCTTCCCATGGGAGAAAGACACTAACAGACCGCTGACAGGTGTAGGGCGCAGAGCTGCAGTCTGGGTCATTATGGACCTGTTCACATACAGATTCAGGATGAATAAAATGATCTATCCATTAGCTAAAAGCATGTAATGTCAAATGATGGACAAATTCTTGGCTTTAGAAACGCCTGCAATGCTGCTGCAAGCATTATTTGAATCACAGTCCTCCACTGGTGTAGGAAGATTTCTTAAGTAAGTATTAGGAGTATGCAGTTGTGCACAAATGCATTGAAATAAGTGGTATTTACTTTTTAAAGATTATTATCACTCTGCCGTTTTTTTGTTTTACATGATCTTGAACTAAGCACAGGATTACCGAACTTGATGAAACTGAATTCAATTTTTAAGTCAATAGAACCTGCACACTAGAAAAATTATCCAGCTAACCTTACTTTCTTTATGCAAAAAAGCAAAAGTAATCTAAAGTCTATCTCTCCATTTCCTCTATCCAGAGCTTCGTGATATATTGTGGACATATCTTCATAGCAGCATCAGTCTGTGTGATAATAAAACTGCAAAGAAGTGTTATAAAGGTAGGTGTCTGATACTTTATTCCAAGGTAATGAACTAGCAGTTTGTCCATACAGTTTTAAGGTTATTGACAGAGTCTTCCTGGAGTGACCACAGACAGCACTGTAGAAGTCAAAGGTCACAGGCTGTTAGAAGCACAAATGAGGTACTTTTTGCAGCTGAAAGTATCCTAATATTTAGCAATAATATCACAATGGCATAGTATTTAGAAATTGGCCATCTCAGATTATATGTACAACAGGGATAAGCAGAGAAATTATCCTGCACCTGAAATGCATTCTATCTCTCTTAACATTTATCACAGAACAGCCACAATAATAGCAACTTAATTTAGCCTTTGGTTTACTGTACATGAGCGATGACGATTTTTATCTAAAGAGCAACAGGGACCTCCTAGTGCTGTAAACTTGGTTGCTTGTTCGTTTTAGTTTTTATTTCAGTCCATTTATGGTATTTGACTATTAAAGTCAAAGAAACTTTAATGAAATGTGTTTAACTGAAATTGAATTGAAATTGAAAATGTTTAAATGGATATTATCTATGGCCAGAGTTAATGCAAAATTATTCTGATAACGTAATTCATACACAAGGTAATCTAAAGGTAAAGGACATCAGAACTTTTATTGTATTTTCTAGTCTTTTCTAATAGGATTTACTCTACAGTAGTATATCTGCAAAGGTATTTACAACTCTTTAATTTTTTACTTAAAGCTATTTAATTTGAAGGAACAACACAAAGTAGTTTACCATTTTTATCATATTCAATTCAATAATGTGTTGTATGGAAGTGTTGTAGGCACTTATTTTTAGAGACAAGTTTGATTGGCTGGACAGTGTCATTATTTATAGGAAGCGGGTTTAATCACTAAAGCCGGGCTTACACTGTGCGATTTTCGGGGGGCTATTTTGCAGTCATGCGTGAATCTTTTGATCTGGCCGACTCTCAGCCTGATCGTGCGTCGTGAGTCGTGTAGTTTACAGGGGGGAACGAGCGGCGAACAGCCTCTCACGACCACCTCCCAATCAGGAATCGTGAGGTCGGGAGAAAATCAAACATGTTTGATTTTCTCCCGACCTCACGATCCGTCGTGGACAAATCGCTCAGTGGGCATGCGCAAACAAGGATTCTTCTTTTTCTTCTTCCTCTCAGATGTAAACACAGCAGCATGGCAAGGATGCAATGAGTGAAAATGAGTTCCTTCTGTAAAATTGACAGACCGTAGTAGCCACGTTTGTAGCCGTGTCTTTGTCCAAATACGTTGTTGCCTTTTTCTTTTTAGGGCTTTCAGCAAAAATTTGCACAAATTACCAAGGCAGAGCATTTCACTCTAGTGAGCTTAATATTCCCCTTCTATTTGTTTGGCTTCCGGATCGACGAGTCAGAGCAGCTCCATCTTACTGCGGAGCTGAGTCCGACGTGGTTTTCTGGTCGTACAGTGTGAGCAGGTAGATCGCATGAGAGCGTCGTGCTGCACATACATCGTGAGCTGTGAACTCACACTGTACGACTAAACCCTTCGTACAGTGTGAGCAGTAGCTGCATGCAACGATAGAAAAAATCACACAGTCTACGCCCAGCTTAAGTTCGCCATAATAATTAATGCATTGACATGCTTTGTCCGGACCATTTAAATTTTAGTTCTGGTTTAGGGTTGTTGTCCTGATGGAAGGTGGCATACCAATTTCATGGTTTTGGCTGCCTCTAATTTTTTTCTTCTAGTCTTGGCCTGTTTTATCTTATGCGTATTCAGGGTGATGCATGGTGTTGGTTACACACCATTTTGTATGTGGTTGGCGTAAAAGTAACATTTAAGTGTCATCTAACCAGATCACCTCTTAAAAAAATTGAAAAAGAATTTTTTTTTCTTACAAATTATGAAAGATGTTGGGATTTTGCTCTATTATAGTCTTGTTTTTATAGTACCCATATGCTTTCATTTGCCTATTTAGACATGCTTGAATTTTCCTACTGTCACACAACAGCAGAAAATTTCCACTCTATTCTATAAGTTAAACCAACTTAAAACTTCACAACTTTCTTTCTGGACTGTCAGCTGTGTTCCCATCCTTCAAGAAGCTGTTTGTTCATTATTGTTCGCTAACAAATCTATGATCCCTCATTCACACAGACTGCTTAATCCATGTGTCCTTTTTTTCTGTCGCAAATAGAAGCCTATTGGTACTGAATGAAGTAATATAAACATTTAGAATTTGGTGGGGTTGAGTATACCCAGACCAAATAGTGGAAAAGGGACGTAAGAGAACATGACTGAATTGTTTGTTCTTATATATAAGCATCCAACATTGTTATAAATACAGAGGAGCCAAACTTCTAATAAAAAAATGGATAAAATGTATTTTCTAAACTCTCAGCTAACATGTATCCTACATACACAGCTAGATGATGTTTGTTATCAAGCCATTTATAAATAAAATGGCAGATCCAGACATAAAGAGTGGGACAAATCTAAATTTTTAGGATTTTTACCATTACCACGAAATCAAATGCTCAGTTTCAAAATGAAAGCTTATAAACAGTTTTGAATTTTGTGATACTTTCAAAAGCGCTGGTTTGTCTACCTGGAAGAACATACGTCCTAAATGTGTGTCATGAGGCTTTTATTTGTGTGTTTTATTTGTGCTTTTACTTGTTAAAATGACATGTTCTGTAATTATTAAAAGTCATGCTCATAATATGTACATCTTCAAGTTTTCCCAGGCAAAGGTACAGTATCTACTGCCTTTTATAGAAACAAAGCTCTTTTCTGTTCCACTTAGCTTCGAGGAATTCTGTCAAATTGCGGTATTTAAACGTAATTGACTCTAATTACCCTTTGAATCAACTTAAGGACAATCTTTCCTCAGGCTGGGATTGATACTCGCAGAATCCAAACCTTACTGAAAAGCTTGTCGAAAGCCTCCCCGGCTTAAGGAGTGCAATGCATGAAAACACTGAGCTTTTCAAAAACAGTAGACTTGTTTAGTCTGTACTAACCTGGACAACGATGCTTGCTTGCGTGGTTTCTTCACAGTCCCTAAGGAGTGTATACGTGCATCTGCCAGGGAAGTAGAAGTAGAGACCATCAAAGGTCTCAAAGTTGTACTGGCCCCAAGTCCTACAGGTCATCTCCCTCTCAAAGCCAAGATTTGGAACTGGGGACATAAAAATATAAAAGTAAAATGAGATCCCTCCTTAATTTATAAGAGCAGAGAAAATCCTGGGATAACTGGGTAAAATTGTTATATGACATAAAACTGCACTGACTTTAAAAACAGTATCATAGCACAAAAGTATACATTTCAAAATGTTCTCTTATCTTCATAGGCTGAAATTTAAGGACAGATTCAACAAGGTACCAAGCACCCATGCCATTGTTATTCAGTGAAATTGACAGCAAGCTGCTCTGTTATTCCAATAAGTTATATTTTGACTGTATCTATTTGTTTTTTTATCAAAAATAAACAGAAAAGAGTATATTTTCTTTTAACAATATTGCCTCACATGTAATCTTTAAAAAATCAACACAAAACCATTTTGTTTCCAAACATTTGATTCAAGCAGAGCACTAAGAAGACCTCTTATGCCGATGATATTGTGATGTTTTCACTAAAATTATGTTTTGCTGAACAGCTTTAATTTCATAATACCATGACTCCCCAACTAGGGAAAGTTAAATATCTGGTATATGAGAGTCCCAGCTTGTAAACAGACAGCATAAGGGTTGGTATTTAGTAAACATTCTTTATAAAAACATGAAAGACCTACTTCCTATGTATTCCAGGATTAAACCATTGTTTTGTGTGACTCTGTTAAGCTGAAGATAAATTTACTTGAATTAAGAGATTTTGGAGAAGTTTGTATGATCTGTATGTTTGAGGTTACCTGTCTGACATCTGTGCCCAGTGGCCTGAAACAAGCTGCAGTCACATGACTCTGATAAAATGCACTGTCCTCCATTGAGGCAGGGATACTCACATGGCTCCCCTGAGAGAAAAAGCAAAACATTGTAATTATCATGCAGCCATACGAACATTTTAAGGGCATTATGTTCCCATTTTCTTTTATTTCAAGTTTTGTACTGCATTTTATATTCTCTCCAAGAAAGTTCTTCAATTTTAAACAGATAAACTACTTATACTACCTATAATACTTTGGTCAAAAAAGAAGAAAAATCCCTCTCTACAATCTTGATCCCATCTGTTTAGACTTGTTGAGCATCAGTTAACATTCTGTACGATGAATACATCCCCAGCCAGCAAAGATGGGCCCTCAACTTACATAAACACCATATGCTATATGTTAATCTGGTTTCCTAGCCAGTCAAGCACAACATGCATAAAAGGACAGGTATTATTCAATGGATAGTAGAGATCACTTTAGGCTGACCCATCAGATAATAGTTTTTTTTCCTTCTGTCCTGTCTGAGTGCAAGATTACACTATTGCTTCGTCTGTCACTGAAATTGAAAACTCTATATATGTTGTTTAAAAGGCTTTGCAATGTTGAAAATTAAAATGTTTTCTGTTATAGAAATATAGTTACAAAATATACAGCTGGTCGCTGTTTAGGTCTAAGGCATAAATGATTAAATACCTAGCCCATATTATCCTATATATCTAATGCCCCTTATTTTTTTATAGAACTTGATAAACTTAATGTTTATATTAAATATTTATCTCTATTTTCTTGACAATTATCTTCCAGTTTCTTTGGTTAAATAAAGATAAAACAATACACCTAAACGCATCAAAGATATTTAGCAATTTGTTGTTCTAATATTTTTCTCAGAAATATTTATTTTTGTAAATATTACAGTTAAAAGTTAGTCTGCTAGAAATGTCTTACATAAGTAGAGATGTACCAATACCTGGATCGGATATCGGCTCCAATATCAACTTATTTAATATTAATCGTATATCAACGATCAGATTGAAGATTCAATCCAGTTCATTTTACATGGAGCTGTTATTTCTTTCTTTTCGCTGCTTATTTGTTCATAAATAATAAAAAGTACATTGATATATTTGAATTTGTATTTGTATCTTTTTTTACCTAACCTTCACTCCCATGGTAAGATATGTTGTTCATTTATTCAACAGTTAAGTTGGATCGGTATCGGATATCAGCCAATATGCTTAGCCTAGATATCGATATTGGACTGGATCAGAAAAAATTGGATCCATGCATCTCTAATTATAAGATTAAAGAAATACCACACAAACTTCTATCAGGTAGCAGTTTAGGTAGTAGTGGAGGAAATTGGATTTTAATTAATATTTATACATTTTAGGGTAATTATTTTAGGAAATTGTATTTGTCATTTTTTAAGATGCAAAGGAATATTGAATATAAACAGTTATAAATTTTGACCTCAAACAAGTTTAAAAGGAAAAATGAAAACAAACAAAATAAAAATAGCAGAAACCCGCAGTGCACTTTGTGCCACATCCTACCCAATCATTAGCAGTAAAAGGGACAATGGAAAACAATAGAAGAAAATACTTTTTGTCTCATCATGGAGACATGCATGTATTTCAGCAGCAAATGTATAGGAAATGTAAGCATGCAGATACACACAAAGGCCAAGAATGTTTTTAAATAGCGAGAGTAGAAATCTGCAGTAAGGTTAAATATACAAAATAAGAAGAAATACTAAACATGTATTATTTGTTAAAAAATAGTGGAATCAAGAAATCATAGCAGTATGCAACTGAACAAGGTCAATACCAATAAATGTGCAAACAGACATTTCTTTCTTCTAAATCTTTGTAATCTTACCTGGAATTCTACGCTTGGATGACTTCAGGGCTTCCTTTGCCTGTCTTGTGAGCTGCGAGACATTGACTGGACGATCATCAGATGAAAGGGCTTCACTGACTGAATTTCCTGATATTGTTAATCCAGTCGCCAACTGCGGTGATGAAGACCCATTAGGTGACTGGTTTGTGTTTGTCAAATTAAGCTGGGTATGATTGTTTGATATCAGGTTGTGAGATGTAATATGTGAAGCCGCTGAACTTGTCACTGGAGGTTCAGTTGAAACTATGGTAGCTGGAGATTGATTAGAAAATGTTGTGAGGAAGGGCTGGCTTGTTAAGTTTGATGAAGTTCTAAAGAGGCTCAGTTGCATTTGGCTGGATGGCAAATGGGTTGATTTTGTTGTACTATCCACTGAAAAAGAAATCCTGGGAGGTAATCTACCAACTGGTGACTGGCTGACAGGTTCTGTCTGTTTCAGGGATTGTCCAGACTTTGCTGTGTTTATTGGTGAAGGATTAGATCCAGTATTTTTAGGTGCAGATTTTTTGGACACTTGTTTAGCAGGTATTTGTTTTTCTTTAGGGGAGCTACCAGACTTCTTTTGGGCTAATGTTGTACTCTCTACTTGTTGGCTGGAGTGTTTTGTCTTCTTCGCAAGTTCATTTGGTACAGTTGCACTGTGCCGTAATGGAGTCTGTTTGAGGTCTGTTGCCTTAGTTGGCCTTGGTCTGGATGGTGTTATACTTTCAGACAATTTGGACATTGCTGGTGTGGATGGAGATAGGGCTATAGTGGTTGGTAACTGGCTGGTTTCTCTTAGTTTCTCTATGGCCTGGTTGTCCATTGCTGCCCTGCTAGAAGTTTTTCCTCTTGCTGTTGTTGCAGTTGTTATTTCTCTATTGTCTAATGCAGCATTGTTTGGTATCGGGTTTGTTAGATTGCTTGAAGCTCCTGAGTCATTGTTTGGGGTGGTTGTGATGGGTGGTTGATTGCCTGATGGTTTGGTGGATAGTGGCTGGCTGAATGGTCCCTCTTTGTTGTGCACCTTGTTGATTGGTGTCATGTTAGTAGGTGTTTCGCTTTCTTTATTTGTCCAGTTTTGTAGCTGTTTTTCCGTAATTTCAGATGTTTGATTAATTGATGCAACAGTGGATTTTGTTTGTTTAGAAATCACGTTGGGGCTTGACAGTTGGCCAGATGATTTATTAGTTGTCAGTTGTTGGGTCAATGATGAATCGTTAACCTTAGATAAGCCTGTTATTACATTCTCAATAGTTGCTTCATTAGACAAGGTTGTGCTGCTTTTTGATTTAATAGTATCTTTTGTGAAGCTTGCCAAAGTTTTTGTTGACTGGCTGGTTGTTTCCGATTGGCTACTGGAAACTAGATCAGTTTGGGATTCATCTGACTGAGCTGTCTCAGTCATTTGGCTGCCTGATGCTGTTGAAGACCATTTTTCAAACAATGGTACTGGAGTGACTTTTAGATGGCTGGATGATGAAGATTTTGTTGACGGTAGAATTGCGGAAATTGTGCTGCTTAGGGAGGGATTAGTATTTTCTGTGGTATGTCCTGATTGGCTGGCTTGTCCAACAGTGTCTTGGGACTGGGAGTTTTTTGTTGATTGACTAGTAGAAGCAGAGTTGGTTTGGGACAGGACTGAGTCAGTTGCTTGGCTCATTGATGCTGCTTCAATGCTTTGCTGAGTGGGGGGTAATGGGTTAACGTCCGACTTACTGTCTGTTGCAACAGCTGACAGATCAGATTGTTTGGGTGGGGTAGTTCTGCGTGAGGATGGATCAGGTGAGAATGTGTTGACAGGTAACTGAGTGATTGCTGGTTGTTTGGTTGGCACTGTGCTGGTTTGGGGTCGGCTTGATTTTCCAGTCTTAGTGTTATTTTCTATATAATTTTCTTCATCTTGGTTACCGGTTATTGTCTTTGATGATGTTTGACCAGATTCCCCCATGGGTAAAGATGATCGGTCGGTGCTTTGATTCCATGAATCATTTTGTATCCTGTCTATCCTGACAGAGGTCAGATTGGACACAACCAGTGATTCCCTCGAGGCAGAGGTGTTTGTTTCTAAAGAAGTGGCTGAATGGAGGTCCTTGAAAGGAGAGAGACTTAATCAGTAGCTGTTACATGTAATAATTGCTGACATTTGGTCACAAGTTATATAGTAAAGTTTTTAATGATTGAATTAATTTTGTCAATAAGATCTCAAAGAAATACTGGAAACAAATATTATCTGTCAAATATCTCCTCTACTTTATAACAGATTTATGCTTGGTAAAAAAAATACCTCTCTGAGTTTTGTCACCAACTGGGAGCAGAGAGGATGGAAGAAAGATGGTTTAGGACAGAGAATGCTTGAAATAGGAAGCCTTTGTTGTTGATTCTTTGTGAAACAGCTTTTTTCATCCAGGTTATCTGAGACTCGCTCTCCATTTTGTGGCATAATTAGATGTTTGATGTCTGTTCATTTGAAATTTGTAATCATGGGATGCTTTTGGCATGTTGAATTATTCTATGCTTGAAACCTCAATCAGGTCCCAGCTTGTAAACAACCTCGATCAAGAGCTGTCATATAAGAACTACCTCCAGAAATATAATAAAAATATCTTTGCATTAAAATGATCAAAAGTTAGAAATGCAAAGTATCATGAAATCAGATTGGAAAGATTTTTGGTTAAATGGCTTTCATTAACCACTGGACCACCTTGTTTCAACAATTTGAGCCTCCTTCGATACTCGAGCCCTAAAAAGGAGCTTTCATCTCAATGAGCATGAACAAAGCAGATGGTAGAGGGCTAAGGTGGGAGCATGACCACAAATTATTAATCACTGATCAGTATCAGTGATCTGAAAACAGAGCAGACACATGGTAGTGATGAGTAAAAATGTGCTTTTAACTTGAAACCAGTTGCAACTAGTTGTATTCTTCATTTATGAGCTCCCATAGTTTGGACTTGATTCTCATGTCTCCTTGTGCCGAGGGGAGGCCAGACAAAAGGGAGACCAGATAAAGGCTCAGATGGAGGAAAAGAGAGACAACAGAGCAGCTACTGAATAATCCTGTTGGGACACATTCACATGTGAGCTGGTAAGGAACAAATGTATCTGGGGAATAACTCTACTTCAGCATCATGACATGTTTACTCTTAACATCCTTTATAGTGCCCAACACAAGTAATATATATAACATTTTAAATTATGTATTTACAGTAAAAAGACTTTGTACATTAATCAGTGACGTGTTGTCAGGCGAGGCAGGGTCTGATTAGTAAATTCAATGTTTTATAGATGATGAAGTGGATGAAAAATAATGTATGATCTGTAAATGTTTTACAAATAACAAATCAGAAAAGCACTGTGTGTATTTGTATTATTTAACTTTGAGTAATCAATTTGTAGAATCCCCTTTTAATTTCATTTTGAAGTTTGCATCTAAAAAATTTTCAAAAAAGGGTCAAAAGTTTCTGTTCCACTGATGTCATGCTTTAAATTAAATCATTCAATTCTCACTCCAAATTCCTTTTTTAATATTTTTTTTTTAAGTGAACATCTTCTCCATGATTAGTTTTTGCTCCATCCATCTTCTTTAGCAACTCTAGTTTCTGCTACTTTTAGTGATAAAAAAAACATCCCAAGAATATTGTGGTACTACCATGATCATTATTGCAGCACATCCCATTTAGAATCCGGAAATGAATGTTGTTTAGTATTTTTGTCAACATATCTTACCTTAGCTGCAGCCCAATGAGGCTATTAAAACAACAGTGTTGTATAAATATTTAAAATCACATATAATTCTAAAACTTTATCAAATGAAAGGCTATATAGGGACCTCAAGGGTCTACAAAATCCTTTGCTTATAATTTTTCATGCCAGCATCTGGTCCCTCTTCCATGATGATCATACATTTACTGATCAGTATCAGACATATATACAGTAGCACTTGGTAATCAACTAATAGTTATACTGGTAAAGATTCTGGTAAAGATTCTCAATCATCCAGGTCATAGTAAAAAAAAAAAAAAAAAGCTTCCTGGATGGGAAGAGAAATGTCTTCAAACCTGGAAACAAAGTCCAGTGGATTGTTTTTTTATATTTACTTTTTTAGAATAACAGTTATACTGTAAACAGGTTCTTCTACCTGAACTCTGGATCTCTGAATCCCCTCTAGTCATAATTGCCAACCTGGTTCCTTCCCTCATTATCCTCTTTTTGCCTCAACAGACAGACTAGGTTGATGTCCTTATTTTGGAAGGCCTGTCATTTCCATCCTTTATGTTCAATATGTGTTGAACAGCGCTATGTTTTTTCTCTACCTCAATTTATCTTGATTCTAAAATGCTTTTTTTAACTCATTTTATAGAGCTTACTTCAACAAGTTCTAGATGCTGATGGCTGTTGCTAATGTTCTGCAACAAACCTAAGAGGCCTTTACTGAAGAGTTGCATCTAAGTTGAGGTTACATCACATGTAGGTGAACTTTACTAAATAAGTTCTGAGTGCTACAAGTTGTACAGGATTTTTTGTAGGGGATTAGAGTAAACAATACAAATGCAACTTTACATTTTTACAATTTTAAAAGTAAAAACAAATTCTAACTATGTATCATTTACTTTCCATGATACTTCAAACTGATTGGTGTTATTAACAAATAACTCAATGTACTAATTTGTGTGGTTTATATATCAACAAAATGCAGAAAAAGAGAAATACGTCTGCAGGCCAATGTTCAATGTTGAACTTAAATTTTAACATTATTGTAAATATTAACAATAAAAAATGATATCATATTTGTATGTTTAAACTCTAAATATTGCTTAACCTTAGCTGAGTGTATTAAAAGAATATGTTTAGCTAAATGGGGAAGAGCGACATTCTTATCAGAAATGATCCAAAGAGTAGAGCAATCCTGATTTCTCTGTGATCTGTGTGTTTGCTGCTCCAAGAAACTCCATCAGCATCAGTGATCAATGCAGCAGCCTACCTGCCCTCCATGGGAAGCGGTGTCCCATTTCTGATGCTTTATCCTGCTGCTCCCGCTGCTGGGACAGAGAGAACAAGGAGAGGTTTGTTCCTATTGCTGAAGAATCCCCCTTCTTCAGACAACAGAAACCCACCACCAACCCATGGTGGTGGAACCATCCCCTCCATGCAGTAAACAAAACAAAAAAAAAAACAGCAAATGCTAGACAGGGTTTTAAGTTATTTTAGGGGGTTTATGTGGGTGGGTGTTTTTGTTCAACCAACAGCTCAATCAATGAATGGATTATAAAATGGTGAAAAAATGTTAGTTATACTCTCCGCTTTCAAGATTCTACATTTTCTGTATTAAGATTTTCTTTTAGATATCACTAGAAACAAAAAGGAAAAGACATTTTTTCCAACAATTAAATTTTAAAATATGACATAAAGCTATTAGACTGCCACTGTGAAATGATTAGTAAATAAAACCCCTAAAAAACAATAAAAAGAATTTAATTTACCAACATCAAAAGGGATTTCAAGTATTTTTTTTATTGAACAACTTACTTATTTAAAACATCCCAGTTTGAAACGTTCACTCCCTCAATACCTCTGGAAAGATGCGCTGAAATAGAAAAAAAAAAACATCATTATCTACTACGAGGCATAAATAAAAGAAAAAATAGTTTTAAAAAGATAATTTTATATTCAAAAATATACTGAGATGCGGCTTGAGTTCACAGATTTTAATTTTTATATTTTTCAGTCGCTGCTTCCAGCTGCAGGTGAGACTCACCTTGATAAATGAGGATCACACACACAGTTATTAATGAATGAAACAGCCTCTTCCAGCTGCGTAGGAATAAATCGGGATCCATTGATCCGGTCAGTAGATCAGTCGGGTTTGGACAGCATCACCTGGTAAAAACCCTCCGACTGGACTCCACACGGCGCTCCATCGGCTCCTGCATGAGCGGCCCGCCGCGCGCCTCAAGAGCCGCTGCACCTGCTCATTAACATAATATATGCGCGCGTGGGCGGGGCCAAGTCTGACCTGCAGTTATCAAACAACCATGATGGAAAATGTCATCTGCGTTCAAAAATATCACTTTATTATACGATGTGTTTATTTGTTTCTATAACCTTACTAATAAACTCTTTACAAAGTTCAAAATTATCTCAGCTATTCTTTTTATGTGCTTAGAATGAGCGGCAGTGCCACCTAGTGGTCAATTAATTAACACTTAATGCAATAATTCAACTGGAAATTCATCTGATTGTTGAATAAAGTATCTGGGACTATAGTGCCATAAAACCACATACAAATAAATGTAAATAAAACCTTAACATTTATCATTAAACTACACGGATCTATTACATATTCAGTTTTCCAGACATTTATTAAAAATATGTCTAAATGGTTAAGTTAATTATGAAATAAAACAGACAGACAGATACATTTCAACATCTAATTTTGCATTTGGGTCAGGTATTTTTAAAATGTAAATAATACTGTTGGCCCCTATATATTTTTTTTTTACACATAAAAGATGTTTCAAATAAAATTTCTCTTTTTCTAAGGTAAGTAAATGAAATAAAAAAAAATAAAAAAACAAATAACTATAATAACTATGGTAAATAATAAAATTGATTATCTGCTAAATACATATATTTTTTGGAAGCCGTGGATTTTTTTTATCTGTTATTTTATCTGTTTCTTAAACAATTGCTCACCCAAACCACCCAGAACCTGTGCAACCAATATGGCAAAGTTTAGGTATGTCGTATTTTCAAGCATTATTGTCTTTCCTTTTTTGTTTGATGACGTTCCATCTGACTTGACCCTTTTAAGGTCTAAATGGTAACAGAAACCTCAGAAGTTACGCTTATAATATTACCAGCGTGACCTCAGTGTCAGCGGGGGCAAAGACCTGCATTTGCATGTGAAAGTGTGGATTTCGACAGAGGAAACACTTCCTGTGACGGTCAGTCTGTCTGCCTGTCTAGGTAAAAAGGCCTTTGACTGACTGAAGCCCTTAGAGACCTCTCAGGCATTGTGTGGCCGAGCCAGGAGGTGTCTGCTTTCATAAATGAAAAGGACCTGAGCAGAGCAGCCAGGGTGCAGAGAGGAATGAGAAAATCTGGCGGCAACATTAAAAAGAGACTGAGAAGTATTCTGCCTTTTAATCTTGTAAACATAGATTTATTTCGTACCTTCATCAACTTTCAACATCAACTTACTAAAGTCTGATTGTGTGTTTGCATTTCAAGAGAAAATATAAAAAGCATTGTTGGGAAGATAGTAAACCCATATTAGCAGACAAAAAACATGTTGAACTCAAGTGATTGTTTTAATATTTCAGTAATAAAACCAATCTATATGATGTAGATAAGTCTGATTTACCAAGGGTCACTGCAACCCATTTTTCTTCCAAATTCATCTCTATGTTGCACTTGGTTCTAATTAATTTCCTGTAATTTAGAGTTTATCAAACCTGCATGTTTCATCTAAGTCCTTGTTATAACCGGATTTGAATAGATTATCTAAAGACAAATTCAGCATTTCGCAAGTTAAATCCAGTGTGTTAAAGCAGGTAAACATGCAAGTTGCAGTGTGCAAAGGAACAAAAATTCAGAAATAGCTTGTGTTAAGATTTCAATGGGATTTTATGATTTTATTTTAGATGATGCTTTTCTTTCCTGGAACAGAAACCTCTAGATTAAGGTGTGAAAGTTAGTCACTCTAGTTTTTTTTCATTAAGCATTGTTTCAGAATAAAGATTTGATGCAGTTCAATACAAGGCCTCACCACCTGAAAAAGATGACCTTGTTAAAACACCAAACTGTATGTGCTTTCCTTAGAAACTGAGGCACTCATCCTCACTGGATTCAGCATTATAGATGTTGCTGGATTGCAGCAGAATTGGAACTAAGTTTGTTTTTTATTTATCTGTGCTTCACCTATTATTAAATAATATGAAATCCAGTTCGTGATTTTTCTGTCTTTCCCCTTTAAACTTATTGCAAGGGTTTTAAATATGAAAAAGGCTATATCAAACCCTTTTTAAAATAAAATACACATTTCCTGTGTTTCAGCTTGCAGTTTATTGGCACATTACATTATCCTCCAAGAACAGATTTGAGAAGTTGGGGTAAAGTAAACTCATTCCAGTTCTCCTCTTCTCCACAAGTACTGTTACAACCTTAGCATTGACAAAAACATAAAGTCCTATATAGTAATACTACGTGCTGCAAAGATGAAGCCAAGATGAAGAAGTCGGGTACCATCCTGTCGCACCAGCTTTAAGATCTTTTCTCTTGGATGACAGTTGAAATTTTCATCCATATTTGAGGCTTGGGAATGCATGGATATCTGCCCAGTTGGGAGCCCTAGTCTAAGATGCACAGGTCATACTGAGAGTGTGTTCTGGTTGCAGATGATACTTAAACTCTGACTTTGGAATAAACTACGCTAATGCTACACCAACGTTCTTATTCCCACTTGGTAAGTAAAAGAGGTTGGAAATTTCCAGTACCAACAACAGTTGGAACACGTGGAAAGGCTGACTGGATCGAATATGGCAGCTACTTTAAAACATGTTTATTTTACAAGACCCTGTTAAAATTGAGTTTAAAACTTGTATTAAATGTAGGGGTTGCATCTGTAAACTTAACAAATAAAAAAAGTGATTTGTGCATGTGGAGTGTAGAGCTTAAATCAAGGTACTTGGAGTAATGGCTACTCGGGAGGTGCAAACTAGACCTTGCCATACTTCCCTGATTGGACTGATGTGATGTCATATGAGCTTTTCTTTTGCATTTGTTCTCGAATGGCCACTGTTTAGTTTTAGCAGCAAGGTAAAATAATTTTGTTTAGAGTTAAAACAGTGTTGCTATGCAATGCTCATCTGACAGATGGCTGCTACTGCTGCTTCTTCGGCCCCAAAGAGCCTCCTGAAACATGCATTCGTTTTTCAATACATCATCATAAAAATCAGAAGTCTGAAAAAAAGATTTAACATAAACCGATTTATTATTGCAGGTCTGTATCAACCAGATTTTCCATCTGTGCAAGTTTCATTATTTCATGGACTTAAACCAACTAAGCATGCAAAGCTTGCATGTTTACCCAACTTCTAACCAATTTGTAGTCCAGCTAAGCATTTTGTTTTGTTTGTTTTTTTACAAACTGTACACAAAGATAATCAACATAAAACAAGTGCAATGAAAAAAACATTCAGTGTGAGGAATTTAACAAAGACTCAAAGAATTAACCAAAAAAAGAGCAGATGAATATGAACTTTTAGAGATCAACAAGGAAACACTTTGATACACAAGTTAATATAAGGATAAAAAAAAGCTCATAAGCCCCCAGCTATTCTGAAATGACACCATTTCAGCACCAAAATCTCTCCCATTTAAACTGTAAGCTAAGAGAGGAGGATGAAGATTAGCAATCTCAAGATAGTAAAATTTGATTAGTATAACCGATATGATCAAGTCAAAACACAATGTGATCATTCTAGCTCAAAGGCTTCCAAACAGTATGATGTTTTTTTTTAGAAATGTAGCCTTATATACAGATTTTCCACAAGGGGCAGCCCTAAAATTTTTGATGGTTTTCACACATCTGTCAGATCAGTTTGTGAGAGTTACTCCTTCCAGCAGAATCTATGTGATGTCAGAGTTTTTTCTAGCGTCAGCAGGAAAAGTCAGCAAAAAGTAAACACTGACCTGACACGACTAACTGAACCTGTGTTTCTTAAAAAAAAAAAAAAACACGTTTCAAAAGACAACACAAGATAAATAAGCTCTCATGTGAAAAGTAGGTTCAGCGTGTGTTTGTTAATGTTGAGATCTTTGGATTGAGTCCTGAAAACACCCCCGCTCGCAGCGTTATCTGGCCCTGTGGTTGGCTAGCAGGAGGTCTTTGTCTTTGCAGGTGAGGCACAGTTTGAGGTTCCTGAGGGAGCCGCCAGCTGTGTAAAACGCCCAAACACCCATCAGAAACATTATGATGTAGGTGGGAACCAGGCTGGAAACGTACTGTGGGTTCTGGAAAGTCTGCGGGGAACAAATTTTAAAATGATCACATTATTGTTCTTTAATAGGTAAACATTTTTTTAAAGTTAAGAGTCGTAGATGTTGCCAACAGATGTTTACAAAACAAAGCAAAACTAATAAAATTATATGTGAATTTAGTCACTGTTTCTTGCATGAAATGATCTCAAACGCACAAAGAATTACCAACTTCATTTAACGTTAACCTCAACTCAACACTATTCCTGACATTTTTGTATTTAATTTTCTTTTTTTGGACTTTCTGACCATATTTAGCTTCTAGTCAGATCCCTTTATGCTATAAGTAACATTTTCATTTATCGCATTAAATAACAAAGGCAAAGACAACAAATAAGATAAGCTGTCTAGCCCTCAACAGACAATAATGATTGGATGTCGTTTAAATATGCCAAAAGTTTGCAGGTTTTAGGCTTCGAAGATCAAATAAAGCTCACCAATACTTTGATAGTACACCCCATACAAAAAATATAAAAGACTAAGCACAAACAAATCCTAGTAAATATAGCTGACAGCAAGTCTTATTTAAGGTGTAATCATAGAGAGGATATCTCTTAGTCTATTTCCTTTGGGCAGAAGAAAGTCACTCACCAAGCAGGAAACGACAAGATGACTGACGACCACAGCAGCAACAACCAACCAGCGCTGCTTCTCACATCCATCAAAGAAGACGACACCCCAGAACATGTGAAGCAGGATGATGGCCATCGTCATGAAGGCTAAAGTAAGGAATATAAAAAAGATGAATATCTGAAGAAATACACTTCAAAATCGTATTTCTCCAAATCTTTAGCTTATCAAAAATGGAATTTTTGTTAATTTTTTTTTACAATGGTAATTTTTTGATACAGTTCATTTACAATTTTTCTGTAACAAAACAAAAAGCCTGAATGTCTCCATTTGAACACAGGTTTGTAATGTGAAGAACAGTTTTATTGTCTTCCGTTTATGAAGTAAGAGTTCAATATGTGCATTTGAATGCATTGTACAGGAATACCAGTATCAAAAAAATAAAATAAATAAAAAACATTTTAAAAAGGCTTATTTAGGAACCAATACCTGAGGAGAGGAAGTAGTGTTGAGAGTCACCATGGATACCCACAGTCCCCGGTCCCACAGAATCAGCGAGGATGTTGACCACAGAGAACGCTCCGCTCATAAAGCCAAAGCCAAGGCCCGACACTGAGGCAGACAATGTTAACACTTGAAAAGCTCTGATGAAATCAAGACTTTTCTATGTCAAACAGCTTTATATTAATATTAAGATATTTAATAAAATATATAACCAAAACTAAAAGTGTATAATGATGCAAGGAGAAGCTAATCCATACCATAGGCAAGCTGTCGTATGGAGATTGGCATAGTTTCCTCTTGACTCAGAGCAAGGAGGCCTTCATTTGCTTTCCTGCAGAGGAAAAAAAATGTTTTATCTCACTTTGTGTTCTATAAAGAGATAGCTAATGAGAAAAAATGTCAATGAATGATTGCTTAGACGTTAACAATAAAAACAGGAGATACAAATTTCATAAATAAGTTTGTAAACATGATAAGAACTATGGACAAGTTTTCCTAATGAATCAAGTGTAAAGTTTTATTTAATGAAAACCAGAAACGGTGAACAACATCAGCGACAGTGAAGCGGCTTACTTGAGGAGTTTGTAGTAGGCGAAGCGGAATGTTTCCTGCAGCAGGACCGACAGCACCACACCAAAGATGAGCAGGCCCTTCTGCTGCGAAGCGCTCTCTTTATTACTGATCTGAACGGAGATGAACCACACCAGCGAGGCCAGCAGCAGCGACACCAGCCAGAAAAATGCTCTGAAATGAAAACAAAAGCAAACAAAAATGCAGATTGAGAAAAGTTAAATTACGCCTTTCATTTAACAATTCTGTTAACAACAGTAATATCTAATCTTACTTTATTGGGAAAAGATCATTTACTTCTAGTGTTTTCCATTTCAAGCAGCAAGGCAGAATGTCGAAGTTACCAATATACCGTCAGCTGGCTAACAAGTATGGATCCCATTTGCAGTATATTTTATTCCAAAGCCTAAAGGAACTAAGCTAATAGCAAATGACAGTGTGACACATAAGATGACATCCTCCTGCCCTTAGAGGATGGTACAGAGGCTTCTATATGCTGAAATATTAAAGGAAAATCTTCAATATCTAAAGCTTACAAAGTGATAAGTTCCAAGCAGCAGTGGCTCTAAGCAAAGACCACTGATACTGGGGCTGAAACAATTAATCCATTATTTAAATAATCATCAACTAATTTAATAATTGATTAATCATTATCTGAAGTACAGAGACTTAAAAACCATGCCTTTAGCTTATAGAGCAACCCACTCAGAGCAGTAATCATACCAATTGTAAAAACAAACATAAAAATTTGGCATTTAATAATAAAACTAATTTCTTAGTCCGTCAGTATGCTCTATCCAAAACTCCTCAAGTGCAAACGTTTTAGTTTCACTCGGTTTTATTCTGTAAAAAATCTTCTTTAAGGATATTTGCTCTCTGATTATTAATCGGAAAAAAAAACAATAAGCAGAATAATCAACTAGCAGAATAATCTTTAGTTGCATCCCTAACTTATACAATAACATTTCAGGCCCACAGACATTGTCACAAATCATACTTTTCTAACACCTTAGCAGATTTAAAGAATTTCTGCTAATTTTTCTTTGAAAAACTTAGTTGCTTAGTTGCATTGGATGACTGAGCCTGATCTGTTAAACTAACGGATTAATTTAGGCTTCACACATGAACAGGACTTGATCAAAAACACTCCATTGGAGCTATGGTGTTATCATTACGGTGGTCCTCCTGGAAGATCACGTTTTACTCTTTTGACTACTCCAAACGCTCCAAACACTTTTGCCTTCAATTTAAAGCCGTCCATCTTCAAATCAATTCTGACTTCCACAGCATGACACTGTCATTACCATACTTCACTACTGGGTGATATAGTGTCAGTTTTCTATCAATGTTTTGTAGTTGTTTTTTTTTTCCATAAGACCAGTAAGTTAATTTTTTGTTTTATCTGATTAGTTCACATTTTTCCCCAGATATTAGCTATATACCCCACAGGGCTTCAAGCAAACCGTAAACGTGTCTACCGTATTTATTTTGCTACTCTACAATCAAGACAGGATTTGTGTCAACAAATTTAATACGTGAGTCTTGGCTCTTGCTCTTCGTCTTTTCTGCTTCTCTGTCCGACCATTTAGTGAAGTTGGCCGGTCATTCTTTGACAAGTTTGGGAAAATTCTGACTGCAAGCCAAAAGGAACCATCAGAAGTAAAATATAAAAACACAATAGAAATCAGCTTGTCGAAAAAAAGCAGAATTATATTTAATCCCATGACCTTTTTGTTGTCATCATGGGAATGTATTCTGACTGTGCCAGTGATGCTATTTGTTAAGATAATAACTCACTTATTATTATTTTAAAGCAAGGGTTTTTAACCTGAGTAATTAAGACTCAGAGTCCTACACGTTTTAGGCCTTTCTTTACCTCTACAAACCAGATAAAAAAAAAAAAAAAGAGTGAACACTTCGTGGTGTTAACCAGATTATCCAATTACTTATTTCAGATGTGCTGGAGCAGGACAGATCTAATCCATGTTGTTTAACATTCATACAACATACTTTTCTTATTGGTGTCTAAATTCAGTCCTCAGAGGCTCTACATCAGAGGTCACAGATTAGTGGAATGCGATCTGGATCCAGACCCAACTTCTGGCTATTCCCGACCCAACCTGACTTAAAACATTTATAAATTACCACATGTTGTCAGAGGGCAGTGTCTAACTTCACTTGCGCTGCTTCTCTTGTTTGTACGATAAAGCCCTCCGGGACCAGGCTACACGTGATGCATATAAGCCAAAGAGCTGTGCCAATCAGGGCAGTAGCCACAAGCTACTTTTAGTTAGCAGGCAAACCCTGTGGCAACCTGGTCGATGGGTAACGCTGATGAGAAAAAGTGAGAGAAAGTGTGAAATATGAAATGGTGTACTCAAAGATGACCCTGGACATTTTTAGTATGTTTAGCTCAACCTGTTGCTGTTAAGCAAGTTTCTCCACTATGACCAAATCAAAAATAAATATCTATCCAGGCTCAAAATGAGCACCTTGATATGTGCTTTAGAATGGCTTTGTTGCCATTCAAACCGAGGTTTAAAGCCTTGCAGGGAAGCCTAAAGCCCACTGCGAACATTAAGCCATAAAAAAGAAAGAAAAAAAAAACAAACAAACGGGCAGTTCAGGTGTTTTATAAAAAATCTGAAACAGGAAATTGTCTATTTACCAAATTGAACGATTGTTGTTCTCTACTTCAAAAAAAAACTTTAGATTTTAATATGGAAATGCATCTATTTTTTTTTATTTTTTATTTTTATGTAAAAATACAATGTATAACATGAATGCATAAAAACCTAATTTTATTTCTGCATCAAATTCCGTTTAAAGTAACAGATTATAGTTAAAAATATTTTTCTTTATTCGGACCCTGCTGATTTTTAATTGGTGACCCCTGCCCTACATGTTTCACATTTGATCCAAAACATTTAATAGAAATGAATGGATCATTAGAGGGCCTGGAGAACTGGATTATTTACTGATTAAACAACTTATTTTACTCCATTTAATCAGAAAAAATATATATATTGAAAACATTGAAACTTGATGATTGAAATAGCACACAGATTATTTTTATGCAGTGAAAGTAGCTCATATAAACATTGAGGAAAACCAGAGAGAGGCGTGATTCCAATTTCGGACACACTGATAGCTAGTTTTGTACCTGCTAAATACCTGGTGTTTGTTCTGGGTTTTCTATTTTGTTCTTGCTATCAAGATTTGAGTATAATCACAACAGACGCTTGGTGGCAGGTTTTATCCTAGTATGGGAGAATACATGGAAGAAAATGTGTATTTGTGTTTAATGGAAAATTCAACGTAAGCTACCATTAGCAGCTAACAAGTGCTAGCCGGCTAACAAAGATTGTATTTCTTTCGTATAACTGTCAGAAACCATCTATTTGAAATATTTCTCCAACAAGGACATCAGCTGACATCAGTTCAAGCCTAAGACAATCTATTTTCTCACCCTGCTATGAGGAAAATGACCCTCAGCGGCTCCCGGGCGATGGTAAACAGGAACAGGGAGATGGCTGGGCCGAAGGCGATGAATGTGCAGCCGAAAAACACCGCTGCCGTCATGTTGCTTCGTTAAATGGTGGCTCCAGTGGCTCTTAAATTGGTTCAGTTTTGTCAACGGTTAAAGTAAAGGTCTTTGTTTTTGTTTTATTACCACTAAACAGGCTCTTCTGTTCACTACATCTCCTTCATATTTTCACTTCAGTGTATCACAGGATTCTCGTGACGTTATTCTCACGTGACTTGTGAGGAACCGGAAGACTTTTGTAACATGAATAATCATAGGCATATATGTCTATGTGAATAATATCTACACAACTATTTGAAATACAAACCTAAAGCCTACATTGGAATATAAATATTCAGTGACACACACAAACCAAGAGAAAAATATTCTTGAACTATGCAAAAATGACAGAAATCTTATTTTTGAGCACTGCTTATTTTTGAGCACAGCAGCCTACAGTGTTTCAATGAAATCTATGTTGACAAAATGAAGAAAATAAAATTTCCACAAACATGATTATATTTAGATTACGGTACTAAACTATGCAAAGTATTTGGCTGGTCAATATATATTTGCATGTTTTTGCTTCAAATGGTATTTCTACCTGTAGCTCTATAAAAAGTCAAGGTTTGTGAGATAGATATTTCCCGTCAACAGATTCTCCTATCTGAGCTGTCTCTTGAAGTATCTCTTTGCTTGCTTTCTTCCACTATGCCCTTTATAGAGAATGGTTTCCCTACTCCTGATACAGAAAAAAGAAAAATCCCCACAGCATGGTGCTACCACCACCGTGCTCGATTGTAAGCTTGATATTAGTCTGGAGATGATCAGTGCTTCTTTTTCAGCTGAAATCATGCTTTGAATTCAGCCCAAAAGGTTCTGTTTTGGTATTATAGGTCCGGATAATTCTGTCTCTTCAGGTTTCATCATCTCTAAACCAAGTGTTTTTGCTAAATGTTAAGCTGTCATGTCTGTTTGGTCTCTCTACCATGAAGGCCTGCATTAGCAAAGGTCAACCTTCTCTTATCTCCAAAGAAAACATTGAAGCTCCATGTAAATAATCGTTGAGTTCTTGTTCACCTAAGAACGACAACAAGATGCTCTACTCCCTTTACTTATTTTTGCAAAGCAGCCATCTAGATGCTCTGCTGGTTACACATATTTTCCAAGTCCAAAGCGAATTTTACATTGGTTTTCTGGATGTTTTCAGAATTTCTTTTAAAGAAAGTTTAATCAAAATGGTTGTAGTATACTGGTCAGTATTGTAACAAAATGTGGAAATGGTAAAAGATGGGAATATGTTTTGGCTTTGTATGTAAGTTAACTGCAAATAAAGAAGTTAGTCACTCATAAAATTATGTTGGATGTAATTCGAGGCAAAAATAAGTATTGGTCTAAATAAATGTAAAACTACAAAACCCATGTTTCTCCATGAATAGTGTCACCTGTTGCTTTCTAGTTTTCCATTTACGTAGAAGACACAAGACATATAAAATTTGCTGTTTTTACTACTTTAGTTAGCAAATCAAGGAACAGCAGACACAATTCAAATTAAAAATGCATTCAATTTTGTTGACAAGTTTAGAATAACTTCAATTGATCTAAGCCTCTGCCTCAAACATTTTCTTCCTTCCATCCATCCCGGCTTTATCTTCAATGTTCTTCCTCCAGTCCCCTGTCTGCTTCTCCTGAAACACAACGAAAAACAGCAGAATGACTCACACAGATCACCTCAAAGGAAAAAAAAGAGAAAAATCATTGTTGATCATCTGCTGCACCCACCTCCTCCTTCACTTCCTTTTTCACCTGCCTCAGGTTGGCTCTCAGGTCTAAGGACACTTTATGTTTGGAGCCCAGCAGGGCAGCCAGCATTGCGTCTGCTGACATCCTCACTCTCCTCAGAGTGGGCTTCTTAAACCTGCCATTAAGATCCTGGACCTTCATCTTTAGATCATCGATCTGCCACAAATAAAACTCATTTAGGTGTGTGCTTAGCTGAAAACTTACAACCTACCCACGTTGCCCTCTCAACGCCAGCAGGGATCTGAACTGTAGTGTGAACCTTTTGTTTCTTTGTCAAAAAAGCAGAATCAGGACAATTATTAAGTAAACAGCAAACCTCTTTGTTGGCTTTCTTGACTTTCATCTCCATGTCATATCGTTCTTCATCCACCAAATCGATTTGCTTGTGAAGTTGTCGACACAGCTCCTGGAGGTAGAGAGCTACAGTTAGCTTTGTGGTGAAAAACTACAGAAAATCAATTATCTGAATAATTCATGCTTCAAAGCCATTCCAAGTTTCCAGTATGTTCTGGCATTTTCTAACAGAACATAAAGATTTTGTTGGATAAATAAATAAAAAGGTTTCTTAACAATAACAAAAGATATCAATGAGAAACATATAGCCTTTGTACGAGATTTATGAACTCTAAGTGCGCTTTTCTTATCATTTATTGATCTGTTGTAAGGTAGGTATTTCTGAGGCTTGTATACCAGTTTATGACCTCTTCATCAATTTTAAACAGTCCTTTTTTGCCAGTCAAAGCATGTTAAAAATGTAGATGTCAGTGTCAGTGATAATGCAGATTTAGAACTGAGAAGGTCTGCTTGCATTCTTGTGGTACGGTTTCCAATCTGGCATTTCTTTAAATGTATTGTTATAGCAGTTTAATGTTGTTTTTTATCAGCTGTTCCCCAGGGTTTCTTAGAATCTCTAAATGTTTTTCTTTGGACTTTGGCTACTTTCTTATTAAGCCCTGGTCTGGTCCTTGTGCTGAATGATAAAATGTTGGGCAGTTTGTGCTTAGAAAATAGGAGGTGATTTAAAATAACAGGAAAAATAAGAAGTGATAGGTACCTAAAACAGTCTTGACAACATTAAGAAATGACAGCAAAGATCTGACACAGGATCTAGGAGATGTGTTGTCCCTCAGGTGTTTTTTATGGATTTACCTCAAGAAAAGTGAAGAAATTGTCTCTGGCTGCAGCAGAAAATTGAACATAGACCACAGATCTTCCAGCTTTACAATCTAAATTACCTTTTTGACCCTCCAATAAGAAAGCAAAGTCCCAAGAAAAACCCAGAGATTCTAAAAGTCTGTACAGATAATGATACACTTTAAAGGTTTAAAGATTGCAGATTTTTGGGTGAATACCTGAATCTCCTGTGTGCATTGTGGAATGCAGAGGGAGGGACAGTTCTCCCTCATGTACTTCATTTTTTCCTCCTCGGCTTCCCGAGCTTCCTCCTCCAGCATTTCTTTACCGATTTGGAGAAGCAAACTCTGAGAAGAGACGTAGAAGCAGACAGCTTGAACTGTTGAACTGGTGCACTTATTTACTACAGATTTTTGTCCTCATTTAGATTTATTCTCTTTTAATTTTCATGTCATCCTGAATAATGTTCAGCAAATTCAACTAATCTAATACCAAATAAAGGTATTAAAATTCAAAAAATACTTTAACCCCAAAGGGAAATTAAACTTAATTCTTTTACCTCTAGTATATAAAACAAATACATTTGAAATAATGATTTTATAATAATATATTTATAATTATTGATTAATTAAAAAATAAAGCTTTCCAAACCAGCTTGGTCTCTCTAAAAAGTATTTGACCTTCAAACATAAAGATGATCTTGCCCTTTGCAGCAATTACTAGTTTTTGTGATCAACCTTTTTATTTAGACCCTTGTTTTGACCCACTTGTTTTTAATTGAACCACTTTGAAAAGCTTTCTAGCTTGAACACCTTTTCAATGCCATTAATGGACCATCTGCTGGACTTCAGATTATTTATTTTTTTCCGAGAGAGCAGAGTTCATAGTTGCCTTAAGAGCTCCTCCAAGCACAGAATCAACAAAACAAACCCAAACCACCATACTACCACCTCTATGTTTGACAGTCAGTATTATGCTAATTTACTGAAATGCTGTTAGTTTTATTGCAGATGTATTAAGACATACAGAATTTTTTTTTCTTCAAAAAAGTCAGTGGGATTATGAAAATGATTTTTCTCTTTTTGTGGCAAATTTGAGGCAGCCATTTGTTTTGTTTTCAGTTATCATGAGGTTTCAGCCTTTTATTCTGAGGATGCATTTGGTCCAGTTTTGTTTTCGCTGTTGAATCATTTGCTCTAAGGCAAGTAAAGCCTGCATCACTTCAGAAATGTATCGTTCTTTGACCTCCTGGGTGAGTAATTAATGCATTCCTGGACAAATTTAGGTCTGACCTCCCATGGGAAGATTCACCACCAATCCTTGGTTTCTCTATTTTTGGAAGTTTTTTTTTTTGGGCGAATTGTATTTTATCATATTGTCAGGGTGGTTGGACACCTGTTTTCTTTTTCTTTTTACCCCTGAATAAATGAAAACCTACTGTAGAAAAGCTGCTTCTGAAATGTGCCCATTATCTTTTGCCTTTTGATAATCTGAAAGATTCTACTGAGAAATAATTTAAATTACTTTAAAATCTGTAAGAAAGCAAATACTTCTTGATTGCAACATGACAGAGTAAAGCGCGAATAGCACAGAAGTGCAGCTTAAATGTATATTATATGAAACATGTTCACCCCCACCCACCCCACCCAAAATGGATACATTAAAGCACTTTTCCTATGCAAAGAGTTAAAAAGTAATTTAGTTAAAAAAACAAAAACAAAAGTAGCAGCTATTATAAATGACTATATCCAGCAATTACATTTTTTTTACTTAATAAAATCATATTAAACCTCCAAAGATCAAGCAGATTAACACCACTATTGCGAAATACCTTGAGATGATTTTTGCGGCTTGGCGACATCTTCTTCCTTCCATTGAAAATACAAATATTAGGGAGTATTTGATTGATTTAATTAATCAGTGAAAATCAGTGAAAACACAATCCATAAACAGTAACTTACTCAGCCATGTTCTCAGCAAATAATTCCCCCCTTGGATGAAAACAGAGATGAATGAATATGCTACAGGTCTGGTCTCTTTATAGAAGCTGAGGTTAAGGGGTGGGCTTGTTTGAGATGAGGCAGGAGCAGTTGTCTGAAATCAAGGCCCAAGAGTCGGCTGCAGCAGCTGAGCCTGAAACAAACGCTTCAGGAATTTCCTTCTGGAAGCTTCTCTCCAAAACAGTGGAGCCTTAACAGATTTACTTTAATTTATTTGGTTTATTTGGTTTTCTTTGGCTACAGTTTGAGGAAAAGGTGTTCAACAACTAATTGAAAAGCCGTAACAATAGAGAGAAACAAACAGATTTAAAGTGACTGAAGTTGACAGAGTGGAGATGGAATGGATACAGAGGCGATGTGGGTATAAAACAGGAGCAAAAACAGGCAAAGGAAAAAAATGAACATGAGCAGTAAAAGGGAGCTTTGCTGAGACCCAATTTGTAATTCCATCTTAAACATTTACCAGCAGGCAGTCAGAAAGACAGAACTTGTTCCCCTTTCTTGGTTAAATCTACAATAAAACTGCAGCTGTGACAAACTTTGATGGATAAAGCAGGATTTTAGCTACAATAAAGAGATCTCTACATTAGGTGAATATCATCATAGGTGATCACAGTTGCATCCCTCAGGTCTTTTAATCATGTCTCTGGAGGATTTTCTCTGCTAGACATTGTGTTTTTTTAGGTTTTAAACATCTTACCTTTTTAAATGTTAAGAAATACATTGAAGGAAAGGCTGCCAGGTGCAAGAACAGAACTGAAAGTGGTTGAAAAATGAACTACAATCCAAAGGAAAACTAAGGTCTTCTGATTAATAATTTTAATTTAATACAATGAAGCTGGTCTGCATGTAATTAATGAGGCTGCTTTGATACTTGCACTTAAAGGCATTTTGTTCAAAGTCTGTCAAAATCAAAGAGGAAGGGAAACTACAACTATATGCCACTGTAGCTGAACAAAAGCAAAAATTCAGCATTTTTTTCTTTATATTTACAGACCACATGAATAAACATTAAATTTGGCTAGTATAGCATTAGTTCAGCTCAGATCTTAACAGATATGCTTCACAGCAGTCTGTAGTAGTTAAAACGTTTACTATAAAATTTATATAAATGGCATAAGTTATAAAAATTGATTTTGAATGTTTAATTTAGTGGTTGTTAAAAAGAAACACTGAACAAAGAGAGGAAGGAAAAGGAAAGGAAGGAAAATGATTGGAAAAGAAACCTGTCATTAAAATAGAGATTATTTGTACTAAAACTGTGTCAGAGACTGAGAGCTTTAGGGTGGCTGTGAGATGACCACAAAAAGCCTCCAAGTAGTTTGCAGCAGCTGTCACTTCTAAACTTGGAGGAAATGTTTTCCTCTTTCTTGTTGAGCAGCTGCTCTAGCAGCAACCTGGGAGGTGAGAGAAGATGAGCACAACTAAATATGTTCACAGACTGTTCTCTCTTGGTTGCAAGATAAATGGAAATAAAACATTGTGAACTTTCCCCAGTAGTTCTTTTTACTTTATAGTCCTTTATTGTTAACGTTAACCTCATAATATAAAATTGGATTATCTGATTTTTTTCAGTCAAATATATGATTCAATAAAATATGATTATGATTGTTCCATCTAACTGTATGTATGTATGTATCATTTAATAACAAACCAAATGCATCTGCAAATATATTGTCCAAATCTAAACACTTCCTCTGCATGGTTTGATGAAACTCCTGTATTATTTGTTTTCACATTAAACGTTTGTAACAGATTAAAGTCCTAATTTGATGTACTTGAACATTGTATTCAAGGATAAAACCTGATCTCTGTTATATCTTGGCTGGTTTCCTCTGACACATTTTGATAACTTTTAATTAGATGTTCCTTCAACATATAACCCCTGAAACAGAAAAGTTATTGTCCTCTTAGAACTTTACAAAATTGAAAAATCTTTCTCAAATTTATTAAAATGGTTAAAGGATATTTAAATCGTCGATTTGAATATATAAATAAAATAATTAAAAGGAACTATCATTACTCTTGCTTATTATCCATTCAACCGTAAAACACATAAAGGCAGGGAATTTAATGGTGATAAATAGTGGTGATGGTGACCGGAAATGGTGAGTGTTGCACCTGATGGCAGCTCTTGTTGTGAGCATCCTGACCGGAAACGAAGCAGTCTTGCTTAATCAGCTCTAACTTAACAGTTATGTGAAGATGGCGGCTCAGAGTCGCTCTCCGCCGTTATTTCTGCTCCTGTCCTATCTGTGTCTCCTGAGCTCTTTAACCGCATTGGGCCTGAAAGTGGCGAGCGGCCCTGCCGACCTGCTAAAAGCGCACGACGTCAGAGGCGTCGATCCTCCGGCTAATGATGCACCTGTCGCCGCTGCCGCCGGGGCCTCTCAGCCGCGAAGGGCGAGCGGCTGGAAGCTTTCGGAGGAGGAGGCCTGTCGGGAGGACCTGAGCCGCTTGTGTCCTAAGCAGACCTGGAGCAACAACCTGGCCGTTCTGGAGTGCTTACAGGACCGCAGAGAGGTAAACGACCAGAGGGGGATTCACACCGGGAGGTGATGGTAGAGATAATTGGCAGCTGCTGGGTGTGTCGCCTCCCGCGGTCGGTGGCTAAAAAAGACGCCGGCTGTCAGAGTGACAGCGAGGCAGAGGTGACCACAACATGCACCGCAACCTGGTTCCCACCGCGGCCTGGAAATAAACACAGCGGACCAAAAAACATCAGATTCAGCTCAGGATAACATCACCTGGAATAATAAAGAACAGCTTATGGTGCTAAAAGCAAAATATTCAAATATAATATTCTTATCAGAGGGATAACTTTCACATTTACCTTTTCCCCACAGAAATACATAGAAAATATCTGTAAAACAGGATTACCTGCATAACACAGTAGCTTACTTTCTATATGGCTTTACTTCATGTTTAATAGTTTAATAAGTCACTGACGATTTTATATATACATATATATATATATATATATGTATATATAATATACTAATAATTAATATGATATTATTTACATAATATTAATATAATTAATTATTATTATTATAACTACTATAATCATATATCTATGTGTATATATATGTATGTACATTAAAAAACTGGAGTTTTGATGTACATTCTTATATATATATGTATATTTAATATAATAATCAAATTTTACATAAAACACTCCAGTTAAGATATGCCATACTAGTGGCATATCTTATATTACCTAGCAAAATATTTTGTATTTTGATAGGTATTGCATTGGAAACGCCGTGATTGAAATACAACACATTTTTAGGAAATAAATTGTTTCATTTTTAAATTATCCAAAATTTCTTAAGCATAAATACCCCCACATTCCCTTATTTTTTTTGTAAGAGTTAACATATCACTACCATAGTATGGATATAGATTACAGATTCCTTTTTGGCCAAAAAAAAAAAAAAACAAAACCCAAAAAACCTAAACAAATTACCTTGAATTTACAGGTTATCCTTCAATGAGTATGGAGCTTGACTTTTCTGATCCTAAAAGTATTTTGTTTTTCTTAGAACAAACAGAGATGAAAAATAAACAGATATCTTTCAGCTTGATGACATTTAGATTTATTCTGGATAAAATGCAGAATTTTTTAAATTTAAGTTAGACCCTGGAAAGGTAACTTATAATTACGTGAAGAAATCTGAAATTTGTGCAATTTTTTTATGAATATCTCAATATTTTGTCCAAAAATCTTAACTTATTTGGAGAGATTACCTAATTCATATTCTTTAAAGTATGCTGATGCTGAATTGGACTGAAACAGGAATATAGGTGAAGATTGACATCTAGAGCCTTAAGAAAGAGTGTCGGTTTAGCTTTAGCTCTATATTAATCTCCTGATTTCTATTTATTGAAAATCTATAAAAAGCTGAAGAATTGCAAAGTTAAACTTTTTAACCTGCTTCATGTTTAGTTTATATTTCTTGCCTTAAAATTATATCTCTTAATCATTTGAAGCTTTTAACAGCTTGCCCTTTGTGTATATCTTGTCCAAAGTGGGTTTGCCTCTGAAGTAATTATTGACCTGGTTAGGTTTTAATTGAACAGATGTGTGCGCATTCAGACAGCTGTTAAATGACTTACAGGTCAAAGTCAAAGCAAACAATGTCTGCTTTTTGTTACTTCCTCCCTTTATGATTAAAAATGTCTTTGGACTGCCTTGCTTATTATGGCTTCACCCTTATCTTTGTAAGCTGATGCTGATCAAACATGGCGACGGTTCCTTTCTGCATCAGAGGTCACACGCTTTGCATCGACTTTCTTTTCCCTGGCTAAGAAAAACAGCAGGAGCTCTACTATGGGACTTTTTCATGTAGAGAACATGAGCTTTTATATGCATTACTTTCCCTATGTCTGATTATTCATGATTTACTTCCTACCCTCTGTTGTTTTTGATCAGATTTCCATATTGTGGATTCCCTGGAGTATCTTCATGCTGAGGTTTTTGTATGCAATACAAATGTCAGAGGGTTTCACCTCAGTTGTAAAAGTTTTAGTTGAACTAATCTTAAATCAAACTACAGATGTTAGGTTGGTTTATCAGAGACCCCTGAGGGCTATTCACTACTTCTTCTCTAATAAAATCACTTGCTTGTCGCATCACCTACAATTTTGTTCTGCATCTCCTTTTCCGTGGTTCTTCCTTTACAGATCTTGCTCCTTGCAACATCCCTAAAAAATCAAATTGCTGGTCTGCTGATCTGTTGGGTTGGCCTTAGACACTATTTAAGTTCATTGGAAATCAGTTGTCAGCCTGCAGCGTGGGCATTGGTCAATGTTTCCCAGAGCTGTGAGACAAACAGCGCAGTAGTTCTCTGTTCTAAACCCCTGATAGAAAGGAACTTTTTTATTATTTTAAGATTTGATATATTTGGACATAAAGAAGATTTTCTGGTTTTAAGCTGTTAAAAAAAAAAAACAGTGACAGATTCTACAGGGTCATTTTATATTTTTGGGATCCCTAGGATCCATCGATACTACACATATTGTGAAATGAAATCCTTCGGTGCGGAAAATGATTCAGCGGCTTGTAAATTTATCCTTGAAAATTATACGTTTTTTTCTTTTTGCATGGTTTGTATGACTGTCTGTGCTCAGAAGTTGTCTGCTGTGTTTTCGGATCATCATCTTACTATACCGCAGCCTGGCCTCAGGTTTGTATCTAGAATACTTTCATAAACAGAGGAGCTCAGGTTCTACCAAACAAGCCCGAATCATCCCACCTCCACCTCCGTGCTTGACCATTGGTATGAGGTGTCTATGCTTGGTTTGTTTTCTCTAAATAAGGGGTTTTCCATTTTGGCCAAGTACCTCTGCATTGGGTCAGCATTGTTTTTAGCGAGGGGAAGCATCTCCTTTCATCCTTCACAACAAGTCATAACCTTCAATCCTTTTATGATTGTATCATAACATTTTAGAAGCTTATTTATGCCTGTAGCATATTTGGGTTTTTTATGGTCTCTTTTGGCATTGCTGGATGACTTTGGAGTCAGAGTTATCCTCTCCCAGGAGGACTATACTACAGTGCAGATATAAACTAGAAAGCACCTTCTAAGTGTGTGTGAACAGTGGGCACATTTTAAAGCACTATGCAGCCTATGTAATAATGTTGTGATTAAAAGCATCAGATGTAGTTTTTAAATTCTCAAATGAACTTTTTTTTAACCCAAATCCAAAGTATCTTCAAGGAAAATGTTTGATTTGGGGCCATTTTCACTACACATGGCTGCATGGTTATTGGTGCAGTTAACTAGGAAAGGGATTTCTGTCACATATCATCCTTATGTTATTGATTTATTCTTTAAGAAAAAAGAAAGGAATTCTTCCAACAGAGTCTTCTTTATTTGTGCCTTTGTCATTTTTCCCAGTGGCACACAAACACACAGCAGCCTTAAGCAATCCTGAGATGATTACTTAGGTTTGACTTCAGCTGTGGCCTCCTGATGAGGCTGATGGCTTCTATAAATCTGCCTCCTCAGCAGGGTGGGGGGCAGACTCAGCAGCACAGTTAAAGGCACTGCTGCACAGTCTAGCCATGGCTACTGAGTGACGGCATGAGAGAAGGCAAGGCTGCTTATGGTCAGTTCACTACTTTGTCATGTCTGTACTCAGTTTTGGCAGCTGGTTTTCAGATTTTTATTTTTATTTTGAACTATATCTATACTTGTATGTAACTTCTTAAAATGCTCTGTGTTGAAATGCATCAATAAAGAAGTTTCTTTAAATTAGTGTGATTATTGAAAAAGAACCCAACGTGGAATAACCTTGATTGAGATAATCTTCTCCGTTTTGTAATTAGTTTCAATCTGGAAAATTAGAATTTTCACAGGTCATTTAATACATTAGCTGCTTCTCTAATTGTCTTCCTTTTTTATCTTTTCCAAAATTCACATTAGGTCTACTTAGCTCTTGGTTCAAAAAAAAAAAAAAAGAACAGGGCCCTAATGCTGTAAAAGGTTTTTCATTGTTGTGTGTGTGCTCGGTAGGATGCCTCTGGATACAGTGTCAGCTCAGATTTTCTCCACTAAGAAACTCCAGCTTAATGACTAAGGCGGTATTCACACCAATAATGTCACATTTGCTTCACTTGTTTGGTTCCACCATAGGAAGGCTTTTATTTTCTTTCCTTTGGCACAGTTTGCTTTCATTTTCTGTTTTTGAAAGTGAACTCAAATTTGTAGACAATATCAAAAGACAATTGTTTCTCTTATTAGATAAAAATGACTCGGAGCTTAATCTGTACTATCAATAAAGTCCTGAGTGCAGCATTTAAATTTGGTGTATTCAATGTACTGGCAAGTCTATCTCTAATCATTCGGAGCAGCCTCAGTGAATGCTTGCTATAAGCAAAGTGTTTATATCTATCTGAAAATTCTTCTGTCTGTCTTTTCTCCAGGAAATTGATCTCGCACCGGACTGCAACCATGTGAGTATTTTCCGTTTATATGCAGGTATTTGATTTATGCTAAATAGTTAAATGCAAGGTGAAATAGATTAATATTGTTGGTTATATGAAGCACAGATCAAATAAGACTTTAAATATTTACATTTGTGATGTTTTATAAACTGGGAAATAAATACTATAAAAAGTGCATGATTTAGTAAAATCTTAAATGTTTGAGTAATTTTTAAAGTTATAACTAAAGTAGGGCTGCAACTAACCATTATTTTCCAAATCAGTTAATCTGTCGAATTTTTTTTTTTTTATTATTTTATTTTTTTTTTCCAATTAATAATTGGATAGCCGAATATATATATATATATGTATATATATATATATATATATATATGGCCACATTTTTTTTTTTGTTATTGTTAATGCAAAATGGATAGATAGATAGATAGATGGAGATATATATATATTTTTTTATTTTATTTTAACAATCTTGGTATAATAACTGCTTTGAGTGGTTTGCTCTGTCAGCTAAAGGCATGTTTTAGAATCTCTGTGTTCCAGTTAATGATTACTTTATTACTAAATTAGTTGATGATTATTTAAATAATTGATTAATCCAATTAACTGTTTCAGCCCTAAACTAAAACAACTCTAAGTTTTGACCTCACATGGCTCTACGCTTGGCTTTTTTTACCAGGAGCATTAGGGCTTCCAAAGCACAGAAAAAAAAATTAGGGGCAGTATGAATTTTCTTAAATAGTACCTTTTTTTTTATTTGTTTAAAATGAACCCAGTTAATCATTACTGTTTCATTACGCTGTTCTTTTTTTCAAATGGGGCTTTCTTGTCACAAACACCGAAATTACCTCCCTGTTCTTCCCTTTGTAATATAAGGTTGTCCTCAAACTCCAGCCAAGGAAGGAGTTGGATTCAAACTGATTTAAAAACCTTGTCAGCAGTGTTGCTAAAAATTATCAAAACTCAAAATGGTGAAGGCATGTCCTGTTTGCTGACATCTCACTTTCAAATTAAAACGGAGAGCCCTTAACTTCCTCTTAATAATAATTTATGCAGGTTTTACCTTAACCTTTGTTATATGGTGTCTGTTGCATTTATTTTTCTGTAAGGACAGTCATAACAATGATGCCATATTAATTTGGATTTTCTAAAAAAAATGTCTGTTTTCCTATGATAAATAATATGCATATCAGAATAAATAATGTTAAAACAGATAATGTTTAGACTGCAAAGATTCCATTCCTCATGCTGTCAGGGTTACACCTCAGTTACCCTGATGTGAGAGCAAGACTGCATGCTGAAGGCCAGACTGTCCCAATCACAGCTGATCCTTGTTTTTGAGGTCTTCATATGATATGCATATTATAGGTAATTCAACATTAGCAAGACAGAATGTGGTTGAAAACGCATTTAAAAGTCAAGATAATCTTAATAAAACATTTTATGTTATCCAAATCAAGTTTAAGATGGTTTACAGAGGCACATGGTGAATGAGGTTTAGGCCGCTCGCTCGCTACTTACTGAAAACATTAAATTCAGAGCTATCGATGCGTGTGTTTTCGCCAAAGGCTCCAACAAGACAGGAAATGGTTCTTAGATTTTGTTTTTTAAAAAGTGACTAAATAATAGGCACAAAGTTGCTGAGTTGGCAACACTGTGTTCACTTGCTAAAGAAAGGGGTGAAATCTGTAATTGCACGCATGCTCCTATTTTATTTTTTTTCCTACTTACAGCAATGAATTTTTTAGGCACAAATGCGAGTAAAATGCTCGCAGTGTAAAGCCCTGCTCAGATATTAGCTTCATTTGAGATAATATTTCAGTAATGCATCAGGCATCTTTTGGGTTCTCTGATGATCTAATCTAGAGTGCTGGATGTGGCCTTGGTTTTACTGTATCTCCATGACTGTAACCTGGAAGTTACAGATCTAGCAGTTACAGTGTTGTTTTAAAGGTGAAAGCTAAACACTTAACTCCTCCCGACAAGTAAATAGCATTCTCGCGCGCACTTACTGTTCTGTACTGTTTGCCAACCAGTTTGCCAGGACCAGTTATAGTAAAGCTAACTCTTTGCAATATTTACCTCACCTGTCCAGAAGGGAAGCGGTAACCTCTGCGTGGTTTCTGACCTCTTTTGTTTCCTTTAAGTCAGCATTAATGCTTTATTTTGCTCAAGTCTTTTCTTTACGTAATCCTAAGAAATATAACTGATAAACCAGTGTACCAATGACGTTGAAATGTGATAATATTTTGATAAGTCTGATATATATATATATATATATATATATATATATATATCTCATTTTATGTCCTGTGTTGCAGCACATTGTTCCCAGTCAGCCTAACCTATTAAAGTAATGGTATACTGCAAAGGTGATAGGTCAGCTCTTAAACTGATGTCTAGGTAAACCAATCATGTCTGAGGGTTTATTTCATGAGCCATAATAGTTTATGATTTTAATAATATAGTTGTTGATTATTTAATTTGTTTATAAAATGTAATATGATTTGATCTGTTAATAAAAAGTTTATTGTATTGTATCCCATTTGGTGCGTGTTGTGGTGATGAGACACTTTTTTCTAAGCTTTGCAGACTGCAGATTAGTTTTAGATGCTTTGATTTTAACAAATATTGGTTCCCATGTATCTCATTCTGGAGCCTGTTTTACGGCAAACTGTTTTGTCATCAAAATCTTTTTTTTTCCCATTTTGTTAGCTATGTCTTTTTAAACTTTTGCAGCTTCTATGGAATTACAAATTGAACCTGACGACTGATTCGAAGTTTGAGTCTGTGGCTACTGAGGTGTGCAGGAGCACCATCGCAGAGGTTAGGGTGCATCTTACTGAACTTCATGGGTTCTCCTGCCCTGATATGTTGAGCTAAAACCACCTTTATCTTTTTCCCCTTCAGATAAAGGAGTGTAATGAGGAGGAACGAGGGCGAGGCTATCTGGTGTCCTGCCTCGTGGATCATAGAGGCAACATCAGCGAGTATCAGTGCAACCAGTACATCACCAAGATCACCAGCATTATTTTCAGCGACTACAGACTGATCTGTGGCTTCATGGATAAATGCAGAGAGGATATAAATTACTTGCGCTGCGGCAGCATCAACGTAGGACAAAAGGTGTGGGTTGGTATGTTTGGATGGAGTGCAGAGGCAGACAACTGTAAGACATCTCTAAAATAAGCCAATTTTTCTGAAATTCTCAATGCAAAAAATTCAGTTTATCTCAAAGCTTTAGTAGGATAGGCTATCGATAAGTCTGTTCGTTTAGCTGGAGGACCCATTGGTCAGAGATGATTAATAACCCTTTTAGAGGTCACTTTATTGAGGTCACTGCCATAAATCTCCTCACAGGACGTCCACTCCCAGGGCGAGGTGATCTCCTGTCTGGAGAAGGCGCTGGTGAGGCAGGCGGAGCAGCAGGACCGGGTTCATCTAATCAAAGAGGAGTGTCAGAAAGCTATTCTTCGCGTGGCGGAGCTGTCATCTGATGACTTTCACCTCGACAGGCACCTTTACTTCGCGTGCCGAGACGACCGGGAGAGATTCTGCCAGAACGTAGGGAGATTTGTTTCTTCCTTCTGCACAACAGAGCAATCAATAAAACTGAATCACTTGTGCAGTCATATGTAAGAAGCAGAAGGTAATGTTAAACATTTTTAAATTATTCAATTTCTACTTTTGCACAGGTTCAGGCAGGAGAAGGCAAGGTCTACAAGTGTCTGTTCAACCATAAGTTTGAGGAAGCCATGTCTGAAAAGGTAGAAACTGAATAGTTGTTGACCCATATAGCATAAATTACATCATATTAAATGCCCCCTCCTTCTATCACCAGTGCAGAGACGCGCTGACAACCCGACAGAAGCTGATTTCTCAGGATTACAGAGTCAGTTACTCTTTGGCCAAAGCCTGCAAACTGGACCTGAGGAAGCAGCGCTGCAGTCTGGACACCAGCCTGCCACGAGCGCGGGAGGCTCGACTGTCCTACCTGCTGCTGTGCTTGGAGGCTGCCGTGCACCGAGGTAAGCGTATTAGACCAGGACATAAAACCGCCGCCAAGTTTCAGATTTAAACCCTCTACGATGCCTCAGATTCATATTACTGAAACTTTTTCACATTTATTCAACTTTCAGTCACAAACTTTTAAATGTATTCTGCTGAGACTTGATGCGATACAGTAGTAATAATAACTGAATCTCACAATGGAGAAATTCACTCCTGCATCTTAACCCATTTCCTTTGGGAAGCAGTGGGCTGCCAATGTGTGGCGCCTGGGGAGCAATCGGGGGGTTAAGGGTCTTGATCAGGGACAATCTGTAGGTGACAATATTCAAATGTTGCCACAGATTCTTGATTCGATTTATGTCTGGAGTAGAGACGCCCCCACCGCCCCCCTCCAATTGTTGCTCTGGCTTTCTGGTGAGAATCATATTCCTACTGGAAGGTGAAACTCAGCCTCAATCTCAAGGGTTCTGCAAATTTTCTTCCAGTATTAAGCTCCTGCTGATTTTATTAATAAGCTTAAGAAGTTTACTTTAAAAGGGAAACTTTCTCATCTGAGCTGTAGGATGACTGACACTGAACATTTTGGATGACCTCTCTTTAATTCCACTTTGTGATTTGCAGGTCGTCCCGTCAGTGGAGAGTGCCAGGGGGAGATGTTGGACTTCCGGAGGATGCTGATGGAGGATTTTTCCTTAAGCCCAGAGATTGTCCTTCACTGCCGGACGGAAATCGAGGCCCAGTGCTCCGGTTTGCACCGCAAGGGCCGCACGCTGCACTGCCTGATGCGACTTGGCCGAGGCGACCACAGCAGTGCGGTTGACAGCATCTGCCAGAGCGCAGTAAGAACACAGAACTTCCTGCGCTTATTGTGAAGAATTACATTGTTAGTTTGTAAATCTGATTTTCTAACTTTTTGTTTTCCTGCAGCTGCAAACTCTGATCCAGTCTGCCGACCCTGGAGCTGATTATCGGATTGATCGAGCGCTCAACGAGGCCTGTGAATCAGTCATCCAGACCGCCTGTAAACACATCCGCAGTGGAGACCCAATGTGAGCACTTCATTTAAAATTAAAATAAATAATAAATAAACGACCATATGCAGAAAAACGAATTCTAAAAGTAAAATTTTTTTTTACACCAAACCATCTGATCCCAACTTTTCCTCATATTCTATTCTATTCTATTGAGTCTATTGAGATCAGGTAAAAACAGTAATATAATCCTCAGAACATTTACATGCAGTGGTGTTCATCAGAATAGCTGGTTTGCTTAAGCCTAATAAAATCTGCAAGGCCAGGCAAATTTATTTGTATAGCACAATTCAGTACAAAGACAATGCAAAGTGCTTTACATGATTAAAATATAGGAAAATAAGACAGAATCAACGCAAGTGGGAAAAAAAATAAATAAATAAAATAAAATATGCAGAAACAAAAAAAAGGAATTTGAAGGAATTTGTTAAGTTACTGTAATATTTCAGCGGAATAAAATGAAATATGCAGAGATCCTACGTCTATACTTTGGACTTTCTGAGGATATCGTTCTATTCTGCTTTAACCTTTGTTCATCTGTGGTGTAGACCTGAAAGGAGGAGTCCTTTTTCTTATACCGGTGGGGGAGAAAAACACAGATAAGTATTTGACGGATTTCTGTTTTTTAGGATCCTGTCCTGTCTGATGGAGCACCTGTACACAGAGAAGATGGTGATGGACTGTGAGCATCGCCTGCTGGAGCTGCAGTATTTTATATCCAGAGACTGGAAGTGAGTGTGCTTTTGGTTGTTAGCAGCTTTTTTATGAAGATCTAACTCTTTGTTCTGGACATCATCTTTCCATTTAAATCAATTGAATTTGTTGCATTTTCAATGATTTGAACACAGCTCTTTGGCAAACCAAAGCACTCGTAGCATTTAGACCTTGATTCATGTTATAGTTTAAACCTGTTTAGCATCTGGAAGGAGGAAATAGTTCTACCTTTAAATTGTGCTCCTCCTGCAGACTGGACCCAATCCTGTACAGGAAGTGTCAGGGTGACGCCGCTCGGCTCTGCCACACCCACGGTTGGAACGAGACGAGCGAGTTGATGCCCCCGGGAGCCGTTTTCTCCTGCTTGTACCGCCACGCTTACCGCACAGAGGAGCAGGGACGGCGGGTAAAGAAAAATAAGTTTGTCTGACATCTAGACAGAAATGGCTTTTATTGTTTCTCAGCATGTTTGGGTGAGGATATCAGAACTTGTGTTCAGAGCGTGTAACTCTAATGTTTTTTAATTTAACAGGTAAACTCAGATGGGCAGGTAAGAGCTGTGCCTTTCTCTGAAACCGGTCGCTTCCAAATCAGGTGAAGGGTTAAAATAATCATTTAATCTGCTGCTGAATAATAAACTATTAAATGAACCAACCAATCCTGACATTTTCCAATTTTATTGTAATTTTTTTGTTCTCCACAATTTTAGCCATGTAAAATTACACAATACTTCTTTATTGTCTGTTGCGGGTTCTCATTTGATTGGATACAAATTGTTTTGTTCCTTTTCCTGAGGGTTGTGTACATTCAAAGTGGGCAAAGGAGAGAGTGTGCATCCTTAAAATAAAAAAAAAAAAATGCAACTGCTCCTTCCACTGTGCTCCTCGCATACGGCTTTTATATTTTGCATTTGTGCAACTTGACTGAATTACCAAAATAGAGAGCATCACATTTTCAAAAACCAAGAGCTGTTTGCGACACGTAAAAAATATCTGCAAAGGGTTAGTGGTAAATTGATGGAAAGAAAACGTGGAGAAAAAGGAACTGACTGTGCAGCTGAGAGATCTTAACTTCCTGCACAACATGGCTGTGGTCCACTTAGAAATCATCAAGGGTAGGAGAAGCACCAGAGGTAGTGAAGGATGGAGGAGATGATGACCCAGAAAGCAGTTTGCTTCCTGAGACAAAAGAACATTTGCAGCACTTAACAGTTTCAAAATGCCACGAAATATTTTAGCTCCTGTCAGACGTTGTTGCTAACAATTTGAAGAGGTCTTCATAATGTCAGCAGTTGGAACTATCTGCTTTGTACCTCTAATTAATCTGCTCATGTTTTGTTTCTCTCTGAAGAGATGGAAACTGGAACCTGATGCCCAGATTGGTGCAGATCACCGTCATCTGCTTGATGTAATGGTTAAGATGCTTCTGCATGGATGTAGCGTAAACCGTCTCATAAGTAATGTGCAGAAATTAAGAAAGATTAACAATTTAAGAAATTGTCTTGTTGTGTGAATTTCCTTCAGCGCCTTCTCCAAAGGTTGATCCGTTTAAGTCAGGCTACTTCAAACAGAACTGGTCACCTACTCAGCTTCAAAGCACAGTTGTTTGGGCTTGTTGGATCAGAAGCTACCGAGGCGATATTAACGCGGGTCTCTTGCCGTTTCATTTGACCCGGGTAGACACGGGTCAGAGAGCTGTTCCCACCGCCACTAAAAGCCAATTGTTCCAGGGTTTAAACGGGTTTCTTGGCAAGTGGGAAATGAGTAATAGAGGCAAACATGTATAACCTGAAAATTAGTGGTTTATTTTTCAAACTCAAAGTTGTTTGTATCCTAAGGATACTTCAAAAGTACATGAAAAGAATGTTGTTTTGGAAGCTATTCTATGCTTTTTCACTGTAAAATATTCTCATTATGCAGCAAAACATGCAAGTAAACAGTCTTATACAACTAATTAGAATAAAAAAGGGAATTAATAAAAAAAAAAAAAAACTTTGATTAATTTGCTCTTTATAACCTAAACCTGAATTTCATTCTTACACTAAAGGCTTTATTCTTTTTTGCATTAACGGATGAGTAAAGAGGTTACTCTTATATAAACATTTACCTGTACATTTTAGATATTCTATCTTGTCCATAAAAATACCTCAAGATCTCTGCTGGCCTTTCAAAAAATTGTGAAATCAAGAGAAGACGCTTTATTAATTCCAAGATCTAAATAGTTTAAATTAGACTAAACGCCTTTGACTCTCTGGAAAATAATAGAAATAAGAAATTATTTCCTTTCCTGGTTGGAAAATCAGCTGAATATAACCTATGATGAGATGCAGCACATATTCAATTACAACAACTCATGGTTAGACCTAAACCTAAATAAATGTACTATTTTATTATGGGGCTTAGTTGCAGAACAGCTGCTATTATATGCATCCAGATTCATTAAATAACTGATAATGAGCCATAAAAGCAGATTCTGGCAGGTTTGTCCTATGGAAGATAAGGGCTCGCTCAGGGTTAACAAAACACCAAGGTGGAAAAAACTCAGCATAGACATTAGAGAGTAACTGGTTCTGACCAAGTCTGCCAATGAGTAGAGGACATTTCCAGAGTATTTAAGGTCCTTTATTGTACAGAGAGAATGGATGACTACAATTGGAAAACATTCAAGATGGCTTCCAGCTCATAACCATGCCATGTATCAAGCATGATTGTAAACGACTGCTCTTGGCTTGTGCAAGACTTCTAAAGAAACTCAGATACTTGTCTCCTCTGATGGAGTCTTCTTGTGTGTTTGCAGTTGTCTCGAGATTGTAAAGTTGAGGTTCAGAGGATTCTCCACCAGAGGGCGCTGGATGTAAAGTTAGACCCAGAGCTGCAGAAGCGTTGCATGACCGACCTGGGCAAGTGGTGCAGCGATAAGCCGGATACGGGACAGGTGAGCACAGCGGTGAGCTTTGCCCTTTGGAGGAAAAAGGTGAACTTTTAACCAAGACTCCGAGTGTGAGAGATTCTGTAGAGCTGCCACATTGTTCACACTGCAGTACTGTGAACCAGGCAGTACAACTGTAGCTTTTACTGTGGTCCCTCCTCTGGCCTCTGCAGATAAAACTCTAAAATCAAGCTTCTTTGGAAACGTTTCTGTTCTTGTCTAGGAGCTGGAGTGTCTGCAGGACCATTTGGAGGACCTTGTGTCCACCTGTAGGGAAGTTGTCGGGAACCTGACAGAGCTGGAGTCAGAGGTCAGCTGATCGTAGTTAATCCTGCTTCAGGTGTTAAAGTGACAGCAGCAGCTGAAATGATGTATCCGTTTATTGTTTGTTAGGACATCCAGATCGACGCCCTGCTGATCAGAGCCTGTGAGCCCATCATCCAGGCCCACTGCCATGTGAGCGCAGCCACACAGCAAACCTCGGCTGATAATTCTTCTAGTGTTCAACCATGTTTATGGCTCTTTGTGGGCAGGATGTAGCTGATAACCAGATTGATACCGGTGACCTGATGGAGTGTTTGGTTCAGAATAAACATCAGAAGGAGATGAACGATAAGTGTTCAGTCGGTGTCACACACTTCCAGCTGGTCAGTTTACATCTTATTTATGCCACTTTTAGTGCATTTTCACAACTCTGACCAAAAAAATTGTATGACAGCCCAAAATGTTGCTTTTTACTTTAAGATTTCTGTTTTTATTTTGTTTTTTTTATGTTTCTGTTTTATAGATTAACAGAGTCAGAGATTCTAGTGTGAATTACTACATCTTATTCATCAAGTCGGCCTGACATTATAATGACTGCAACTTATTTCCAATTCTCTGTTGTGTTTTATTTTTAGATCCAGATGAAGGATTTCCGTTTCTCCTACAAGTTCAAGATGGCCTGCAAGGAGGATGTTCTGCGCTTGTGTCCAAATATAAAAAAGAAGTGAGGACCTTATTCAGGTGGATGAGGGAACACAAGGATTTAGCAGAACTGGGCGAAGGAGTGAAAAACAAAAAAACATGTTAACATTCCTGTATTTCTATGTATTTTGGTGTTGGAAGAGAATAGGGGACCCACTGCTTCTCCCTCCTATCCTCCAGCTCCTTCCTTGGTCTTTTTTTAATCTAACTATGCTACACTGCAGTATTAGGAGATTACAACAATCACTAATGTGATTGTGGCTAATAATGAAACCTCACATAAAATATAATGCAGTGTTTTATGTGATATTTGCTCTAACCGTCTGCTAAGGAATACGGCTCTCTGTTTTCCCGCAGGGTGGACGTTGTTATTTGCCTCAGCACCACGGTGAGGAACGACACGCTGCAGGAGGTCAGAGAGCAGCGAGTGTCTCTGAAATGTCGCAAGCAGCTGCGGGTGGAGGAGTTGGAGATGGTAAACAAAAGAAACCAATTAAAATAAACCAACCGGCTGTCATCTCATTTGAATTCAAGTGGAAAGGAGTTGCTGTTCTCAGAGGAGCTTCTGTCTGTGCTTCAATCTCTGGATTTTCATGTATTTTTAGAAGGAAGATTACATGTACATGTGAACTGTATGGATGCCTGATTATTTTGGGTTCAGTTTAAGCTTTTTTTAAGCAGGAAAACTGATTTGGGATCATGGTTGGGTTGGAACAACTAAGCGTGTCCATGTTTTCTCCTGCTAGCTCCTAAATCGAGTTTGAAAATTTTAAAAGGTAGCTCTTTTTCATTATAGATTTTTTTCATGTAATGTACTACAACCCCTGGCAAAAATTTTGGAATCACCGGCCTAGGTGGATGTTCATTCATTTGTTTAATTTTGTAGAAAAAAAGCAAATCACAGACATGACACAAAACTAAAGTCATTTCAAATGGAAACTGTCGGGTTTTTAACACTAAAAGATATTTAAAAAAATGTGGTAGTCAGTAACGGTAACTTTTTTTAGACCAAGTAGAGGCAACAGCAAGAAAGTTGGAGCCAGATTGATGAAGGGTACCGTTTGTCACTCATTAAGTCCATGCCCTAAAGACTGTAAGCTGTTATAAAAGCCAGAGGTTGTGAAACAAAATACTATTCCATAATTTGTTCCTCAGAATTAAGTGATTACATATTTTTTTCCCTCTACTTGGTCTAAAAAAAAGTAACCGACTACCAATTTTTTTTTCTTGATTTCTTTAAGTATTTCTTAAAGCCAGACAGTTGCCATTTGAAATTATTAGCTACAAAAGTAAACAATTGCATGAACATCCTCTGAGGCTGGTGATTTGATAATTTTTTCCAGGGGTTGTAGCACCTCTGGGAGTGAAAGCCCCCCTCAGCATGATACTGCCACCTTAGTGTTCCTATCTAGTTCTTCATGAAATATTATTCCAGAAGACGTTGAGCAACTTTAAATCACTTGAATGTGTCTGTTTTTAAGCAGAGGTTTGTCTCTCAATTGGCACCGTTTCGGTCCACTTCATGCGTTGTTGCTATCTGGTTGGTTTTGAAGCAAGATAAGGATCCAAATATGCAGGACAAATAGTTTTGGAACTAACATTCAGCCTCTATTGTAGCCTTCCTAAACCTCCAACATCAACCCTGTTGAAAATAATTTGACCAAGTTTAGTAGCAATCTGCTTGGTGTGTTAATCAACCAGTTTTTCTAATAACTACCAAGAGTAAAGGTCACACCAACAGAAAGAAGATGGTCAATGTGCAGCTTGTTAAGAGATTTTAATATTTAATAAAAAATTAACAAAAATCTCATGAAATATGAAACTTTCTTTTGACTCAGTCTGAAGACATCCGCCTTGAACCAGAGTTGTATGAGCCCTGCAAGTCTGACATCAGTCGCCTGTGTCCCAACGTGGCGTTTGGAAATGCTCAGGTAATATTTCCCAACCATTTTATCGCTTTCTGACCTTGTTTTACTGTCAGATCTTTCTGCCAATGCGTTTCTGCTTCTCCTCAGATCATCGAGTGTCTGAAGGAGCAGAAGAAGCAGCTGAGTCAGCGCTGCCACCAGAGGATCTTCAAGCTGCAGGAGGTTGAGATGAGCGACCCGGACCTGGACTATCAGCTGATGAGAGTCTGCAAGCAGATGATCAAGGTGAGCAGATGAAGTGGCCAGTAAAGATTACGGGCGCAACAATATGTCCATCCACATAGATTTATATAAATGAAATAATGAACGCTCCAGTTGCATTGATGCAAATCAGAAAATATCGATCCTAATCATCATCTTTAGGATATCTTAGCTCCAGTGTTACCATGTCAGAATCTAAAAAGGTGATCTTTTATTTTTTATTGAGATGAATGTTGTTTTTACCTCAAAAGCCTTAAGGCTGATTTATACTTCGAAACCAGGTCCTCTGCATAGATGCCACAGTGAACAAAAAGCCGTCCCCGCCCCCTCCGCAGACACTCTGCTGCACCTCTCCCAAATTGTAGCTGATCGCAGACAGGAGGACGGCTTGTTTTGTTTTTATCACAGAAATTGCGGAAAACAACTCGTGAAGTTTGACCAGCTAGACGATCGAGGTGCACGAGAACACGCTTTTTCCACCTGGATCCCCACTATTTTTCGCCATCAAGTCCCTCCGTTGTCGGACAAAACTCGCCCCCACTTCCTCATCGCCTTTGCCGTATCTAGACCCACAGCGTATAGCACAGACCACGCTTCAATATTGAGCATAAATCAAAAATGTCTTCATCAAGCTCACTGCGACACACTGCTGCTGGAGTATAACCAGGCCTTTAGTTGTAAAAGGAGGCAAATGATATGTTGATGGGAATATTCTGCTGCTTCATGTGGATTGCAGACTAAATCCTATCAGGACAGACTAGTGACACCAGTATCAAATGCTGTTTCATAATAAAGCTTTTTTTTATTTTTTTATTTTTACACCTCCAGTAATGATGCCATTCACTTATTTCTTAATTTATTCTTTTATTTAATTTAAAGCTTGATAATTAAAACAACCTTTGAAGTCTAGAAAACTTGCTGTCATCCTTTGGACGTCAGACCTCATGTTAGTCACTTGTCATTACTTAGCAACTTCTAGTTGTTATGGCTTTTTATTAGTCGTATATTAATAAATTATTACAAAATTTTCACACCCCCTGAACCTGTTTCCCAGTTTGCCAGATTCCAGCTGTGAACCTGAATATATTTTTTTGGGCTTTAATGAAACGATAAACATGTAGCAGAGGGATCCTGGTACTAAGACTCAGTTGGTGTTTTAGTTCTGTTTTTAATGGTATGCCATCCCCCCTCCAGCGTTTCTGCACTGAAGCAGACGCCCGGAACGTTCTTCAGTGCCTGAAGCAGAACAAGAACAGCGAGCTGATGGATCCCAAGTGTAAACAGATGATCACTAAGAGGCAGATCACCCAGAACACAGGTGAACTCATAGAAACGCCTGAAAATCACAATCTCCATTATTGTCTATTTAACACACAAAAGCAACCCCGCTGATGATGATGATGATGATGATGATGATGATGATGGAGGATCCATTTCATGTCATAGACTGCACTGGCTGCACTTTCTAGAAATGCTGTTTCTATGGGCGTATTTTTCGTCTAAGCTCCTTTTATATTTTCAAACATCTCTTTCTAATGATGTCTCTATAACGTAGGTCTTCAACAGGGGGTCCGTGACCCCTAGGGGGCCATGGAGGTACCTCATGGGGGTCGCAAAAGTTTTGGTTGATTAGACTTTTTTTTTATATTCAACACTGCAATTTTTTTCCACTAATTGAAATGTCTTTAAATCCACATTAACATGAATTCAAGACACTGTAGTAAACAGATAAATGGAGGCAGAAGATGTCTTTCAGTCATCAATGCACACATTCAGCGACACACAGGAGCTCTTTTAAGCTGGGCACCGTTTCATTCACAACACCTGTCCCATCAACCAGCAATCAGAATCAGAAATACTTTAATAATCCCCATATGTAATAGAGTGACTATAGGACCAGTTTGATATAACACAATTTCATACAATATATATAATTAGGGGGTCCCTGCTCCATTTCGCCATCAATTTGGGGGTCCTTGGCCTGGAAAACGTTGAAGACCCCTGCTCTAGGGTTAGGGTTAGGATGATTTTTTTTTTTTTTCCCTGAGTATCTCTATTTTATGTGGACGTTCTGCACCAGGTTTCTCCAGGAAATTCCATATTTTTACAATGACTGTAAAAGATATATTCTTGATCTTGCTGTCCTTCCTTGTCCAGACTACCGGCTGAACCCGGTGCTACGGAAAGCCTGCCGAGCCGACATCCCCAAGTTCTGCCAGTCCATCCTGAGCAAAGCCAGCGAGGACAGCGAGTTGGAGGGCCAGATCATCGCCTGCCTTAAACTCAAATACGCTGACCAGGTTTGTGTTGTATTTCAATTCTCTCCTTTAGAGTGAATTACAAACAGATGGATATGGATGTTTAACTGTTATATTGTCTGATCTCTGTCTGGGTTTTGTGTCAGAGGTTGTCTTCAGATTGTGAAGACCAGATCAGAGTGATTCTGCAAGAGTCGGCACTCGACTACAGACTGGACCCGCAGCTGCAGATGCACTGCTCAGATGAGGTTAAAGGATTAAGTAAAATCGCCCGTCAACTACGTCGGCTGAATACACATATAATTAGACACAGGGCTAATTCTCTTAGTCACATCTCAAAATGGGAAAGACAAGACAACATGCCATTCAAATAAGACAGATGTAGTTCACTGCAAACAGTGTTTGTGTTTTAATGTTTATACTCGAACAAGATTTTGGCTGTTAAAAGTGCCTCATAAATACATGTTTAAATTATTTAATAATTTTAATTATTTATTTATAAATACACCTATTTATATACTTACACTATTAAGTATGGTGGAGGATCTATAATGGTTTGGGCCAGTTTCTCCTCCTATGACACTGGTAGCCTTCTTGGATTGAAGGCCAATCCTTTTCCGTTATTATAAAAAGAGCAAATTCCTTAAAAATAGAGGTAAAGGTTGAATTAAAAAAGGTTTATTTTTACTTCCTCTAATTATTTTACACTGATCATCGTCCACTTCTCCTTTTCTGTAGATCTCCAGATTATGTGCAGAGGAGGCAGCAGCTCAGGAGCAAACCGGTCAGGTGGAGGAGTGCCTGAAAAGCAACCTCTTAAAAATCAAACAGGAAGCCTGCAAAAAGGTGAAGCCTAGAAACAAAACATGCTGAGTTGGCACATCTAAATCAACAGGATGAGCTTACGCTACGGTTGTTCGTCTCTGTTAACTCACAGGAGGTGCTGAATATGCTAAAGGAGAGTAAGGCAGACATATTTGTCGACCCAGTGCTCCACACAGCCTGTGCTCTGGACCTCAAACACCACTGTGCCGCCATCACGCCTGGCAGAGGACGACGTGGGTGATTTTTTTTTTTTTCCTGTTGCTCTCCATCTTTGTACACTTTGCAACTGAGATAGTAAAGCATGACTATCAACTTGTGATTGCTGCAGAGATGTCGTGTCTGATGGAGGCGCTGCAGGACAAGAGGATCCGTCTGCAACCTGAGTGCAAGAAAAGACTTCAAGATCGCATAGACATGTGGAGCTACGCTGCCAAGGTAACTCATCAGGATCAACAATATGAGTCAGTTATTATAAAAAGAGGCACAAATCTCAGGTAAGCTGGTCAGAGTTGATTGAACTAAACTTAATTTGGACAATTCTGAGGGGGAAAAAAAAACAGTTAGAGGTTGCACGGATTCTTAATTATGGTGGTGTCCATCCTCCAGGTACAGCTGCAATGGAATTGTTTATGATAAAAGCATATTCATGTGTTAGATTGGCCTAGTTAAAGTAAAGACTTGAATTCAAACTGGATTCTGTGGCAGGATTTTAAAACAAATGTTTCTAGATGCTTTCGCTGTTATCAAAAGAAAGACGGGCAGAATTTTATGCCAGATGTAATAATCTGCTGAGACAAAACAATAGCTTTGAAACATATTCTTAATGTTTTGTCAGAAATGATCTAGGATGGTGTTGATAGCAAAAGGAAAGGCTATCCACTGAGCAGAGAATATATTCATTGGACACTGACTGTAGCACATCAACTAAAACTTGTCTCCATAAAAGTGAGAATCGTATTCATTCGAATTTATCTGTCCACCAAAAACTCTCACTTTCAGGGAATCCACCATAAGAAATATGTAAATAGTGAGATAATGTTTAAAGGTTCCCTTTTTGTTCATATTTCCATCTGTTTTATTCACTGGGTGAGAGGGGAGGTATTTCTCGGCGTAGGGTTTGGTGAAAATGGGGACGAGCACGTAGGACGGCCTCGCATAAACATATCAACAGAATGATTGACAATTAGAACCATTTAATTTGATGATCCACCCAGAAAAAGAACATCCTCCACTATATCTTTAATAAAGCTTTAAATATGACTTATATGTTTAACATCAACTCCTTGATTAAATATTTTCTCAGTCATTGCTGTTTTCCTGTATGACCTGCAGGTGGCGCCAGCAGAGGGCTTCTCAGACCTTGCCATACAAGTGATGACATCGCCCTCCAAGAACTACATCCTGCTCATGATCGCTCTGAGCGTGTGTGTCCTGTTCCTGGTGGGGCTGCTATGCGGTCGGATCACGAAGCGAGTGACGAGGGAACTGAAGGACCGGTAAACGCTTCAACTTCAGAACAGACTGCTCGCCCCCTCCTCTTCCTCCTCTTCCGTCTCCCTCAGCTGTCTGGTCTGTAACACAGCTGACGTTAACAGTGCCAACACCACATCCGAACCCCCTCCCTCTGTAGAAAACCAAATGCTTGGGCCTCTGTTTGGACTTCTTTGAACTCAGAGTACGGATCGTCGGAGACGACGCCTCCGTTCAGTATATTTAAACTTCTAGATGAACGCTGTCGCTGTGACCAAGGACTGCTACTTCTGGACTCTTCAGTCCTGATGATTTATTTTTGGTATTTTTCTTGCAAACTTATTTTTTGTTAACAGCTGCTGCATAATTCTCAAACAAAAGGTTTTTGGCAAATTATCTGTTAAACTTTGAGCACATCTCATGAAACTGCATAGAAACGACCTGTTTGCTTCAATGACTCCAAGCCGGCCTTCATGAGCGACTCCATTTCATTTACTATAAACACTAATTTCATTGCACTTTTTTTTTTTTTTTTACTTCTGTCTCTAATTTATTGTTGATGAACTGATTTGCTGATGATGTTGCACTTTGTTTTGAGCGAGTGGGAAAATATTTCTTCTGGCCAATGAAAATAATGGAAGCTCTAAAGGAGAAAGGTTCTCAGTGAGTCATTAAAAGCAGGATTGAACCAAAAGCTAGATGAAGGTTTTCAGATATTCACCATGATGTAAATCATTTTGACCTTTCAATTAGCTCCTAATCATTCTAAGTCATAGAATCTGACTAAGTCAATGAAAATGTAAAAAAGATTTAGATTTTCAGACTTAAATGTTGCTTAAATCCGAATTCTCATAGCTAATATTTTTAAATGAATTTCTCAGAGGAATGAAATGAATGTGTAGCATGTATGCTGGTCTGTATTCTCAGCCAACAGCCAGTTAAACAACCCCAGGAGGAAGCTACCTGTCCATTGCTTTATGATTTTGTCTTTCATTCTCAGCTTGTACAGATTACAGATATTACAGTTAAATGGTGTGCAGTTTTTTTTTTTTTCATATGCCATGTAATATGAAGAACCGATTTATTATTGTGATGTCTGATTTTGCTGTACAGATTAAAGTTGTCAATTTAATAAAAAAATGTCTGCAGTTTTCAGATATTGGTCTCAAATAATTGTCTATAATTAGATTCTTATAAAGTAATATTTTCCAGATAGGTTTCACTGCTCTGAAAAGAAACAGCAAAAAGGTTTCTTGATGTCTGAGGTTACTCACTGCTCATTTTTAGGCCTCTTCCTCTTTGTGTTTAACTGTGTCCTCTAGGATCTGATTAGTTTAACAGGGACCATGTTTTACTGCGGAGTATGATCTCTATCAGGTTTTAAAATCTGATTATAACCTAGTTTTGGAAAGCATAACACTGTTTCCAAACTTTAGTGTAAAACAGACTTTCCCTGTCAGTCACATATCAGAGGGATTTTGCCTCCCTTTCATCATTACTTCAGATCTTTTTTTTTTTGCAGACATCTTTTAGATCAACAATTCCTGTTAGGCCATTAAACACCTTGATTTTCTTCATCTATTTTCCTGTAGATTTGCTACTGAACTTGAGATCATTGTCCCTGTTGGTGGCCTGGTTTGTGATGAGCTTTGGGTGTCCGATTGCCTCCTGTTGGACTAGAATGCCTGGATGTAAAAAAGGGTTGACTATTGACTCACTAGAGTGTCAAACAGAAATAGTTTATATATTTTATATTTATAAAAATGGAGCTCTGTGTACCCATTGCGCGGTTCCCTTCTCTTTAACTTGCAAATGGAGGGTTAGAGTTTTGGGGGCGGTTTGGGATTCAGCCATAGGTTTTTTGCTGCATTTCTAGTTTTCTGCAAACAAGGAGCTGTGCATCATGGCTAAACCTCTCATCTAAGGATATACAAAATATATTTTAACATTTTTCCATATTCACGGTTAAGTACATTCTTCACTGACCAATGTTCCAGGTTTTATGTTTTGTCTTTTAAAGCAAATGCTTCTAAAATGTTATATTGTGGGGTTTTATAAAATTGGTAAAACTGTGGGCATCTTTGGTAGTCCCACTGAGGATTTTATCTTGTTTATACCAATATCGTAAATATGTTCCAAATAAGAAATATCTAGTGATATACTTGGCTTACTTTCCATCCCCAGTCTTACCATTCAAATACTGTTGCTCCAGAGGTATTGTGATTTATTCAGATAGTGTGCTGCCACATTCATAGGGCAAAGCTTCATCTTTCAAACCTGAAAAGCCATACTTTTGGGTTGGAGTTCTTGGGGCTTTGCTCTGTTGCTCTGGACTAACCTAGGGCAAAAATCTGCTGGCATTCAGCCACTCCTAATTTGTAGATGTCAAATGGTGCAGATTTTCTTATTAATCCCTCCCAAAGTGAGCTGTAACATTTGCTTCTCTGAGGTCCTTGCTAAGGTATTGTAAATTGTACGTTGTGGTATCACACCTATATGGTCTACAGCAATAACCTCTAAAACTGGGGACACTTTATCAGTAGTTCTGTCTTGATACATAGACCCCTGGAAGGGGTATGGTTGAGAGGCAGGGTACACCCCGGACAGGTCATCCGTCTGTTACAGGACAACACAGAGACGTACCACCATGCCCGCACATAATTTAGAGAAGCCATTAAACCGATCAGGTCATTAATATTGGACTGTTGGAGGAAACCGGAGAACCTGGAGAGGAGAGAACCGACACATGCTGGAAAATGCAAATTCTAAGACTACTGGTAGGGAATCAAACCCAAAACTTTTACACGCACATATACATGCCCTTAAATTATATTTATATATATTTATTTATTTTTTTTAATCCTCTTTTCTCCAACAGGGGGCATCAAAACAGTGTTCTATAGCAGAAAATGCCAGCTCATCGAAAAGGCCAGAGGGACACCAGCAGAAAAACTAACATTAGTGCAGTTCCTCCAGTCAGACAGTGATAAAAATAGCCAACAGAATTATCATTGTATTATGACTCAATGAGTCATTACTAATTAAAAGGTATTGAAACTATGGTCAAAAGGATGGATCTCTGGTGACTCACCTTCCTGTGTTCATCACCTTTGTGTTTGCATGCAAAGCAAACAGGAAGAACACCTGAAAAGGTAAATCAGTGGTATTCAAAATTATCTGCTACATCTGTCAAATTAAAATAAAATAAAAACACTCTTGAAACGCACTTCGGTTCCTTGATTAAAAATATGACAACTATTTTTATCTTCATTTTCAATAAAAAAATTATCAATCACACATTACTGATAATCACCTTTGTATGGTTGCATGATGGATTAAGTAAAAGCTTAGTGAAATGTTTAAAGCTTAGGAAATTCATTTTAAAATCTAATCCCAGAGTTGCACCATATCTTGAAGCACAATTACCAGATTGCATCCGGCATCCACCCCCTGAATACATGTTGCGATTAGAAGGGACTAACCTTTAATTCACACGCCGGGAATATGGCTGGAGAGGATCAGAGGCTAAGGCTCAGAGACTGTATGGACATAATGCAAATCTGAAGAATAAAAAGTGGGAGGAAAATGAGAGTTCATCTTAATAAATGTGGCATCTTATTTTTTGTTTATCAACAAATTTTGCAGCCCCAAAAAGACCTGTGTAAAAAAATAATAAAAAATACAAAATACTTTGGTTCTCTGATTTCCAACCTCTGAGTCCTTAACACAACAGATGAACCATACCAAGATTAGCTCAAACTGTCACCTCCCTTTTGAATAAATTTTTAATTCCACTGGATGCTCTGGGTTTTATTTAGTGGCATCAGTGTTAAAGAGGTAAAACACATCACTGCCTGAACATGGTTCCAATTCCAAAATCATTTTCGTCTTAAAACTTTGTACTTCATTTTCTGTCACATACAAGCTAATTTAAAAACATAGACGTCTGTGACAAGTTAACTGGGTGTGAATAGTTTTGAAAGGCGTCTCATATTCAGTTCGGTTTGTTTTGTTTTTTAAACTTCAAAAGAGAAGTTTGTTTTTTCCTGGGATAACTCGGGGCCAAAAAGAAAAAGGTATTTGTTAGACAGCATTTTGTCATCAGTTAAATCAGAAGAAGGGCTGCTCATTGGCATAGTGGGTGGCACTGCTGCCTTGCAGCAGGGTTCCTGGTTCGATTCCTGGCCTGGGATCTTTCTGCATGAAGTTTGCATGTTCTCCCTGAGCATGCATGGGTTCTTTCCGAGTACTCCGTCCACAGTCCAAAAACATGACTGTCAGGTTAACTGACTTCTCTAAATTCTCCTTAGGTGTGAGTGTGTGCGTGCATGGTTGTATCTCCGTGTTGCCCTGGCGACACGACCAGGGTGAACCCCGCCTATTGCCCGTAGACAGCTGGAGATAGACACCAGACTGAAAATGGCCGGATAAATCAGAAGAAATAATTTAACACGCCTCAGTAAAGGAAGAACAGCCTGAAAAGATCTTCAACTGCAGCAAGCTTGGTTTATTTCTCCAATCTTACATACTGTACATGCTACACTGTAGGAAAGACTTAAAGAGCGAGCAGGAACCCACACATTCTCTTATCTCTCTCTCATTAGAATTTAAACATGTATGCAGGTTAGCTTTAGATGTACTTGGATCAGCAGGACAGAGGAAGCTTTCCTCAGAAAAACAATTTAAACATGGAAAAAAACAACCCCCCAAAATTAAAGCAAAAAGAATAGAAGAGTATACAATAAAAATCTATACTTGTGTTATGTGACTGAGGTCAATGTGTTGTGTTCACAGCCAGACTTTAAAAAGAAACCTCTCTCAATGGTCACAATTGTCCCCATGGAGGAAGAGTCAAAAGGAAACCGACTGACACTGTAAAAAATAACATTTTTAAAAACAATTTAAACTGTCAGAAGCTAATATAAACAAATCGCTCTTATTATTATTATTATTATTATCATTTAAAAAAACAAAGAGAGTCACATCCAAACCTAGAATAGCTAGAACAACTAACTTAAAACAAACACGTTAAAGAAATGGGAGGAAAGAATCCAGTCAGGTGCTCACTGCAAAGTCAAATTTAAGTTCTACCAGGTGTCTCTGTTCAACAACAGAGCAGTGGAGTTGGTCACTTTAATGAGTCCAAATGCAATTCTTTGGCCAAACTGTAGGGCGGCGCTGTTCATCAGCAGGCTGTAAGGAATCAGCCAAATTATGATGGTGTGCACATTTCCAAAATGGTTTGTGATGGCCCGAGGTATCGGTATGTGGGATGTAGTTCTTCATTCAAACAGAACGGTGGCCAGAGCATTTCCAGAAAATTATAGATCCTTTAAACAGAGGCGCCATGCTGTGTATTTGTAGGATGTGATTCCCAACAGCGGGGCACATTTCTAGCCTCTAATCTAAGGCACTGACAGTCTGCAATTTGGCTTTTCATCTCAAAGGAATATCTTTAACAGGGTTCAGTAGGCCAGTTATTAATAATTAGTATCTTACCCTCACCAGATACCAGAACTTTTCTATTTTGTATTTTGGAGACTTAAGGATCTTAAGGAGAACTGATAACATTTCCAAGAAAACTCTTTGTCATATTTCACTTTTAAATCCAGTTAGTCTGCAGAATTCACTTTTTCCCCCTCCAACTGAAGCCATTCTCTTTACATCCTACTGAGGGTGAAATACTGAGTCAGAACCATTTTTTGTGAGAAAACACTTTAAAGATTATCATCCAGCGACAAAAAAAAAAAAAAAAAAAAAAAAAAAAGGAGGAATATGTTGAACATGCAGTTACTCTGATGACCACTAGGGGCTCCAGGTAATACTGGTAAATGAGGATAAAAACTTTCACATAGGCATGTTTGAAAGGTGCAATGATTACATTTCAAATTAAAGCTTCTCAAATTAGATGTTGCAATAAACAGAGGAGCTTAGCATAGTTAGACTGCTCCTATGCTAAGCTATGCAAGTCCTAGCCCCATGTGAGCTGGACTGAGCTTTCCTTCTAACCTGGTATACATTTTGCAGAATGTTCAAATGGCTAGAATGAAAAGAAAAGCCAAGTTTTTGGTGCGTTACTTGCTGTTGATTGTTTGTATCCAAGTACAGAGTTAAATATTTCCAGTTAGAAAATACGGCAAAAATTGCC